AGGGACCCTGAGGATCATGTTTTTGCATAAAGTGAGAATTAAAGTTGAGAGAGTAAGCAATTTGCTAAATAAGTATCGCTAGCAAGACCAGACTGTATAGAAATTTGGTTGCCAGCCCAATGGGGTAGGGGAGAGAAGAGGAATTGACTTGGCCAATTTTTATTTTGCTTCAAGTACAGTGGTACCTCGGGTCAAGTACTTAATTCGTTCTGGAGGTCCGTACTTAACCTGAAACTGTTCTTAACCTGAAGCACCACTTTACCTAAGGTGGCCTCCTGCTGCTGCTGTGCCGCCGGAGCACGATTTCTGTTCTCATCCTGAAGTAAAGTTCTTAACCTGAAGCACTATTTCTGGGTTAGCGGAGTCTGTAACCTGAAGCGTATGTTACCTGAAGCGTATGTAACCCAAGGTACCACTGTAATTGTCAGAAAAACCAGAAAACTTCAGGGGGGTTCCCCCCCTCCTCAGTTTGCTTGTTTCTGGATCTGTGCATCTTGGGTGAATAGATACTCCCTGGTAACTGCTGAGTCTTGGAAAACACTGGGCTGCCAGCTTTGTTAATGTGGCTTTGCTGTTGTACTGGGCGAGTACCACCCAAAGATCTGCCATCCTCTGTATAATGGGATTTCTGCAAAACTGTAAAGCCCTTCAGCCAATGTTAACTCAAGTACAGGATTGTGCCCTCAGGTTCCTCATAGTTCTTTACAACTAATTGCCATCAATTCAGTTCAACAAAGCTTAATTAGGTGGAAATATATCCACTATAACCATCTTTAACCTGAAACCTGACAAAAGAGCTATAGTAGCATGAAACCAAGACATTATTAATCAAGGACACTTCTCCCTGGTCCGGTGATCTCTTACAGTGCAAGCCTAACCATGTCTATTCAGAAGCATGTCCTATTGAATTCAAAGGGGCTTACTCCCAGGTAACAAGGGTTGGGATTACAACCTTGCTTCCTGGTGTGGGGCAGTTGTATTGGAGTGACCGTTCCATAAACTCAGATCGGCCCACCTGAATGTGTGAGAAAAATCAGAGCATCCTGCACAGACTGGAAGAGACGATAGATTGCTCTGCCACCAAATACTAAGGCCTTAAATGTGCATAAATTGATACAGCCCACCAACTTTCTTTCACAGACGTGCACAATTACCTGCTTTCAAGCATCAGTGTGAATTGACAAACTGCCTCCGCTCTGTATACTGGCTCCTAGCACTCAAGTTTGGACATGTGAGCATCATTGGATTTTGTGTCTTTACACCTAGTCAGGATTTTAGATTCCAGTGCTCTTCTAAAAACATTTAAAAATATATTCTAGTTACATGTGTCACTCAATCCATTCTGTTGCTGGGTGTAATAAACTTGAACCGGTCTTGTTTTTTTAAACAAACAAAAACCGTGACAAAATATTTCTTCCGGGGTCACATGAAGTAACTACAATTTAAACTGTCTTATTCAAAAGTGATGTGATGTCCTTATGGTACAACCCATATATGTAATCTCAGGGAACAACTCTAGAAGGTCCCTGTGTTACCTTTTCTGTTTAGAGCAATATAACTTTGGGGGAAAGCTGATCAGAGTTCTGGGGACGTGTTTCAGTGGTCTTTAACTATTTGTCCTCTATATTGTATACTAGAGGCTGGTTTTGTTTGTTTGTGAAAAGGGCAAAGTTCTTGGCTAAATGGGCAGTTTCAAATGCTTTCATCCTTGTCTTACGTAGTATTGTGTTCACAAGCAGCTTCCTTGCTCCTGAGCTCGGTCACATTGCAGCAATATTTTCTTGTAGTTCCAACAAAACTTGCACGCTTGTGAATCCTTGGAGGCATCCACCCAGTAAACTACTTACCTTAATTTATTAGAAAACATGCTTGAGTTCAGTTAAGAAATTGTCTCTGTCAAAGTCATGCATACTTCGATTTCATTTCTCTGGGTCATCTTGATTTTGTTAATAACATTTATGTTTGCTTTTACACTTTTTTTGACTTTTATATGAAGCCAAGTTTGGTATTTTGGTCTTCCAAGGTTTTGCAGATTGTTAATGCCTTGGGTTGCCCTTGTCTCTATTATTTTTAGAAGTTAGCAATGATTAAACATACAACTACTATCTGTCAAACATGCGGTTCCCCTCTTAAAGAGGTTCAGTGATTAGATATATATTTAATGGCCTCAACCAATATAACACAGTCTGAACTGAACTGCATTGTAGGAGAGGTTTGCCTACACTCTCTTTGTTAGATCACTGCAGCTATCTACCACTGAATTTGTGCAGCCAAGGAAGCCATGCAGACGAACTGCAACAAAAAGTCGGGATCCAGCAAAGATCCCTGTGTGTAGAAGAAGAGGTGTAGCCAACACAATGCTGGCCGGAGTTGCTGGACTACAACTTCCATCGTCCCTGACCGTTGGCCATGCTGGCTGGCATTGATGGAAGTTGTAGTCCAGCAACTTCCAGAGGGCATAACTCCCCCACCCCTGGTGCAGAATATAAAAGCCTATATGGGTAGGGAGTGGGAGACTTATGAGAGAGGAGAGATTATATCTGTGGTGCAGCTCACTTGTCTAGTTCTTTCACTTGAAAGCCTCTTCTCTGCTCCCTTTGCTCTAGAAGCATGTTGTCATTTCCCCAAAATTCCAATTGCTTCATCTGTAGTTGCAAGGTTCAGCACTACTGGTAGGTGAATGACCTGTTGGTGAAAGATGAGGGCACCCTTTCCCACCAGCCCACGTCACAAAACAATCAGTCGGCCTCTCCATTTCATTTATGGCACAATTCCCAGCCAAACCACTTAGGCACTTTGTTATAAATACATCTGCATTAATTTTTACTGGTGAGCTGTTTGCTGGTTCTCTTTCAGAGGTCTCCATAGGCATATCCATATTGGATAGCAAGGTTTTGGTTCTGGGGGACAGAGTTTTGCCTTGGGTTACAACTTTTTTTTTAACCTGGTGTTCACATGAATCAAATTCCAAGGTCTTGTGGTGTGATTAGCATGGGATGTGGTTAAGGCAGTGGGGTGAGACTCCCAGCCTTGACTGACAGCACTCATAGCTTTGGAAAATAAACCTTCCACACCTGCACCTGTTTGCCATTCTGCCCCTTATTATCTATTTGCTTTGAGTTCCTCTGGGTAGAGCATGTATTTTACCCTCTACTTTCAACCCTGTTTGCCGCAACGGAGCTTCTGGTTGTTACGTGAAAACAGTTCCACCCAAAGTTCCTGCTGGAGGTCCATGGTGATATTTATAGCATCCATAGTGAATTCCATAGGATCAAGAGATCAGGTCAAGTGAATGCTTCAGCCCTCAAGGCTTACAGACTACAGCCAAACCAGTCATGCAGCAGTTGTCTGCATCTGGCAACAGTTGCAGGACAGACTGTCAGAGGACTTTGTTGCATATATTTGCAGAACTATGGTAAGGCCTTTATATGCTGCTCATTGGACATAACGCACACAAAATTCTGCATGGTGATAACCTATATCAACCATTCAGCATATATTGTGGCCCATATAGTAGTTCACATGTAAATCACACCCTTGCCATATACACCAGACCACTAGATTGGAATATGTGCATTTGGTTGGCACAAAGACACATACTTGTTGTTAATGGAAAAATTATTTCTGTGTATTGAATAGTAGTGAGGATTAGTTGATAGCTACAGTAACAGCCATGGAATCAGGAAACCGAACATTGCTTATCCCTGACTCTGCTGCCTACTAGATGATTTGGAGTGTAAAGCTACTTTTTCTCCATTTGTCTCAATCTTCCAAGGGCATGGTGGAAATGGAGAATCCCAGATCTTCAGTATTTGTATATGAGATTGTATGTAGGGCCAAAAGTAAGAGACGAGTAGTACAGGTTTGAATCCATACCCAGAAATGTGAACACATGAATTCTATTAAAAGGTTTTAAAAGGTAAAGGACCCCTGGACGGTTAAATCCAGTCAAAGGCGACTATGGGGTGCGGCACTCGTCTCACTTTCAGGCCGAGGGAGCCGGCGTTTGTCCACAGATAGTTATCCGGGTCATGTGGCCAGCACAACTAAACCGCTTCTGGTGCAACGGGACACTGTGATGAGTGTGCATGGGAAAAGCTGTTTACCTTCCCACTGCAGCGGTACCTATTTATCTACTTGCACTGGTTTGCTTTCGAACTATTAGGTTGGCAGAAGCTGGGACAGAGCAATGGGAGCTAACCGGGGAGCTCACAACCGTTGAGCGAATTTGAACAGCCAACCTTCCAATTGGCAAGCCCAAGAGGCTCAGTGGTTTAGACCACAGTGCCACCTGCATCCCTAAGAATCCTAATATCCTAGTATCTAATGATTATTATTTTTAAGGTGGCTTATTTCTTACACTCCCATCTTGATGCAAAGTATTATCCCTTTGTAGAATTAAAACAACAACCCACAAATCTCACGTTGGAATTAAAAGAATACTAAGACAGAGGCATTTGTGGGGAGAGATAAGAGTTGAATCCAACTTTCTGGATCTAGCTGTTTGTTCAGTGGCTACGCCAATGAGACACCATACTTGCACTAGAAAAAAGACTTTTCTGATCTGGCAAGTAGGGAGATTTTTTAGCCGTCTTCTAACAAGCACAGACATTTCCTTAATCTTCTGCCATTCCAGTTCACACTTAGTGAATAGCCTTCTCACTGCAGATGTGGAGCTGGTGGGTGCAGTGACAGAGAGCAGTTCAGCTGTAGAAAGAAGTTATTCCATCTACTTTTATTCCCCTCCCTCTCTAGGTGGACCTTCTGAATCACCTTCTAGAAACACTGGGTGTTCCTGCTGAATGAAGACCAGAGAGGACGGTTGAAATTATTTGGGCACAGCAGCCCAGAAGGCACCCCAAAGAAAGCAAACTGATAAAGAGTTAAAATGAATCCCCCTTGTCTTGGGCGAGGTGAGAAGGTGGTTCTCTTGTTTCCGCATAGGAATTCGGAGAGAGGGAAAGAGTGTGCGAAGAGCCTCCTGAGGCACTGGGCATGGCCCCTGTCCAAGGCTCTTTTCACATTGTGCTACTGTCTGAGCCCAACGCAAGCAGTGCAATGTAAAAAGGGCATTGGGTGGGTGGCCACAGCAGCATGAAGCCTCTATACGTCCATTGCTGGCAATATTCAGGGGATAGGCATGGAGCCTTGCAATGTGAGGCAAAAGGAAGGTGTAACTGAGAAAACGGATAGTGCCCAGCAGCAGCAAAACATAGCTCCTGTGACAGCTGAAGTGCTCCCATCCACCCCAAATATATATGGGGCTGTTCAGCATCAGCTGTTCACAGCCAACATGGTTTGGCATCCGAGTGGAAGCTGAAGGGTTGTTGCTTTCTTGCAAGTCACCTTTGACTGTTCTCTTTCCGAGGCGTTACAGCAGCCTATTGCCTAATAAATGTTACCGCTTCTTTAACTGGGTGTCTCCTGTGTTCTCAAAGTTGCTGAATTGCTGGTAAATGTTAAAATTTGTGGGAAAGAAAGCTCTGACTCATTCTAGATGTGGAAAGGAAGACATGGGCAGCGACTTCCTAGAATATGGTAATTTTGCACATACAGTTCTGTTAAGTTTTCAAATGGGGAGCAACTTTGTGGCTTGTATTTTTTTGTATATGTGGGTTTCCCAATGCTCATCCCAATGGTGCTGATGTTTGGTTATTTTAAAAGAAAAAGAAGCATAGTGGGCTTTCCAAGTTCAAGCAATGAGCCGTTCTTGTTTTAGAGAAGTCCTCTTGGGACGTTTGGCTAGCAAGCTTAATCCTTGTGAATATAACTGCTAGCTTTGGGCTGCAGCTGCGCAAGGAAGCAGGAAAAGAGACGCCATTAGCAGCATGGCTCTTTTTGATTTTGTTTGTTTTTTAAATATAAAACACCTTTATTATACAAAAAAAATTCCTGCGCTGGTGACAGTGCTGAGGCTTTACCCCCACCTGCCCCCCATCCTGTCTTCATGTGGGGTGGGGGGATGTGGGGGAGCCATGGTGCCCAAGGATCACAAGCACACGGCGACCCAAAACAAAAGAAATAGACTCCATAGAGTAGACATGGGGGGAAACACCACGGCAGTGTCAGGGAACGGGAGGGGTGAAAGGGGTTGTGAACTACCATGGCTCCATGTGGAGAGGGGCTGCTCTCCCCCCCCGCCCGCCCCCTATCTCTAGGATCCCTTTGTTTCCTGTTTGAGAGGGATTTCCTCTCCCCAACACTGGTAGGCTGTCAAACGCAATTTTTATTTCTCCCAAGAAAGGAGAAGAGCATAAAAAGCTGCCTTTTCCTGACTCAGACCCTCTTGGCCCTTCTAGCTCAACCTGGTCAATGTTGATTGGCAGCAGTTATCCAGGGCCTGTTCTAGCCGTTCCGTGAGGTTCTTTTAAAATAAAAAAAAACTGGAGATGCCAGAGATTGAACCTAGATCCTCCTTCATGCAACACTTGCCGCTAAGCCATGGCATCTCCTCAAGAGCTTGCCCTGTGCCCACAGCCCTTTCTGTCCTGTTCCAGGAAGGACTGCTTCTGTCCTACGTAACGGACTGCAAAAGTGCAAAACCTGCGTGCGGTTCCGGGTGCCACCGCTTGCTCCACCCAAAAGGCGCTGTCAGCGGGTGGGGGAGGGCAGCATATAGATCACGTGGAATCCAATCCAACACCCCCAGCACTGTCCCCTGAACCCTCTGAGCTTCCCCTTCTGCTGTAAGGGCAGGCGTGGGGTCCTCCACTCTGCGAATCCAGCATTCTTAGACAGTACAAGAGGTTTGGGAGAAGGGTCCTGGTATCTCCACTCCCACAGGTGATGCTATGCAGGAGGGGTGGGGGTGGGGGGTGGGGCGGGTTGGTTGTGCCGGGATGCCAGCTGTGGGGGTGGGGTTGGGAAAGGGCAAGGCATGCTACGCAGGAGGGTGTGCGCCCAGAGTCCCCCTCAGTCCCAGCCGTTGTCCTTCACCATATGTGACATCTCAATAATGTACTTCCCTTCTTTGTACTTCTGGCTGGTCTCGAAGGCTTGTTCCTGGCAAATGAGGAGATTGGGAGAATTAACCCCATTTGCTTCAGACATCTGCCTAAAAACACACACACAAACTCCATAGAATATGCACCACCCCAAACACAAAAGTTGCTCTAAAAAGGGGTGTGTGAACAAAAAACCACCCACAATTACAACAGGGGAAGTAGGAATCAAGAGTTTCTACTAGTGTGGCCTGACAGCTAGAGGCTGACATTTCTAAGTGCCATGGTTTCTCAGGGCCAGTGTGGTGTAATGGTTTGACAGGACCTGGGAGAGCAGGGTTCAAATCCCCACTAAGCCATGTCACCATCGCTTAGCCTAATCTACCTCACAGGGTTGTTGTGAGGATGGCATGGAGAGGAGAACCATATACACCACCTTAAGATCCTTGGAAGATAAAGGCGGTAAATAAATAAATAAATAAATAAATAAATAAATAAATAGGCTTTCACAAGGACCTTGTTGCCCACATGTAGGGCAGGGGGTCAGCCTGGTCCTTCTCCTCAATTGGGCAGAGTCAGAGACAGGTTTTCCATGGCTGCCTCATTTTGACTCTTTCCAACAAGGTTGCTTGCAAGAATCCTGTTTCGAAAGGGGATTTATTGTCTAGACTTGTAAGCTACCAGTATTCAGTACTCACATATTTCCAGCCCAGTGTTGTCTTGCAGCTTTCGCAGAAAATGTCAGCGACTGAATGGAGGCCGGTGAGCAAGAGGCGCTGTTCGGCCGGACCGCAGCCCACATTAACCCTGCAGTCAAAGAAATTAGAAGGCACTATCTCTTTTTATCTTTCTCAGAGTTCCACCCTGCTCTGTTCTACCTCACAGGGAGTTTACCACAAACGCTACGCAAAGAGGGTGTGAGGAACTATGTTTGTGCTAACACTTGTGCATTTGCTCACACATATGCACACACACACACACAGACAGACAGAGACAGACAAAAGAAAATAGGAGGAGAAGAAGAAGAAAGGATTTCAAGCCCCACCACTACTTTTTTCATGTGATTGGTTCATGGAAAGTTCTCAGCAACTGAAACATGACTTACACAATTGGTTATGAGAAACCACATCTCAGCAGTTCCTGTTTCCAGATAAAAACCTATTAAGCACCTATTTTCTTAGGATGCAGAAGTGTCGTGTCTCCTAAGCTTTAAAAATATAGATTTAAGAACAGTCATACTCCAACATTATATTCGTTTAGGCGTTTGACTGAAACCTAAGCCGTTTAAGAAGGATTTTGGCTGAGTGTTTTCAGCTTGATAATGTGTTTAATGCTGTTCCCATACATGTGGTTCTTTTATACTAGTGTATAAATTTGCGGTTTTTATATGGCAGTTTAAAATATAATCACATTTGATGTGGTTTTAATAGGTTTACATTGTGAGCCACTTTTTAATCCACCTGGTGGGAAAGAGCAGGATATAAGCTTTTTAAATAAAACAAATAAATCACTTCCTCGTGCCTTTACCATTTGTCTCGAAAAAGAAAAGAAAAGCCAGCCTATTCATCTAGGAACCAAGATGGGGCACTGAAAACAAGAGTTCTGAATTCAATCCCACAGCGGCCTCCTGTGGCCATGAGGAGAAATGCCCAGTGTGACTGGGACACATTCACATTATAGTGGAAGAACCATTCCAATTCCACACTGGTCCCTGGGAAGAGAAAGCTCTGACAGATGTGTTTGATCTTTATTGAAGGCACGATATCTCTGCCTCGTCCCAGGCTTGATGGTACATGCTTAGCTGTAACACAGAGGCTACCGCAGCCAGCTGAACAATTGTCTTAGGAGTTTGTCTTAAAAGCTTGCTGTTCTGTCAGCTGAAACATGGGGTGTTCGGCCTATGACAACTTGAGAGCCATAGGAAGTGCCAAAGGTTTAAACTTCAGGGAAGCTTAAAAATGCTCTCCAACAGCAGGGGGAAAGAAACAAAACAACAGGCTCCCCTGCTAGGCTAGGGGCCTAGAAACAACGAGGAACCTAGAATAACTCAGGAAGTGTCACTTTCATTTGCCCTGGAAAGTACAAATATCATCTCCTAAATATAAGGTTCTTCAGCTCTTCGTTAGAATCTCTTACTATATAGAGAATCCTCATGTCCTGCTTGCAGGCTTCCCAAAGTCATTTGGTTGGCCGCTGTGAGAACAGGATGCTGGACTCGATGGGCCACTGGCCTGATCCTGGAGGGCTCTTCTTATGTCTTTAGGTCATGTTCTTATCCTAGCCAATGCCTTCTTGGCATGATAAAGCAGATCAACCTGGTGGAAGCAGGAGGCAGCCAGACTTGAGTTACTGGAGCCAAGGACCATCAAAAGACTAGGACTTTCCCCTCATGATTTCAAACCGATCTACATTGAAAGAAAAGTTAAATTTTTCTAAGATGTGGAATTAGGGGGCTCTGGGGCAGAGGGAAAGAAATTCAGATCTTACCCTTACACTAAGATTTGGTCTCCCATCAATTACTTCAGACTAACTCTCCAGTGGTGCCAGTAAGGCACCATAACTGCATTGCTTGTCTCTTTTTTGGGCTGACATCCAAAAGGGCGATAAACCCAGTTTCACAGCTGGAATAAAAGCTATTCTATAACATTTGTTTAGATGAACTGTTCCATTCATGTTTGCCCAAGTAAGGGCAAAACCAGAATGCTACTGGAAAAAAGAGCCACCGAATCATCACTCGCTTATGAAATGTGCCAGCTGTCAGACAATGGTCAATTCACCAATATGAAACTATCAATAGGAACTTTCCACAAACTGTAAAAGACATCCTATTTGCCATTCCCCGCAGAACTGGCCCAGCAGGTCCTTGCTTTTGCAAATCCCACAGGTTCCTACCACTGAGAAAAGAGCATCTACTTCTCAGGCAGAAAGAATTCACCACTCCAAAACAACAGTTTGCTTGGCTAGGTTCAACAAGTATGGCAGAGGAATGCTAGATCTGTATGACTCAGTCGGTCTGCCTTGGAACTAGGCCTTCTCCCTGCCAAAGGCCAATTAGAAATGAAGAGAAGGAAAAACTATGTGCTTTTCTTCACTGTCAAAAACATGGCACACAGGGAGGCACCTAGAGAGAGCCTTCTGCACTATGAGCTATATTTTGCATATATTAGAGAAGTCTGAAGGATGACCAGCAATCCTCTGGCACATCTCTATGTAGTGAGGCAGGAGATTACTCATACATTGGCCTTTGCAGATGCATTCAGCAAGAGTCGTCAAAAGAGCAGAGGAACGAAGGGTTCATCTTGAAGGAAACAACATAAATAAGAAACACTTTGTAGAGATTCTGATTGATTGTTAGATCAGAGGGCAGAGAGTTCTCATTGCCAGCCATTCCAAATCAAGGGTAGATCATGCCTGAAGGTCAAGAGTGCAACATCCTGTGGATGGTTGAGCCAGCACCCAAGAGAGAGAGAGAGCCGCAAGGACACAAAGCAAGATGCGAGGAGTTCCAGTGCAAGGTCTGGTGGTGCTACCATTAAGTTCAGCAGGATGATGTAGGGAAGAATCCAGCGCTGAATTAAAGATTGACCATGAGACTTTGGGAACAAAGACTACAATAAGACAGAAATTACGCACTGTTTAATTTCTATTAGATGTGCTTCATTTCTAAAAAGAGAATGGCTCAGGTGTAATGCTAGCTAGAAGTCATCCTTGCTGGCTGATGCCCTTATCCCAAGCCCCAGGTAGTGGGTGCTGAGGGGCACATATTCAGAGGTAATGTTGCTTTGTTCCTCTTGAGTTCCAGAGCTCAGTATGTCAAGCTCAGATTATCAGAATGCCTACACAGTATGAAATGCTGAGTGAGATATGATGGATCAAGGCCATTATATATAAGACCTCCCCCTGGAAATACTCAAATGTAACCCTAACCCACCCCACCCTAGCAGCATCACTCTATATTTCCCTCCTTCTAATGGAACGGATGAGATGTAGCAGTGCTCTACATTCTTCCGGTGTGAAACGAAACTACCTCTCTCCCTCTGCCTCTGCTCTGCTTCTTCCAATCTCCCCCGCATCCCCACCCACACCAGATAAAACCAATTGCAGTAGGAGACTCACACAGAATTGAAAAGATAGGCGCGACCATGACTTCCCTGGAAAGACTGTGGAAATAAAGTATAGGAGTTACGACCCTCTCCCTTGAAAGGCTCTTTGACCCACTTCCCCCCCAAACCCAACTGCTTTGCTTCAAGGCAAAAATCCCCAGACACGAGAAAGATCAGGTCTGTTCCTGGACAGACCGATAGGTATTGCTAGCAAGGTATCCCACCAGTAGGGTGCCATCTTTTAGAAAGTGTCCTAGTTGGGCCCTGGGGTGGCACTGCTTTGGGGGGGTCACACAATGCCAGAGATCCAGGAAGACCACAGATAAATAACAGCGGTATAGCTAAACTTGCTGCCATGTCCCAGAGATGCACGTACCTTGGAGATGAGCTCATCATGCTTGGCCAGATGTGCCCGGCAGTGAACACAGCTGTACGTTCGATGGCACCGGGGCAGGTAACTGCGGAAGGTCTTGGTAGGGAGGCAGGCGGCGGGTGGCGCTGGCTCACAGCTGGGCATGACAGGCTGGAGAGCAATGCCCTGTCGAGGGGGGGGAGCCGGCGCCGTGCAGCCCCCGCACAGGCGGTCGCAAGTGAAACAGCGAAGCAGGTTGGCTAGAGCCGTGTTTCAGAAAAGTGAAGTTTGGGGGGGCTGCACTGCCAGGGCCCCCCCAGATGAGAACCAGACCGAAAGCGGAGTCACCTGCGGAGAGACAACGGCAAGCAATTATCAGCCCTGGGAGAAGCCTACTGTGCGTGTCAGACCCAGGAGGTGATCTGGTCCTCTTCTGGAGGTGGAAGTTATGGCATGTTCTGCACTACACAGCATGGAATGTGTATTTGAGCAGATAGAAAGCTCAGTGGATTCATCCGTCTGGAATAATTACCACTGGGCCCTTGCTCCACATTCAGACAGTTCGGTAATTAGAATCCTCCACCCACCTCTGTAAAAAGGCAATGAAAATGGGGGGGGGGGGAGGAAATCAGCCTGGTTTTTACCAAGTTCAAGAGGGAACTCAAAGAGAGACAGGACTGTAGTACAGTGGTACCTCGTGTTACATATGCTTCAGGTTAAAGACTCCGCTAACCCAGAAATAGTGCTTCAGGTTAAGAACTTTGCTTCAGGATGAGAACAGAAATCGTGCTCCAGTGGCGCAGCGGCAGCGGGAGGCCCATTAGCTAAAGTGGTACCTCAGGTTAAGAACAGTTTCAGGTTAAGAATGGACCTTCAGAACGAATTAAGTACTTAACCCGAGGTACCACTGTAATTTGTGCAAAGCGGTTTGGGGTCTGCACGATTCAAATCCCTGGTTCAGCCTATTGTTCTCATTGTTTACACAAACAGGCCCACAACTCAGGTGCCTTGAACAACATGTTCAGCTTATCCTCACAACTTTCGTAACCTGGTCAGCTAATTGTAGGTTAAGGCTAGGGTTTCATTATGCTTTTGCTTTAAGCATAATTGTATCCGTGCAGCTCAAGCCTACATATGTTTACTCAGAAATAAATCCCACTGAGTATGGTATGATTTGCTCCCAGTTAAGCCTGCACAGAATCAGAGTCTTGGGTTTCGCAACGCCCATGATCTGAACGGCCCATCTGGTTAAGAAACAGCTTTTCTGCTTTTGCTCTTATTCATATGGAACACACAACGCAACACACAACGCTGCCTTATAGCGAGTCAGGCCATTGACCCTTCTAGCTCAATGTTGCCTACCCTAACTGGGTACAGGGCTTCAGGAAGGGGGCTGTCATAGACCTACGCAGAGATTTTACCTGGCGCCTTCTGCATGCAAAGCAGCTGTCCTCCCTCTGAGCTACAGCCTTCCAATTGTAGATGTTGCTATTACACAGCATGTCACATAACCAATGACTCTGGCAACGTTGGAAAACATTCTGAAATATGCAGAGTGCCCTAAGGCCTCTGAGCAACCTTTGAGAAAAGAGGTCAGCAACGTTGCATTGCCTAAACCCAACCCTCTGGTGATGTACCCCGTTGCCCCTTGCATTAAACGACCCCCGCCACGACCAGCAGCCTCGGATAATATTCCCTTTTTCGACCCACCCTTGTCACGGGCCTTTTATTGTGGCTGCAAGAGGGCCCTCTACCGGGGCCTCGACGTCATTTCCATGCGTGTTCATTCAAAGCCTCCTCCCGTCCGCCCCCGTTCTGACAGGGACTCTCGGGCGCGCCCCCTGTCGGCAGCAAAGCGGCATTACAACCCCCCAAAAGCTGACTTTCGGAAGCCCCAGCAGCAGCCTCATGCATTTGTCCACCGTGCGGGCATGGGCCATTAGCGCTTCCCAATCCGTCCTGCAGCAGCAGTAACGCCGCGCGCAACTCCAGCTCCCCCCAAAGAGCAGCCCGGGTCCAGAGCAATGCCGCGCGAGAAGCGTCCCAGCAGAAAGCCCTGCGCGCTGCTTTCTTACCTTGCTTTTCGCACTTCACCCGTCCACTTCGTCTCTCCTAGAAGGGCGGGGGGAAGAAGGGAGAAATCAGGGGTAGGAAAAAGAAATGAAGTGGGAGGAGTCCAGGTGTCGGGGGCGTGCGGGGGGGGGGACTCGAGGCGTTAATCACCGCAGAGTCTGACTCACGTGGCTGCCTGCGCGGAAGGAAAATAAAGGCGGATTTGGCGTCGCGAAGTTCCCAGAGGGACTTGGCCGGAGGTGGGAGGAAGCAGGGAATCGGGGATCGGGCTCTCTCGGCGCGGCCCGGAGGTGGAGGCGAAACGTGCAACTCCCCAAGAGCCCCGCGAGCGAGGGAGGCAAAGTTTCAGGTGCAGCTGCAGCGGCGGCGCCTCCGCCTCCGCCGCCTTTGCCCTCCGCGCTGCTCACCTTGAAGCCTGCGCCCGGGCGCGTATGCGCGGCGGCGGCGAGGAGCTGCCTGTCCGTGTCTGCTCCTGCTCCTGCTCCTGCTGCCGAGCGGCGAGGGGTCGAGTCCAGGCGAGCGCAGCTTCAGGGCCGCCGAAGGGCTGCTTTTGTGCTTCGTCGGTAGACGAATGTGGCTGTGTGTTGTGGAACCGCATCATAACATTGTGAGTCATCCATCCCTCCCTCCCTCCTCCTCGACTCTCTTCCTTCCCACCCCCTCCCCTCTCTCAGCCTGCTGCTACGTCAGAGAGGGGCCGGAGACACGGATCAGGGAGGGAGGGGATAAGCAGGGGCCACCAGCACCACCGCAGCAGGGATGCAAGGCGCAGTGGGCACGCTGGGGTGGAGAGATCGGCGGAACGGGCAGCTGGCGACCAGGGAGCCGGGCAAGCGGGGGCGCTGCTGGGGTGGCTCCGGCGACAGGGATGGCGATGGGGAGGGAGAAGGACGCGCAGGTGATAAATCCCACGTTGCGCGCCCGTGGCAAACTCTGACGCAGGGATAGAGGCGAGAGACGCAGCTCAGGGTCACGGGCTGCAAATCTGCAATATCATTCTCCGGTGCGCTTCTCCACCATCACCCCAGCCCCCAAAACATCTAGCCACTCACTTTAGGGCTTCCAGGATCCTGGCGACACCCCGAAACGCAAAGGCCCAGATCTCTCAACGCGCTTCAACCTTGACAGGCTCTGTCATTGCTTAGACTTTCTCATCGCTACCCCGCACCCCAGCAGGCTTCCCCTAACGAATAGGTCGACAACCTCATCATTCCCTCCCCCTCCCCGCAACGTGGTTGCCAGACGAATTTGGCCTTAGGATCAATGTGGGGCCATTAACTCCAAGAGGAGTTTGGGCATCCAGTTCTGTTGACGAGGAGTAGCATCCATTTAGTCTGTTACTAAGCAGCAGCAGGAAGACCAAACACGTCCTGCTGGTGCTATAGAGACTAAGAAACACTAGCCTTCTTCCGTGGAAGCATACACCACGCAGCCTGAAGGTACAAGTTGGAGGCACACCCATCTGATATGATAGATCAGCTTCTGCCGCTTAAAAATGTGCAAGCTTTTGAATTCTTGAGTCCTTCTGCAAGCAGGTGCTGCATCAATGCATCAATGTTTGTTTTAAGGACTTCCACAGTCACCCAGTTCATCTCCCTTAGGAAGGTTGCATGCTAAACTATTTTGTGTATTTATGTTTGCCTTGAGGAGCTGCAATTGCTTCCGGTGCTATAAGCCCCGATTGATGGATCAAAACCCAAGTTGCCACAAGCTGAATGAAAGTCATGCAAGTAGGGCCCTAATAAAACAAACAAACAGGCTGTTCTTGCTGTTCTAGAATTACAGCACTCCAAGATCCTTTGTACTTCAGTTTCCACCAAAGTACTATGTCATTTTCGTAAGTTGCAGACATCTCATTCTTTCCTTCTCATTTTAACACTCAAATAGTAGTATAAAAACTGTTTGGGTCTTCTGTGGTTAATAAGCCACCTTTAACAAGCCACAAAACAGGGGGGGAAAGGCTTTTTTTGATTAACAGTGATGTTTGCAGTTAAATCAGTGGTCTGATGCTCAGAACATCATTCTTGGTTGTGCTACTGACTTCAACAGACTTGATCCAATCATGTTTGGTACAGAAGCATCTGGAAGCTGTATCTTGTTATGTCCTTCAAATAAAAAGGATCCAAGATCTCTGTCATGGTAATAGCGTTCTGAAGATGACTCTATTCTTGCTGAGGATGAATATGGGCTGTACCAAAGGAATTGATTATATTGACTTATACTTCGTTTCCTTTCTCATTTTCGCTTAATCTTTTTTCTCCCTACCTTTTGCTGCCTCTTTGATCTCCTTCAAACTTAGCCTACATCCAGACACCTAGGGTCCCTTTTATTTATAATACTATTTATAGGCCCTTTGCCACTTTTTTGGCACAGCCCATTCAAGGTGGTTCACAATGTCATAAAAACACAATACATACAGCAATCCAAAAACTCAGCAACGGCAGCAGTGTTAGCAAATACTTGAAAAGGTAGACCAGTTGAAACAAAACAGCAGTGTAAATTCCCTGCAAATGTAAAGAACTATTTTAAAATGGGTAGTTCCCCCCTGCCTCTGCCCCCCCCCAACAATGAAGGCTTCATTTAGGAGAGGGCAATTCTGAAATAAATGGGCTTTTTAAACCCACTGAAAGGTTTGCAGGTTGGAGGCTAAAGAGCTGCAAGAGGAGAAAGTTCCACCGTCTGGGGACCACTTCCAAAAAGGCCCCCACCTACACTTGCTGTTGTTTCTGCTTCAGTCAGTAACTAAGTGGAGTGAGAAGGGTACCTTCCGTAGCTGCAACTGAAGAATGGAGCAACATGACAAAGCTATGTAACATCGTTGTGGTTTAATAATAAAATATTATGAACATTTTCCCTAATTTAGAACTGACATTTTAAAGGATGCAAATGGAAAAAGCATAAAATATCCTGTTGGGTGGACCTGTTCAGGGCAGCAAGGCAGACTAAGGCAGGAATCCCATAGCCACTTGCCTTGAGTAGGCTCCATTGAAATCAGTGGGACTTACTTCTGTATATACATGTATAGGATTCTTCCATAAATGACATCCTTGCAACTTCATTGCCTCTAAACTGCTGCTCAACCCAGTAAAGCACATTTAGCTACTGAACAATGCTGGAGGGAAGGAGAACTTTGTAATGGTATGACTGGAGATTTGAGGGGGGGTGGGCAGTTACACCACAACTGACTCAGTGCAGAGTAGCAAGCAGCAGGTACAATCTGAGTAGTAAGAACTTGGAAGTTCATCAGTTGAACCCTTAAAACAAAACACTATTTTGGGAAGACTTAGTACTGGCTTTGATGCCCAACATTGTGTATTTTTCTAAGTAAACAAATAGTAAAAGAGAATCCGGGGGAAACCTGAATTTCATGAGACCTTTTGTGGCATACGCTTTTATAGTCTCTGGTCAAAGGAAGTTTATTCCACAATAAATCGTTAGTGTGCTGCCTTGTTTTTCTTTGGGTAGATGTTTGGTGAATTTGTAACAAATAATCAAAGACCATGCTATGCCTTTTTCTGTCAGAAGATGAGAAGCAGAAATTATTCATGGCTGCATGGGTTTAATCTCTCTCTCTCTCTGTCTCTCTCTCTTTCTCTTTCTTTCTTTCTCTTTCTTCAGAACCACGGAGAGTGAAATTTTCCAGATGAGTGTTTTTGATCTGAGGTGGTGAGAAGGAAATAACCCTACACTATAGAGTAGGAAACGTGCTTCTGCGGTTGTTTGTTTGTATTTAGCAGCTGAACAACAAAGGGTTAACAATGGAGGTCAGAAACTACATTTCCCAGCGGGCCGCGCGAACACCAACCGCTTCCCCGTCAGGTAATTGAAGGAGGCGGAGGCGGCTCAGGGGCATGCGTACATCACACAATCGCTGCGGCCGTCACTTCCAGGGCAACCGACACTTCCGTTGCCTGGCCCGATCCGGGACTCGTGTGGTTGGATCCCTGTGGATTCAGTAGGTGGGTGACTTTCCTCAGCTCCTCAAGGCCTCGGGTCGGTTTCCATGGAGACGTGCAGCCTTCGCGAAGGCAGGAGCGCAACTGCCTCTTCGTGGGGAAGAGTCTTGCCCGTCGCCTCGCCTTAGGCCCCTTCCCCTCTGTGCTGCCGGGCAGGCACTGAAACGCGGCGATAGCTGCGCGGTTGTCCACACTCGAAACGGGGTGGGGGTTGAAACCCCAATGGGGAAGCAGTGTGTCGCCTAGTGTCAACGACATATGGATAGTTCCGAATCTTTGGCTGTTGGTTAAATCTAGAACGGTTTCGCTTCTACGGAATCGAAACTGTTCCAGATGGATCAAAATGACAGATCAGCAACATTCAGCCCCAGGATCGATCTCCTCCCCCCTCTGTACAATGCCAATTCAGTAGTTAAGCATGTGGGGAAAAGGTTGCCACTAGAAGTCTTGCTGAGACTCTGCTGTGGTATGGGAGCACTGGCCTGCTCCCCTCCACCCTCTCTTCAGAAGGATCCTCCAGTGAAACTGGTTGCTGACTAGGGACCTAAATAAAACGGAGCCTTAGCTGTCTTCAGATGGAGCCACCAGGCACACATTCATAGCCAGCCCATGCAGCCTATAAGTGGCACATCATCCAGCTTACAATATGTACCACAAGCAAAAGAAGAGGGATGGACGAAGTTTGTGCTGTACTGTGTTTGCACAATCATCTCTCAGTTTAAGCTGAGATGTGCAGAAGCTTCAAGCATTTTCAGGCAGCTCATTTGGCAAAACAGCTCATAAAGCTATGGTTAATCGTTGCTGCCAATGGCTTCTAAAGCCAGAATATAAAGCTATGGTTTAAAGTTGGCTTCCAGATCCTGGATCATTTGGAAGCAATTCACTGTTGTTCCTGGTTTGTATGTGAAGGGAAGCTGTGGCTAACTTCAGTTTCTTGGCTTGTTTGTTCATTCACACAAAGCATGGTGCATAGGGGATGTGTGCAGGTGTCGGAAAGTTGTGCATATCTTGGCTGATTAAGCTGAGATTTGAGTGTGATCTTTACAATTCTGTGATCTTTACAATTCAATGTATAGTTTAACAAGCCCATCCAGATCGTTTAGGCCACTGATAATAAGCAGTCCCCCAGCAACGGCAAACCCTCAGACTCCCTGGACCACCTGGGGAAACTTCCTGCCTAACCAGAAACATATTTAGGTTAGAGAATAAACAGGAAAGCAAGGTGTCCACCCTTTGAAAAATGCATATATAATAGGGGGCATTTTTGTCCAACTTAACATGTTATGTAAAATGGGACACCAGGAGAGGAAAGATACCTCAGTACTTTTGCAAGCTTTCTAACAAGAGTAGATGTTTCATTTTTAAAACATGAGTTGGTTTAATTAATATTTTTTTTTGTATCCATAGCAGTTGCAAAGGAAACAAGATGGCAGAGGAAGCTGGAGATGAAAAGAAACTGGTGGCCAAGTTTGAGTTGGAGAGGGAGACTGAGCTCCGCTTTGAGGTTGAAGCTTCACAAATGGTCCAACTAGAGCTTCTGACAGGCATGGCTGAGGTCTTTGGAACGGAACTGACACGCAACAAGAAATTCACCTTTGATGCTGGTGCCAAAGTGGCTGTCTTCACCTGGCATGGCTGTTCAGTACAGCTAACTGGTCGGACTGAAGTAGCCTACGTCTCCAAGGACACTCCCATGCTGCTGTACCTCAACACCCATACAGCCCTGGAACAGATGCGGTGGCAGGCTGAGCGTGAGGATGAACGGGGACCTCGTGTCATGGTGGTGGGCCCCACAGATGTAGGAAAGTCAACAGTCTGCCGTCTGCTGCTGAATTATGCTGTGCGCCTAGGGCGCCGGCCCACTTTTGTGGAGCTGGATGTAGGGCAGGGCTCAATCTCTATCCCAGGCACCATGGGGGCACTCTATATTGAGCGGCCTGCAGATGTTGAAGAAGGCTTCTCGGTTCAGGCCCCTCTGGTCTATCACTTTGGGTCCACCACACCTGGCACTAACATCAAACTCTATAACAAGGTAAGCAGCATATTTGAAGTAGTATGTGATATGGTGATCCTTTGCATGCATCCTAGGCTCATGGAGCTGGGCTGGGCTAGGTTTTTTATATCCTTATCAAACCGAGAATAGGGATGATAGTTAGAAATTGAATTTCCATTTTCACCTTTGACTATGTTATGCTGGAGGACAAACAAGAGATGGCTAGTCAATAAATTATTATCATGAACCCTGTTAATCTGCTTCAGCATGCTGTTATATTCCAACTGTCATTAATTTGGAGACCAGCATGTAGATGTAGGGCTGCCTAAGCCTTTTTATTTGAACAGGCATAGGCACCTGCAACTCTTCATAGGACTAGGCTAGGTTAATGGTCGATAACTCTTCAGATCCTTATCTTTTATACAAGGCAATAAACTAAAATATGCTGGTTTTACTTATCTAAGGAGTAAATTGTATAAGACAAGACTGTTTAGGGAGAGTCTTGTTAATATATTTGACTTGGATAACAGACCTGTCTCTGATTAAATAAAATACTTAAAAACCACACCAATGAAACTCCAGATCGTTATCCTTTACACAAAGACATTAACACAAGACATGCTGGTTTTACTGGTTTGAGAAGTAAATTGTGTAAGGCAGGACAGTTTAGGAAGGATCTTGTTAATATGTTTGACTTGATGTGTCTCTGATGAAGGCAAATATTTAAAATAAAAACACTGATAATTTCATTATTAAAGAAAATATTAATGAAGACAACATCTGCGCTGAATAAACATATGATGCTGCTTGGTTGATCTAGAAACTTCTCTTTAAAACAGCAGGCTTTTGTCTTTTGCAAACACAGTGAATTGGTCATGGAGCTTATTTCAGCTTAACTCCCATCAAAATCCAACAATATCTGGAGGGCAGCAGGTTGGGGAAGGTATGCTGTGCCTCTTAAGTTTCCAACTTATTTCTCTGGCATCTACAGTTAAAAGGTTCTCAGGTCACCGGCTTGGGAAAGTTATTGAGGCCGTGCAGAACTGCTGCTAGTCCGAGTAGACAATTATGGGCTAATTGTATAAATGGTCTGGCTCAGAATAAGCAGCTTCATATGTTTATAGAAAAGTAATACAGATTCACTTTTGAAAAGCAGGGTGGGGTGTGACTAAGGTAAAACTTCAGTATTGGTAAACAATCTGGAGATTTCCAAGGATGGAAGCTTCTAAAAGAGGCCAGCTAACTTCATTTCATAAGACTTTCACCCATGAGATTTGTGTGGTTTCCTGTTGGTTAATGCTGCTGCTTCATCTTTTTCTGCAGATTACATCCCGCTTGGCCGATGTATTTAACCAGCGCTGCGAGGTGAACCGCCGGGCTTCGGTCAGTGGCTGTGTCATCAATACCTGTGGCTGGGTGAAGGGATCTGGGTACCAGGCACTTGTGCATGCTGCCTCTGCCTTTGAAGTTGATGTTGTGGTAGTTCTGGACCAGGAGCGCCTCTACAATGAGCTGAAGCGGGACTTGCCTCATTTTGTTCGGACAGTGCTGCTCCCTAAATCAGGTGGAGTGGTCGAGCGCTCCAAGGACTTCCGGCGGGAGTTTCGTGATGACCGCATACGCGAATATTTCTATGGTTTCCGAGGAAGCTTCTACCCACATGCCTTTGATGTGAAGTTCTCTGATGTCAAGATATACAAAGTGGGCGCCCCCACTATCCCTGATTCCTGCCTGCCTCTGGGCATGTCGCAGGAAGACAACCAACTCAAACTGGTACCAGTTACACCTGGGCGTGACATGGTACACCATCTCTTAAGTGTTAGTACTGCTGATGGCACTGATGAGAACATCTCTGAAACAAGTGTGGCTGGTTTCATTGTAGTCACTGGAGTTGACCTTGAACGCCAGGTCTTCACCGTGCTTTCACCAGCACCTCGCCCGTTGCCCAAGAACTTTCTGCTCATCATGGACATTCGTTTCATGGATCTTAAGTAGTACCGGCCTTTGCAAGAAAATGATAAGACTCCACCAGGCAACTGCTAGCTCCCTCACAAACAAACCCATTACAATCCTGGATGGAACAGCATCTCACATGGACCAGGCAAGAGAGAGAAAGCAGTCACAATAAGGGATGAACATAGTTTGAACAATTTGAAATAGTCCTTTCTGTTTTCTCTTCATTGTTGGAATGAATCCCTGAGTAGAATGGTAGAAGATGAAGCTTAGAAAATTCATGGGTTTGACTTGTTGAACCGCTATAATGGACAAAAGTGTTGTCTGCTAGCTAGTTAATTGGTCTCCTTTGAGGTGTCATTCATTTAAACTGGTCTTATCTGAAAGTGACAATAGTGTAAAGAGGGCATTTTTTTTTAAAAAAACCTTTATATATAGATATTTTTAACTTTAATAAATTCCCAAATATTGATAGTTTCATGTTTGTGTTTCTCTCTACATGTAACTAAAACCTTGTTTCAGCATTAAAAAACATGTACATATAGATACAGGGTAAGGCAGGACAAAGGGGGACTGTTTGGGTAATAAGCATACAGGGATGAGAAGAAATATTCCATCGGGCAGAAAGACATACATAAAAATGTGCATAAGAAAGCAGTGGCAATTTTGACTTCAAAGAACATGGCTTATAAATACCACTAGCCATTTTCATATAGGAAGCTTGCAATTAGGCACATGACTTAGGCTTATGAATGGAAACATAGTATGAAAATCCATTCTGATACGCTAGATCAGGGCGGTCCAACTTTTCAAACCAAGTGGGCTACAAGTGTACTTGTGACATGTGTCCCCCACCCCCAGCTTCATGCTGCCTTCCCATATCTGGCTTTGGCAGCATCCTAGAACCTCCCACCTCTTTTTGAAAGCTGGGAAAGCACTAACTAGGGTTTCGGAAGGAGGTGGGAGGACTCTAGGACCCTGCCAGAGCCCTCACACCTCCTTCCCCAAGCCCAGCTTTCCCTATGTGCAAGGGCTGGTGGGGGAGGGGGTGTCAAATTTTGAGGGCCATTTTATCACCTAGAGCTTTGCACTGAAAACTACCAAATTTGGGCTTCAGTCTTAACTCTACATACCTTGGAGTAAGCTCCATTGAATTAAATCAGATATCATCATTAGTATATTAATATTTATTAGTTGCTTTACTCATGCAAGTGACTCAAACACAATTCTGAGCAGACTTGATTAGGATTGTACTGTTTCCCAGAATGTGAACCAATACTAGAAAGTCTCAACTAAACCTGACCTGGAATAGAACGGTTCTCCCCATACCTCCAAAATCAGGTTAATGTTTCAGGCTAAAAGTTTTATTTAAAAAGTGAGCCAATGATCTACAAGTGACCCCAATTTAAATAAAACATGAATACTCAAAAGTAATGTCAGAGAATTTTCATACACGATTGCGGTTGTTTGAGCTTCTGTGACCCCTTCCAAAGGTGGCAAACAGCAGGCAGGATGAAATCCTGCTGCTTAAAGTCTGCAAATCGAGAGCAGATAGTGAAGATAAACATCCTAGTGAGGAAGGGGAGGAAGACAACATTTCTGTCCCCTGCAGGGTACTCCCCTCCCCCATGTTGTAGTGCTCAGCCAGTCACTGTTGCTCTTAAAGTGCTGGTTGAAACCTATTTTTACTAACTATTGATCTAAAGAATTCTGAAGAAGTGTGCATGCACACGAAAGCTCATACCAATAACAAACTTAGTTGGTCTCTAAGGTGCTACTGGAAGGAATTTTTTGTATTTTGTATTGATCTAAGGATCAGTATTTACATAACTGATTTGTTAAATGGTAGGTTTCCCTGGGCAGTTCATCAAGTGATCACTTGTTCTTTTAATTGTTTCCACAACATGGATTGCAGTTGTCAGATCTTGTGAGAAGTTAAGCCTGCTGTTTTAAACTTTCTCAACAGACATCTGTGATTATGGATAGTGAAAGGAAAAAAGAAAGGAACATGGAGTTGAGATCACAAATTAAAGATGTTAACAAATTGCATTTACATTGTTTAGGCTGCAATTCTGTTCACAGTTACCTGAGCATAAGCCGCACTGAGCACAGTAAAATCTCCTTTTGCATAAAGATGCACAGAATTGTATGGTAAAAATCTGAAGAGTTAACAACAATTGGCTACCAGACTGAAAAAAAGAAAACCTCTGTACCACTGTCAGAGCAGGTCTGGCAGCCTAGCTGCAGCCCAATGATATATCCAGTCAAAGGCAGAGCTGACCCTACCATTAGGGGGAGAGAGATGGTTGCCTCATGCAGCAGCTACTGAGGGAGTAGGGGGTGAAGAAGCCGTACCTAGTAAGACCACTGTCTGTTCCCTGCTCATCCGCTGTGGGGATGTTCGCTTGTTCCTGGGCCTGTGCAGGCTGGCTGGCTAGCTAGCTAGCTTTCTCAAATCATAGTTGCCTTCTCTCAATGTATCACAATTGGGAAAGGCTCCTGACTTAGCAAGCAGACAGAAAGGGAGCCAGACCAGCCTGCACACTCCAGCATGCATTGCTCTGCTTGTGAGATGAGCAGTTATTTGTGTGGACAGCAGATGAGGCTAGGCAAAGAAGTGAATGAGAAGTTGGGTGTTGGAGAAAAGAACTGCATGGGCCATATAGGCTGCCCTGTGTCCCCTATGCTAGCCTTCTGCCCTCAGGTATGGTAGAATAGGCGTAGGCAAACTCTGGCCCTCCAGATGTTTGGGACTACAATTCCCATCATCCCTGATCACTGGTCCTCTTAGCTAGGGATGATGGGAATTGTAGTCCCAAACATCTGGAGGGCCAGAGTTTGCCTATGCCTGTGGTAGAGGATGCTGTTCGATTGTCAGTGTCGGAAATAAGATTTTGCTGCCCGTCCATTTAGAATGTGGGGTTGCTTGTGTTCTTTGCCTCAGGAAGCAAAATGTCTTAAGTCAACCATGGCTGTACTAGCCTCAGAAGTGCCATTCAAAAGCCCCTGGCTCTCTGGGCAGTTGCTACATATCTTCTTCAAATTGCCATTTGTTTACCACTGGATTTTAGTTGGAAAAAACTGTATAGACGCTAGCTATAATATAATAATCTGGAACTAAATCATTTCAGTTTAGTCTGTTCCAACCACTGCTACTTAAATTGCCTGGCTTGTGTCTGGACATCTTAGTTCTTGTGAAGTATTACACCACAGAGGAAAGTGATCAAGGGATCATATGATCATGAATACAAAAGCTTATTTATTTTAGTAATGTTATCTTACTGTAGCCCTATTTATCTACAAAATATGTGCTATGGAGCAGTTTTATGTGACATTTCCCACCCTGCTTTGTAGCAGATGCTAATTCAGCCAAACCAAAATTGTAGGTTCAAAGTATTCAGTGCCCCCTAAAAATATTCAGTGTCACACACTGATACGATGCCTGCATGTCTCAAAAAACCACTGTAAATGTCCATACAGTATATCTTGGGGCTTCCTTCTGGAACATACTCTGTTGAAGTCTTGTTTTTTAATAGAAAAATGGTGCCGGTACTCACCATGAAGTTGTTACAGTAAGTGTCACACTTTTAACATTTGGGGGGGAAAGGTGCTGGTACTGCTTACTCTTGAGTACTCCCAGGAAAAAAGGCACTGAATGCATCTAAAGCACAAACTTCTATGTTTAACAGTCATGTCTGTAAACATTTAGCAAATGTGCTGGAAACTTCTATAGCCTTTCTGCCCAAAACTATCATTCCTTGGGAAGAAGGAATGAATGGCTGTTTAAAATATTTTAAGTCTATACAGTACTGTAAATATGCTTTCAATCCTTGTTACCGCAACATATCTTGCTTCTCTGTTTTCTCCACAACTTAAGGTCTTTTGTCATTTCATTAAACATGCAATCCCATGGTGTTTATTTGTCATCGATCTCAAGTATTGCCCTCAGGTTCCAAATCCTAGGGATGTGTGACACTATACTCACCATCCCTCTTTCATCACCTTTTAGACAACCGCTCTCTTGGCTTTCTGCATTCCATGTCCCCAAATACAGTAAGTTTTATTCTGAAAATAGAATACTGTACAGGATACAAGAATTGCATTTTTTTTAAAAATTCACATCTCTCACAGCTAGATGGAGAGCTTGCTTCACAAGGTGTAGATGAAATATGGTCACCCTTAATTAAAGTACAGATCAAATAATACATTCTCAGGTTAATATTAAATACAACAGAAGCTTTGATCAGTGTCAGCCTACTTCTTCAGATACAGAACTATATAAATATTAAGGTAGGAACACGAGATGACATGCAAATTTATTTTCACACGTTCTGACTGTGAAATGTTTATGTTTAAGAGTCCAAACTTGTCTTATGCAATGAGTCCTTTTGTCAAAAGTAGAAGTGTGTTTAATGCTGCAGCGATCCTATAATTTACCAGGGATTAAGACCCTTTGAAATAAATGAGCAGTACTTGTGAGTATACACGTTTAAGGTTGTGCTGCAGGACAGTGCCCAGCACATTTTAAACATTAAATTTTAAAAAACAACAAAAACAGATTTTTTTAAAAGGTGCAGATGAAAATGTTTGCGTAATGTTTAATTAAACTTATATATATACATACACAAACCACATTTATGTATATTAAAAGAACGTTGAGATATCTAGAAATACAATTACAAATGATCCACTACAAACTGCAACAGAGATTATAATCAGCAATTCCGTGTTAAATCAATGACACCACTAGATCGTCACCTTATATGAAGTCTAATAAACGACTGGATATCAGGTTTGTCAATCTCAGCCGCAGCGTGCCAATAAGGTGCTTGGAAGTGGGACGTCAAGAAATAATCTGCATACGGGAGGACGATTCACGCATGCTCGCCCTATACTTTCGTCCCTACCCCTCCCAGTTCTTTCGTAAGGTGGTCCTGGTCCTCTCGGGTACCACGAGACGGCGCATGCGTGTGGAAATGCCGCTGTTGCTATTGCTGCTGCTCCTCTCTTCCCTCAATCACGATTTGTAGACGCGCAGCTCCTCCCCTTTTACGCAAACGAATCCTTTCCTTCATTCAGCCTATCGCTTCCCGCGCATGCCCGCGAGAGCGCGAGCGAAGGAAGGCGAAGGCGGGGTGTACTGGGGAGCGAGTGCGCACGCGCGCGTGGGGGAGCGCGGGCGAGCAGCAACCTGACCAACCGGCGAGCCGCGTCGCGAGCCCGGACGGCTTTGAGAGCGCGCGTGCGCGCCCCGCGCCCCTTGCTTGGTGCTTCTCCTCACTGCTTGGGCCGAGCGAGCGAGTTCCTCGCCTCACAGGGCGGGAGCCAGGCGCGGCGGCGGCGGCAGCGGCACCAGCGGGAACGTTTTTGGCGGGTGAGTTGCCAGGCGAGGCGGGCCGGGGGGTGACGGTAGCGAGGGCACGGGAGGGAGAGGCTCACCTCCACCTAAGGGCGAGGCGGGCGTGGAGAGGGACTCCCTCAGCAACGGCTCGGCGGGGCCTAACGTCTCCCTGCCCTTCCTCGGGGTAGTGAAGAGTGAGGGAGTAGAGAAGGAAGTAGCCGCGTCGCGTGCTTCCCCCTCGCTCGCCTTACCTCCCCATCCCATCCTTTTCCTGCCGTGGGCTGGCCGAGAGTGTAACTTCCACCCCACCTACGTCCCCTCAGGGCCCTTCCCGCGTAGGTGGCCCCCGCCGCACCCCCGCTCTCTCTTTGCGACACCTACTGTTACTTTCGCTTTTAGAGGGTTGCGAAGTGTTTTTCTTTTGAGTTCCGTGCCGGTAGCAGCTTGTGTTGTCGGTAATACTCATGAGTGGATAAGTTCCTTTCCCGATAAGCTCCTTCTCTCTCTCCTCTCCCCCCCCCCACTTTCTGTTCTATAAAACCGTGGTCACTTGACAAGGTGGTGGCCTACTTAAGGCCGCTTGTTTTAAGGGTAACGTATCTACTAATAGGTTTGTAATTATAGTTTTGGGCCCGGCCTGTAGGTGTGTGGCGATAGTTGGAGTGAGGGGACCAAGTTGGAAATATAGAAACGGGGCTTGTCTTCCATATTGTGTTGGGTGTGTAATCATAGCGTTGCAAAATGTAGATGGCATTACTTATTCTCCTGACGATAACGCTTTCCATAAGTAACCCTTTGAAAGATCTTGCTGAAAAGCAAAGATACTTACTTGTTAACTAGCTGATACTTTTATATCTTGTACATCATATTTCACTTCTTACCTTTACCAAGCCGTCCTCTCCTTTGCTTCTTACTTTGTGTTCATATGGTGGAAAAGTGAAGAAGTTTAGTTTCTTCTCTAGGGATTATTCAGAAGAGCATGCCATCTGTATTTCTCACAAATGCTTCCTGGGCAGTTATATAGACTCCATGTTTTTATTTAAGGAAGACTAATTGAAAGTGTTAAGAAGACATCCCAGCATTTGCCTCTGCCCTGCTTTTCAGGAAGTAAACCTTTTTATCTCCTGTACACAAAGTCACCTTGGTAATGGATGGAGCAGGTCCTCCCTCATCTGTTAATGTTTGCTTGAACAAGCACTTCAGGAATTGAAGTATCTTATGTTTTCCTTATTATCCTAACTCCTCAACAATTTAAATGAATTTGAAGGCCGCTTTTAGATATTAACTTAGATTGCATGGTAACATTAACTAGGATTTTTTGGGGGGGTACTATTCTAGCTTGTTGTTTTTCCTTTTAAGTCATTACCTGTTAATCCTTTTTATTCCTGAACCCCTCTCTCTGTTAAGCCTCTTTCCTTCTGCACCTATACAGCATGCACAGCTCCTTGATCAGTACAATCATTTATCAGTTGTTTCCTCCTTTATATTTCCATACTGATAATTCTCCCTGCAACCCCAACTGTTCCCCTCTGTTCTATATGGCATGTCACCTATACGGTATTCTGATGCCCACTGTTTTCTATGCTCTGTAACACCTAGGATTAATTACTGAAATGTATTATATGTGGGAATCTTTGAAGAATTAACTGCAGTTAGTTCTAGATATAGCCACCAGGGGCTGGGGCTAATCAGTAGAAACGCATCAGACTGGTCTTCAGAAACTTACATTGGCTTCCAGTCCATTTCCAAGTACCATTCAAAGTGCTGCAGCTTATTTTTAAAGTCCTACAAGGCTTAGGACTCAAGTACCCAAAGGGCTGCCTGCTCTCATACCAACCTGTATGTGCATTAAGGTCCTCTTTGGAAACTTCACTCCAGGCACTTCTGTCATCTGAGTATAGCCTTCTTGGTAGTAGTGCCCATCTGTGGAATACCCAGAGAGACTCACATGGCATTGTTTTATTTCTGAAAATTTATTCTTTTTATATCCTACCTTTCTTCCACTATGGAACCCAAGGCGATGTACATGTGGTTCACAGAGAGTTACTGGGCTTTCAGCTTTGCTTCCATGGTGTGTTTGTGTGAAATCAACACCCATGCCTGAAGGTGGGGCCAGTGTGATTCACATGTGATAGAGGCTTTGATTAGGTAAAAGTTACACTACATCATATCTAAATCTTGATAAAGTTTAACTAATTAGTGAGTATACTGTGGTAATGTCTCCATTCCTTAAATGTATTTTATCATGAAAAGTATAAATCACAGTAATGAATCATAGCTGTATATGTGTTTCCCGTTCTTTCCAGTTGTTTGGAAAACCTTGTTCACTTGGAAGAGACAGTATATAGTGATAAGCTGATCTTTGTGCAAGAAAACATATCCTGTACTGTATGATGAGAACTTTGCCCTTCCCTGTAGATAATGAAGAGAAGAAGGTTCTAGCAACTATTCAGGCAAGGACACATATCAGAATATTTCAGAGATCCCTTCAAATGTGATTGGAAAAATAAAAGGAAAGCAGGAAATATTGAACCCGAATAGAATTGTAAAGCACTTTAAAGAATAAGTGTACGTTTTTAAGTTGAGTGTGGGTGCATTTCAGTTGGTGCCCTTACTTTCACATAAGTGCTTTTGATCCAGCAAAGAGAAAGCAAGCAGTTTTTGTTGATTTCACTTCTCCTGCCTCTGGGTCACCTTCTTCCCTCTTCTGACAGGTCTGCCAATTATCTGCAGCCTGTTTTCAGGGGCTGGGGGGATAATATGCAAATATAGCCCCCACACTTCCATTAGTAGAGGCATATGCTGGTTCAGAAGCTCTTTAGTGAGCTCAAGAGCAGCAGCTTGAGTCTACCCAGCCAGCAAGCTTTAATTTAATATGAGCAGGGTGGATATTACTGCAAGACTGTGTGTCTTTATTGCACTGTACAACAACAACAACAAACTTTATTAAGGTCGCAGACCAGCATAAGATACAAACACGCAAATAAAATAAAGCACATAAGACTTAAAGAGGAGACGGGTAAAAGCAAATAGTTATAACTCACATAAATTTAAAGCAGAAAGAGAGAAAAGACAAATGGTTAAAAGTGACTATAAGGGAGGGAACGTGAAGCAGCACAGGTCTTGCATTATGGGCCTTCTGTTTAGGCCTGGTTTGTGAGACAAAACGTCCTTTGACGTATGTCCATCAGGGCAGTGCAAAATCTAGCAACTGAGTATGTGACATTGCACTGTATATATTTTGCATGCTATTCTTTTTGCTATACAGTGGAACCTCGTGTTACATACCGCCCACCTTATGAATGCTTCGGGTTACGAGCTCCGCTAACCCAGAAGTAGGTCTCCTGGTTGGGAACTTTGTCCCGGGATGCGAGCGGAAGTAGTGCAGCAGCAGTGGGAGGCACCATTAGCAAAAGCGCGCCTCATGTTAAGAACGGTTTCGGGTTATAAACGGACCTCCTGAACAAATTAAGTTCGTAACTGGAGGTACCACTGTAGAGGTAATGTCCTTAAAATCCCTATATAAGAATCATAGCACTTGTGACAGTTTGTGCATTTAAATATGGGAATATAGGAACCTGCTGACTGGGTAATATTGTCATTGCTGCTGTAATGTGTTTTCTACTTTATTCTGCCTTGGTCCAGCCTCCCACCCTGCAAAAAAGTCCATACTTACACGTAGAAGCAAGATCTGATGGTGACTGGTTAGACTAGAGCTGTTTTTTTATTAATGAGAATGAAATGCATATGTTTAGGTGTAAATATTCATATCTGAAAAAATGGTTCTTCATTTTACATAGAATATCTTCTTTTCACACAGTGAATCTGTTAGGGCAGGGACGTCCAACTCCCAACAGACTGCAATCTACTCACAGAATAAAAAACAAAAACTGGCAGTGATCTACCCCTTTGTTGGGGAGGTTTCAGGTCAAAGTTGTTGAGCTTTTTTAGGGAGGAATGGAGGAGGAATGTCCCTTTTTTGGGGGGGTTCAGGTCAGAACCTCCTGGGGATCCCAGTCAAACACAATCAACCTGTTGGACATCTCTATGTTAGGGGGGCATTGATTTGGTTTGATGATGAACTGTAGGACTAGCATTCTTATGGCTAAATTAATATTAACCTAGTTGTTTAAGACGGCAGGAAATTGACATTTTTAAAAACAACTATTCAAGCCAAACTTGTTTTAATATGATGGAAAACTGTTGACAATAATTTGAAGTTAGCTGTTTAAGAGACACTCCTCTTTAGGATCTGAATAAAGATATTCTTGGAACTTTGCAGCACTAGAGCTAAAAATTGGGCCTTATTTGGATAAACATCTTTAAACAGTTACTAGCTCTTGTGAGATTGTTTTTAGGAAGCTTTGCAGTTACATCTATATTGTGCAAAGTGGCTTGAGAAACAAAACAACAGCTTAATTTGTAAAGTGGCTTGAAGAAGTGGGCTTGTGTATCATATATGCCGTTACTTCCTCTCCACCTATTATGATCATTATTTCCCACCTTTTACTCTGTCCGGGACTCAAGGCAGCTTACAGATAAAATAGAAAAAGCTAAAAACCTACTGCAGCATGTGGCACAGAATTGTATCCTTAGAATTCTAGTCTAGTAAGCCTTGGTGAATACAGATAGCATTACCGTATTTTTTGCTCCATAAGAAGCACCTGACCATAAGATGCACCTAGTTTTTAGAGGAGGAAAGCAACAAAAAGGCTCCCCATCCCAATTTGACAGAGCGCGCGAGGGAGGAAGATCCCCCTCCGTGCTGGCTCCTGGCTGCTCTCATGCAAGTCACAGAGCTCCTCAGATGGAGGGAACTCTAAAGAGTGTTCTAAAGCCCTCTTCCCCTGCCTCACCTTTCCCCACCCCCTTGCACAGGTGGGGGACGCTCACACGGGCGACGTGCCACTCCGGGAACCAAAGTCCCCAGCTCTGCCGCTGCCAGGGACCACACATTCGCTCCATAAGACGCACAGACATTTCCCTTTACTTTTTAGGAGGAAAAACATGCATCTTATGGTGCGAAAAATACGGTACTTTGAGGTGGTGAGTGAGATGCCAATAAGTTTTTGAAAAAAGAATATGGTATTGTTTCAGGAAGACTATTGCCTAATATAAACACTGTTGATAGTGTTCTAGAGTGAAGAAATTATGGGTTTAGGGAGCAGAAGAAATTGTAATCAGTAGTACAGCCTTTGTATATGTATGAATTGGAGGTGTAAAGAATAGTGGAGCTTGTGTAAGGAGGCAGATTGAAGGTACTGCTGTCATGGTTCACCTGAGACTGTTGATGCTTTAATGAAAATGTAAAGGATAAGGAATTGGGGAAAGTTGTGTGTGGGGGGGGGGAAATGGGTGAATTTCAAAACTGGCTGCCTTGACTAAGGGTTTGGAGTTAAGTTCAGTGAGGTGAAAAAACAGTATGGGTAAGTAAGTAATGGTGACCTGAGTAATGGTGTCTGGGGAAAGGTGGGGAAAATCACGAAACAGATTCTTCTAAAAGGAAGCTTAGGTGGATAAGAGACAACTAGAAAGGCTATAGAAGGTAATATTTGGACATGAAGAAAATAATACCAGGGAACACTTTAGAGAGTCATTTTACTTATACTGTATTGGTAGCCTTGGTAAATCGGGAAGCATGGTGGCTGAATGAAAGGGCTTCAGGGTGAAAATCAGAAATACAGTCATACCTCGGGTTACAGCCACTTCAGGTTGCGTTTTTTCAGGTTGCGGACCGCCAAAATCCGGAAGTACTGGAACGGGTTACTTCCGGGTTTCGGCAGTTGCGCATGCACAGAAGTGCTAAATCGTGCTTTGCACATGCGCAGAAGCACCGAACCACAACCCACACGTGCGCAGACGCGGATGGTGAATGTGCATCCCGCACGGATCACGTTCACAACCCAAGCATTCACTGTACATGTTCATTATTTAACTATAGGAAAATGATAATGTGTGAAAAGTGTGAGGGCTGATAATTCAAGTCAGAAAATATTTTTTTTAAGAAGGAAGAGTGAATAAAGAGGGTAATATTAGATGTACTGGAAATGAGGTATCTGAGTCACATTGGAAGAAGAGATTGCAGAAAATTAAAACTGAACACCAAGTATTTTTTTCTAATTTGTTATAACATAAATAACAGAATAAGCAGTTTGCTGAGGATGGTTCAGGTAATGCTGCTGCATGAAACTCCATTGACAAGCTCTTACCTGAATTAGAATTCTTATTCTGTATGCCAGCAAACAACATAGTACTCATTGAGTTTTCATTATTATATACAGTTGAAATTTAGGGTAATTGTTTGAAATAGCAATTGTTGATTTGGATTGAGTCTTGTGGTAAGAGAAGTGGTGTGCTGGAGGAAGGGTACAGGGAGATGATTTTTGCCAATACCGTCTTCCCTATGTGCCCCCTAAAAAGCTGATATAGGGCACTGGGGTACTTTTCAAAACAGTATGGTAGGTCACCCTGGGGGGCTGTAGGGAGGCATATGACCTTCCCTCTAGCAGGATGTTGTTGAAACTGTACAATTTATGGAGGTGCAAATCTGCATATGAATGGTTGTAATTATTTGAGCATGGGGGGGGTGGAGACGGGCATCTTGAAAGGAAAATATTGCGACTGGTATTTTTCTAGAGAGAAATGCATTTATTTGACCTGTGCCTGGGAAAAGATGGACCTATACTGAAGATAATGGAGCAAACAAATAGATTTGCTGCTTTTAAAAGGATTCTGGAAGTAGATTGTCTAGCTGAGATAGTGATGTGGGTGTAACATTTTCCAGTGCTTTATTTCTCCATAGAAACTTTTCACTTTCATAAGTTTGTTCATAATACTGAATGCACGCCAGTTACTAATAAATATTTAAAAAGCTTGGCAATGTTTTTGGCTTTTTCCTCTAAATGCAAATAAAATAAATATTCTAATTTAAATCACTTAAGGCACCACAAATTATCTCATGCAATTTACTCTATAATTTGTATCGAAATTCCCTCCAGAAGTTTTCCAGAAACCCCACATCACTGGTTGACAATGACAGCTAAATTACTGCTGTTACATGCAAGAGTTAAATCATGGTTAGTTTTTAGGATTGCTTCCAATCTTAGTTCTGTTCATAGTAAGTTCTGTTGAAATTAATTGATGTGATTAACTTAGATCCATTAATTTCAATGTGCCTTGACTAGCATCAGTTTCTGAATTCTTAACCACTTTCTTTTCAAGTAGCATATAAGTAGAAAATGTAGGAACATAAATGCTTGTTGTTTTCACTCAGTTGCTGGTGGCCAAAGCAACAAAAGCTTTTGGGGGGACCATAGGTCTGTCAGATAACATTTCTGGTTTTAAAAAAACCCACACATTTTGCCATGCAACAATTAGTCATACAACCAATAAAATGAGGAAACTATTGAATTATCCAAAGCAGTGCTCAGGATCTAATAGAAGATGTAAGTGCTGTCTGATTGGTTGGCATGCGTCTGTCTTGGGAGACAATAGGAGACAATTTGAGGGTTAAACTGTTGGAAAGTTACAGCGCTTGTTGTGATTGTAGAGACTGATACGGGACAGGCATGGTTGTTGCAGCTGGGGCAGATTGTTCTGCTGCAGATGCAGCTTGGTGTTTCTTCTCTCTGCAGTCGTCATTCCTCCTCTGGTCACTTCTAGAAATGCTGTCAGTCTGCTTGGAAATAATTGAACAAATGCTATCAGATTTATTTTTAATTTAATTTAGCATGTGAGTGTGGGAAATTTCCCAGAAAGGCCAACATTTCACTATATTTCTTTGTGTGTGTGTAGAGTGCAGCAGTTCTAACAAATTAGAAATTCAGTGTCATGTTCTTCCTTGCCATGCATAGCAATCCCCCTCTCCTCCAGGGTTTTCCCTGATCCTTCCAGAGTCAATTACTTTTAGCATGTGTATGGGGTGGGGGAAGCCCCATTGCACAGAGAAACAGAAGAGGGCCTTCTCGGTAGTGATGCCCGCTCTATGGAACGCCCTCCCATCAGATGTCAAAGAAATAAACAACTATATCACGTTTAGAAGACATCTGAAAGCAGCCCTGTTTAGAGAAGTTTTTAATGATTGATGTCTTACTGTATTTTAAATCTTTTGTTGGAAGCCGCCCAGAGTGGCTGGGGAAACCCAGCCAGATGGGCGGGGTATAAATACATTATTATTATTATTATTATTATTATTATTATTATTATGTGTCTTTGCGCAGGACTTCCACTGACGGGACCCATTAGTTTAATCCCACCCTTTGAATCTGTTAAAAGGAAGATGGTAAGACACAGAAGTGGTAAGACACAGAAGTATCAGATCCCACTAGGAAGCCTGGAAGTTACTTAAAGCTATGTAGAAGGTCAAATAAAATTCATGTCACTGCTCAAAAAAGATGCAAATAAGACAAAGGGGGATCAGCATGGTTAAACAGCAGTGGAGGATGGTTTCCATAAGTAAATAGTCTTAGTATAGTTGCTGTCTGCAAGGTCTTGTCTGTCCTCTCTCACTGCCTGCCCTGGAATTTCCATTAGCACCATTTCTTACCCCTTTGCTCCAGAGAGCCCAAATGGCTACATTCTGGATGTACAGTTAAATTATATACAGATTCACTGCCTTTCCCCCCTTATGTTCTTCCTTTCTCTAGTTCCTTTGTCCTCTGTATTTCGACTCCCTTTTTTATTGGAGATGGGTAACTTTGAACTTGAGGTATTGTAAAAAAATTCTGTACATATTCATTTATTGTACCGTCCTGCAAGGTTCTGTGATATTCTAGTGGGATCATCACATTTAATATAGTTACTCCTAGACATTGAGTACCACACCTTCTTGCTATGTTTCTATTGGCCTTGGAATTTTTTGTCGGGTCCAGTTAAAATAACTCAGCCTATAGTTAGCTCTAGGCCCTAGGGAATAGCTCTTTCGTGAAATTTTATTTGGATTTGGGTAGTCAAAGTATACAGACCTCCTACTGTATTTCTAGGGACCTGACTCACCCTGTAATCTCAAACAATAGTCTTATTCTACTCTGATCATTGATGTTTCTTTTTCAAAAGTTGTTCTGAGAGACAGTACTATCATACTTAGTAAATAATTAGAAAAGTGGGTTTTAAGGTTCTGAAATGTCTTTGTTAAATGATTTAATCCCACAGTTCCCTGTATCATGTCAATTAGTTCACTCTTCAGGTGTCTCATTTCTCATATGAGTTTTTCATTACTACTGATCACACCTCCCTTCTTTGTGGGATGTTCTTGTTGATAGGTAGCAAAGAAGCTAAACTGTGACTGCAGTTTGGGGGAAGGGTTGCTATAGCAGCTGGGTGTTGGCTGTTCACCAGGCTGTTTCTCTTTTCCAGTCTCCTCGGGGCAAGTTGGTTCTACAGGAATCCATGTGATGGCATTTGGACGATGGAGGGGCCACAATGGGAGCAGGATGGGTGGAATCCCCAAGCTTTTTTCTTCTCCCCTTCCTTCAGGGCAAGGTTGTTTTCCAGATGCCCCTGCAGAAAAATGGCATGAAGTTAAAAAGAAAAAAGCACATATTTTCCCTTTACCACACTTCTTAGAAGCGCCCCCCCTGTTGTTATAAACTGCTCAGTTATAAACTGGGCTTGCAACCAGTCCAGAACCCTTTGGTATTATATAGTGGGGTAAGGAAAGGCTTGGGGGAGTCAGAAATAATCTCCCTGAAACCCCACCCGATGGCGGGGGGAAAGCAACACTGACCATTCATTCCAAAGCTCCTGATCCAGGCTGGCTGCTGAACAGGAGTTCTTTTATTGGTTGGGGATGCACAACAGCATTATGAGCTGGAAAACACTACAAGGTTCCTGCTTGTAGGAATCTATTTGTTAAACCTACAAGGGAAAGAGAAGGCTATTAATCATCTTGCAAGCGACATCCAGAAGGCATATCAGAAGAAAGGAGAGAGAATCTGACCAATGGGAAATACAGTCAAAGGGGATGTGCATAGCTGGGGAGAGGCTTAAAGGACTGATGGGCAAAGTAACAGATCTGAAAGTTAGGTTCTGCAAATCTATTTTAAGGATAAAAACTTAATAACAGTAAAGAGTGTGCCTTTTAAGATACAAGCCATGAAATATTTGACCCTGACATTTTGAGAAACAATCACCTAATTCTGGTAGAACAAAGAGTTAGTTGTCTTAATGTATACTGTCTTTTGAAGTGCAATAATTTTGAAAATCTGCCTTTTTAAAAGAGTGGAGTCCTGGCTCTGAATATGCTGAAAATAAAGGTAAGCCACCGGGTTTTGGGTTTCGGTTTTATTAACATTAATAGATAATTTTAGATAATCCCAAAATCCAGAATGAGTTAATGGATGTTTGAAGTTCCCTGAGTGCAAAATATGTCCTGGTGTTTGTCCTAAATATAACATGTCTCACAAGTTTTACAGATGTGGAAACTGAGTCACATAAGACTGTTACCCATAATTATAGGTTCTCATATGGGAAAAGTACTTTGGCTCTTAACTCTCAGATCTGTACTAAGGATCAGTACTGCATTGCACTTTCTCTTGAATGCTTAACCTTATTTTTATCTCTTCTAGGTACAAGAAGCTCAAGATGACAAGTTGGCAAAATGATTTAAAGACTTTTAAAGCAAATATGAATGAATAAGGATTAATTTTATTTGTGTGAGAATGCAACAGTTTGGAGCAGACAAAGTGCTCTAGGACATGGGTGTGGAGGTCCCAGGCATCTTTTCTTTTTACTGTCAGTTACATTTTGGATTTTTAGGAAAACATTTGAAAACTCAGTCTCTAACTGGGTCTACTCCAGACACAACTGATCCATAATTAATGAAGCAATCTCAAACTTAATTTTCAGTTTTTACCAGTAAAACTGGACTTGTTGAAGGATTTTTGGTGTTGTACACAAGGGAACAAATAAGGAGACTAAAACGCAAGACCAGCCTTCCAGTGTGCCCCCTACTCCCCCTTGAAAGAAAAGGATTTTCAGCTCAACCTTGCACCAGCTGTTACCCGGATTTAGTAGTCAAGAGAGAAATAAACAAAATTAAACAACGAATGCCAGACAACCCTAGTTCCTGGTGAAATCAGGGGAGAGTGCTCCTACTTTAAAAGAAGAGAACATTTGCGGCACGAGGTGGGGGGCAGAGAATGATGTACACAAGCATGGCAGATTTGCTAACACAATAACCTTCCGCTGAGCAACAACAAACAGATTAAAAAGGAGAAACTTGCTCCAGAGTCTACATTGCAAAATTACCATGTGTTCTCTGAAACAAAAATAATAACAAAGCAAACCATCAAAACCTAGTATATACCTTGTGTCTTTCATTGATCACCTTCGTTGGGGTGCTTATTTGGCTCATCCTGCACTCTTGCACTAAAACATCTAGCCCAGTTCTTATACTTCATTTGCTGCATTTTTCAACTCTGTGTCACCTCAGAAGAGGATCATCTCTACTCTACTCTAGGAAGCGCACATTTTTACAGGGCTTTCCTGGTACAGGAACCTGTGCAATTTCTTGAACCACTAGAATTTTCAATTGGAGTACAAGCTCTCATTTTATATTTTTAATTTTCCTTGCCCCACAAGAATCTTGGGACTACATATAGAATTCCCATTGTTGTCTTCTGTGACACTTACTTTGGTTGTGCATACTACTATTCATTTTCATCTGGATCATACTGTAAATCTGATCTGACTCGTAACAGCTAACTACAAGAACTTGAATACAGATTTAAAAGTCTCTCCTTTGCACAGTTGCTTTTCTTTTTGAAGGTCCCTCCTGCATTTTCTTGTCCTTTCTGACTCCAGTTGGGCCTAGGCTATGCTGCAGGGCGGATCATCGATCAGAGCTCCAACATGCCAGCAGCATCTGGAAAGAGATTCAAACCCAGCAAGTATGTCCCTGTATCAGCGGCTGCAATCTTCCTAGTAGGATCCACCACACTCTTCTTTGCTTTTACGTGAGTCAAGAAAATATATAGTATTTGGGGAAGGGGGGCATGGATAGACTGGGTTGGCAGTTTTGCATGTGAGTCTAGAGGCTGTTAAGAAAATCCAGTACTCCTGGATAGAAAAAGCCAGCCGTGTACTCATTTTTGTTATGCTGACAGAAATGGTAATCTGAATCAGGGCACTCAGAACCCACTGATTTAATGGCTAATTTTGTTTAGCTTTGTTGAAATTTGCAGTCATGTTTTTATGGTCATATTAAATATATTGGTTGTATATGCACTTGCTTTTGCTCCTACAATACTGTATAGGTATGTGGAAACAAACCAGGAAGCCAAAGTTAAGCATAGTTTCCCGTTATGTGTGAAGTGAAGTTGGCTTTAGATTCTGGAAGAGGACTGCCAGAGAAGCCATAGTTTTCAGTTAGCAAAGAACCAGCATGTGAGTGTATAATACGAGGGCATATCCTGTCTTACTAAGGCAGGATTTGTGCAAACCAGGCCACCACATCTTGCTCACTTGCAATGGCCAAGGTTACACTTTAGTTTTTCTGTGGTGGAAGAGTGCCATTCCTACAGCTTTTATTATAGGGACCTCTTGGAAAGAAATGTAAGTGGAACCTGGATTAAAATGCACATCTAGTAGATAAAATAATGTCTCACTGTGCAGGGAAGTGTGGGAGCTTAGTTTGGGCACAAGCACTGAGGTTACTGTATATATTGGGGTTCACAATTGTACCTGCAATGCAGAGGAGTGATGTTTTTTGCCATGGTGGATAGGGGAAGATTTATCTGCCAGATAAAAAGGGAAAGCTTGTTCAGCATTGGGAGGCCTATTTGTAGTCAAAATAATCAGATATGTTGACTATACAGAGTAATATCTGTTAAGCATAACTTAATTGAAGGCTGTGAGATCATTAAAACAGCCTAAATAACTTGTCTGGTTGTTATTTGTTTTATTTAACATATTTATATGCTGCTTAATTACCAGAGTCTAAATGGTGTATATAAAAATCATACAGTGAGTAAAATCAATTACAATTAATTATAAAAACTGAAAGCCTCCTTACCTTCAAAGTTGTCAGTTGTGTTTCAGAATCTGTTGCTGTGAAAAATGTCTACTGACATTTATAAAAGAGAATTGCAATAGGCAATCTGAGATTGTGAATGGCATACTACAAAAAACATCAGTTTCTGTTGAACAGAATGCTTGTCATACAAGGAGTTTGGATACTTAGGCAGGAAAATAAGCCACAGATAGGAGCTGTTATCCTGGTTTACCATTGAGGATGTTATTGGTCTTCATGTTAAATAATTGCAGTGATGTGTATGAAAAAATGGCTAAATTGTGCACACTTGAAGGAATAATTTTATGCAATATATGATTCAAATACTTTTTAAAACATTTGCGCACACACAGTGATATAGTTTTCAGTGATGGCTTTTTGTGAAGTCAAGTTGAAATAAGTAATGTACAGGGCGAGAAGAGTGATTTGTGCACATATTTGGTCATACAAAACATGATTGTTTAAAGTGCTGCATAGCAGAAAGTTTAAGTTTGCTAGCACATAGTCTCTGGATAAATAAATATACCACTTCTTCACCAGGTAGTATAACAAGTAATTCTTAAGGAAGAGGCTGTCTTAGAATCATAGAATTGTAAAGTTGGGACCACATGAGTTATCTCGTCCAACTCCCTGCAATGCAGAAATCTTTTGCCCAACATGGGCTTCAAACCCACAACTCTGAGATTAAGAGTTTCATGTTCTACCGACAGAGCTATCTCAGCAGCTCATAACTTCGGTGATATACCACAACTGTTAGCAGACCTTGTCTGAAATGTATATATCACTTCCATGTGATGTGCTTGAATTCCATCAGTGGAATCCTTTGAGTTACTCCTTTTATTTAATACATAATCAGTGAACATTGGCATTTATGGGGCTAGTTTCTGTAACAGGTATGTATTTTCAGATCCACAGAAGGTACTCATAAAAAGTAGTACAGTATTTAAACTTTTTCCCCACCATAAGTATACTATAGAAGCATTCTGCAGAGAGCTACAATTGTATTTACTGGATGTTCCTATGCTTTGTAAGCTAGAAATATGTATACATATATATGGCTTGTTCAGAATGAAAATTCAGTCAGTTAATTCTAGGTTAGTTGAAGTTGGCTAGCCTACTTTATAACATTTTAAAATTGAATCATAACTATCCTCTTCAAGAAGGATTGAAGCCCTCCTGACATTTAAGTTTTATTCAGAGTCATTTCGGGTGGGAGCCATGGATTTAATGTAATTCTCTCCATGCTCCATGGCATTTCTGAACATCACCTCTATTTCTGAGGGCTGCTTCTGTCTCATAATTGAAAGTTGCACAAGCAGCATAGTTGTACTCCTGATGTTTGAAGACCTGTTAACATGTAGTGTCTGAAGCATACTTTAAAAAATACTTCCCAACATGTACCTGAGATGGGCATGTAGCATTTTCACATTGTTGTAGGAATAGGGGTACGAGTTTAATAGTTTCTTTCAAAAGTGATGCAGGGTGTTACTGAAGTATAAAGATAACTTTAACTCCCGCATCTGCATCACTTATTTTCTCATTTGACTGACTTAAGCTGATTCTGTACCTATTCCATTGAAGCCTTGTGTCTGAGATGATACAAAAGTTCAAATTAATTATGACATAAGCTTTTGTTGTCTACTGTCAACTTCATCACCAGTGTTAGGAACTTAGATGTATAAGCTAACCTTATATATCTTAAACCAAGATGCCATGGGTGTGTGTTTGAAGAAATAATAATAAAAATAATAGCTATTATTTCTATACTGCTTTATATTTTAAAGAAAAAAGCTCAAAGTGGTTTACAACACATTAAAACATTGAGTAGAACTATTCTGAATAAATCAAATTCAAGCCTCATGGAAAATATTTCAGATCCTTCTGTAAGTGACATTTTGCTTTCCCCATATTTATATATCCACTTAATTTTTATAGCTGCCCCATAGCAGAAGTGCTCTTGGAAGTCAGTGTGGTGTAGTGGTTAGAGTGTCAGACTAGGACCTGGGAGATCAGGGTTCAAATTCCCACTCAGTCATGAAGCTCACTGGATGACCTTGGACCAGTCACAGCCTCTTTGTTTAACCTACCTTACAGAGTTGTTGTAGGGATTAACTGAGGAGGAGGGTGAACCATGTACTCCTTGGAGAAAAGGATGGGATGTAAATGCAATAAATAAGTTCTTCTGCTTACCTGCTTAAGAAAGCTGGAGGGCCCAGACAGATGGAGATATTAGTCGCCAACCTGGCATCCAGAGATCTCCACATGGTAATAATTCAACCTGCGCCAGTCGCAAAACGCGCCTGGCACCTGTGGGGTTTTGAACACAGTAATTAATTAATTAATTAATTAATAGTAATTAATAATACATTGATGATGATTGGTATGAGCCGGCATGTCAGCAGTGGTCATTGGACTGTGCTACACGGTTTCCCATTCACAATATGATGCAATTCTGCTATGCTGTGATGAGGGCAGAACTATTGTTTGGCTCCTGTAGTGTTCATTTAGCTGAGCTCCTCAGCAGTACACACATATAATTTAGCTTTCTTTCACTAATTTATTTGCTGCTTGTAGCAGACATGCTTAACCTTGCAGGTTACTAGATGCAAGATTCTTGAATGTGTGCTTTAAAGCTTCTTTTTGACTAAAAGAATTGGAGCAAATATCTCAGTCCAGTTCCAGCTGTTGATTAAAAGAGAGCCTTCTAGGTCTGAAGATGTGACTCAGTATATTTGGCAGGCAGTAATAGCTGAGCTTCCAAGAAGCCTGTTATCTACAGTGAAAAACATGATTCAACAGATCTTGGGGGTGTCTACATTCAAGAGTACTTGAAGTTGTTTTTCATGATTATTTGGTAAGCAGTTGCATGAACCCTCCCACAACTATGATCTTATAGACTTCTGTGTTGTATGCTACGAATTTCTCAATCGCCTCGCCTTTCATTTAGTTTGGGATATGGCCCTGAGAATCTGAGCAGTAAATGTATAGTATTGTAAATGCTGATTACTCTTTTTGCAGAGTGACAGCAGGAAAAAATCTTGTTTTTCTAGTAGGCTTATTTTGCTGTCTTCAGAATATCTTACCTTGTAACATTAACCATTAGCAAAATATACAGAGATTGATTGTCACATTCAAGCTTGTTAACCATGCAGGCATTCTCTTGGCCCTGGTGTACTTTTCTTGATCTCTAGAATACATTCTAGCTGAACTTCTAATTTATAATTTAAAACAACATTTAAGCATTTTGGGTAGATATGACCTCCTTGACTTTGCCTTTCAACTTCCTTTTTTAACTTCCCTTTTCTGGGAAGTTTCCTCTTTTTGAAGTCACATGTGACTGGGTTCAGGGGTTGTTGTTTCTTGTTTTTGTTTGTTTGTTTGTTTTTGCAATTGTCTGTTCACATATACATTGAATTTGATAGTATTATGACCACAGTTCTCAACTGATTCAACTACACTTGCACCAGGTCCTGGGGGCCACTCAGGATTAAGTCCCCAGGGTCATCACTCCTCTGTTCAGTTCCATTACCTGTTGTTCTAAGGCAGAGTCATTTTGAGTATCTAGAAACAAATATGCACTTAGTCCATGTGAGGATAATGGTAGTCACCTATTACTGCAGCACTTCCTCTTTTAGATGCCTCCTTGATTTAATTCTCCATTGATTTCTCATTCTCCTTTTCAAAATCATTGAGCATTTTGGTCAGGGGGAGCAACAGCATTTCTCTAGTGCTAAATTACCTTTTGAGGCTCGATATCACTACCCACAACAACTCTAAGGAAGAATCTGTGGCTTTGGGAATTTCCAGCTTATTGGACTCCATGTCCTCTTTGGCATACAGAGTGACACCACCTCAGTATGCCCCATCCTGTCCTTCCTATAGGGTTTGTATCTAGAGATAACTGTGTGCATTGGTTCTGTCCATTCTACCAGGTTTCTGTTATGCCTATTGTTATGTCTTAAGCTTTAATCCTAGAATAATAGGCGGGTAGGATTTTAGAATGTAAAATTTTAGAAGGGAAGTTTGAACCAGCCTCTCGGGTGTGGCTCTGTCTGTGCTTGCCTGCTTGCCCCTCCCAGACCCCAGGCTATATATCCTTTATTCACACCCTAGATCACACCTGATAGGCCGGTTTAAACTTCCCTTCTGGAGCCAGATTGGACGGCTCTAACAGCCAATCAGATTACTACATTCTAAAATCCTACCCGCCTGTCATTCTAGGATTAAAGCTCCAGACATAACACCTACTATTTCTGTATTTTCCTCAAAGTCCAAGTAGTCCAGCTCATCCATCTTGACTCGAGTCTTCTAGCATATAAACACTTAAATTTTGTTGGTTGTATCCAACCTACTTTTAAGTAAATGGCTCTCTTTGCTGTCTTCAGATATTATTCAGAGTGGTGGGGGAATCCCTAGAACAGATTAAGAGGGCACCAGATGAGAGGAAAGGGGAAGAAAGTCCCAACGCACAAGCAGAAATCCTTGCACTAATGGGACACTTACTCAGTTGTATGCAACATAGCATTAAGTGATTGTCATTTTTCATTTTAGTCTATGGTGCTTTCGTCTTTCTGAACTTCTGTCATGTGCCTCTGCACTGCCAGTACCCATTTAAACAATCATACCCCTTACGCCTTAGTGGGAAGATTTGCTTCCGTTGGCTTCACCCCCTGCAATCAGTTTAAAAACTGCTCTGACACATTTTTTATTTTAAGCATCAGCAGTCAGGTTCCATCCTTTTTCAAGTGGAGCTTGACCCTTTTGTACAGGCTCAGCTTGTCCTAAAACATTCCCTAGTGCCTAAAAAATCCAAATCCTTCCTCCTGACACCACCATCTCATCCACTCATTGATACTGCAAAGCTGTGCCTGTCTAGCTGGCTCTGTGTGTGAAACTGGTAGGATTTCAGAGAAAGCTATCTTGAAAGTCCTGGTTCTCATCATCCTACCTCACAACCTAAATTTCACTTCCAGGGCTTCTGCAAGCACAGCTACTGACTCTTCTCTCATACCCCCAAGTATTTTACTTATTTCTCTATCATAAGACCTGTTTTTTCCTTTAATTCTCTCCCCCACCCCCCCGGCTCTCCTTCATATTTTTCACTAACATTTTGCTTTTATTCAGTTTAAAGCCTGCCATTTCTTCAATATTTTAAAATTTTTCTTTTAAAACCTTTGGGGTGGACTCCAGTGGTTCTTCTAGTGATAACACCACATCATCTGCAAAAGCTTTTAATTTATAGGATCGTTGCCCCACTGCAATTCCTTTAATCTCCTGCACCAAGACTTCTAAGGCCAATATAAACAATAATGGTGATAGTGGACAACCCTGTCTTGTGGTAGGAATATTACCCACAATTAACCTTGCAAAATGCAAGGGTACAAACTAAACTCTTACTGAGTATGCTAAGGTGCAGGTGTTTGCAGCTCGCTCTAACATTTGGGACTAAATATTTGCTGTTTGGAAAATGTTGCTACAAATACTTTTACACTTCATAGACTGAATGATACAATTCTATGTAATGTATAATGCTGTTCATATTTTTAAAGTAGTAAAGTAGTTTAGATTTTTTGTTTTTTTACTTGATAGTTTCAGTTCCGTTCCCCCACATGCAAATTTCAGGTTTTTCCAGGAATCCCACTTTTATTCCCACCCTACCCCCTTTGTTTAAATGTTTTGGAAGCTTATTAAAAATACACTTACTACAGGGCATTTTGAGTTTCTTCTAGAGCCTCTGAGGGGCCTCTCATACATTATTTCATGTCTATATATTCAAAATATTTATATACCACTCTTCTGATGGAAAACTGCCCAGAGTGGCTTACAAATCAATTGTTCTCCAGTGTACAGTCTAAAAAGCCATAACAGAAGAGGGAAGATGATGTAGAGGGGAGAGGAAAACAAGCAGTCTCAGTCACCACATTCTTAAGTTACAAAATTCTTATATCATCTTGCATGAAAATGGGTTGCTCAGGGTGGGGGTTTTTTGTGGGGGGAGGGGGTTAAGGCCTTTGTAGCCTATGAGAAAAATCCCTGGCAACCAACCTTTCTGAAACTGTCTATAATGTAGCTGGAAGCTGCAGTTTGATACAGGGTGGATTGTTTGCCTTCTGGGATTTATCTGGAAGCTGCCAGCTTCTTAGCACTCCTATTGCAGCAGGTAGGTTTTGGAGGTCCAGTAGTAGTAGTAGTAGTAGTAGTAATAATAATAATAATAATAATAATAATAATAATAATAAATTATACCCCACCCATCTGGTTGGGTTTTCCCAGCCACTCTGGGTGGCTTCCAATATTAAAAATACAATAAAACATCAGACATTAAAAACTTCCCTAAGCAAGGCTGCCTTCAGATGTCTTCTAAAAGTCAGATAGTTGTTTATTTCCTTGACATCTAATGGGAGGGCATTCCACAGGGTGGGCGCCACCACCGAGAAGGCCTTCTGCCTGGTTCCCTGTAACCTCACTTCTCACAGTGAGGAAACCGCCAGAAGGCCCTCAGTGCTGGATCTCAGTGTCTGGGCTGAACGATGGGGGTGGAGATAATCCTTCAGGTATACAGGGCCGAGGCCATTTAGGGCTTTAAAGATCAGCACCAACTCTTTGAAGTGTGCTCGGAAACGTACTGGGAGCCAATGTAGGTCTTTCAAGACTGGTGTTATGTGGTCTCGGCGGCTGCTCCCAGTCACCAGTCTAGCTGCGCTAGATTATGGATGGAGTTTCCAGGTCACCTTCAAAGGTAGCCCCACATAGAGTGCATTGCAGTAGTCCAAGCGGGAGATAACTAGAGCATGCACCACTCTGGTGAGACAGTCTGCGGGCAGATAGGGTCTCAGCCTGCATACCAGATGGAGCTGGTAGACAGCTGCCCTGGACACAGAATTGACCTGTGCCTCCATGGACAGCTGTGAGTCCAAAATGACCCCCAGGCTGTGCACCTGGTCCTTCAGGGGCAGAGTTAACCCCATTCAGGACAAGGGAGTCCTCTTTATGGTCCAGCTCTCACTTCCATGCATCACTACTGGGAAAACCATAGCTTTAACTATATGGACCTTTGTTCGCAAGGTGATGTCTCTGCTTTTTAAGATGCTGTCTAGGTTTGTCATTGCTTTTCTCCCGAGAAGCAGGCATCCTTTAATTTCGTGACTGCTGTCACCATCTGCAGTGATCATGGAGCACAAGAAAGTAAAATCTCTCAATGCCTCCATTTCTTCCCCTTCTATTTGCCAGGAGGTGATGGGACCAGCGGCCATGATCTTTGTTTTTTTGATGTTGAGCTTCAGACCATATTTTGCGCTCTCCTCTTTCACCCTCATTAAAAGGTTCTTTAATTCCTCCTCACTTTCTGCCATCAAGGTTGTGTCATCTGCATATCTGAGGTTGTTGATACTTCTTCTGGCAAGCTTAACTGGCATAACTAACTGGCATATTTGCCTACAAATATCTTTAGAGTAATAGTAGGCAGCTGCCTCATTTTAATCTTCAGAACACTAGTACTTGGTTAAATGATTCTTGTATATATTATGTAGTTGCCTTTCCATTGATGGCTGTACAAAAATAAAGAGCTAAAATTTGTTGCAAATGCCTTAGTACCAGCTTCACATTTCCAGAAACCTGCTCCCCCTTCCTCTTCTTTGCACCCTCCCTGATAAACCAGAACGTTAATGTGAACAGAATTTCTAGAGTTCAAGTAATAGAATGCCATTCATGCATGATGGACAGGATGTATAAAGTGAAATGAAAGGGAAAAAAATCTGAGCAAGCATGTTAGTGAAGCAGTTTGCTTAAACATACCATTTGCATCTCTTTTCTTAGGGGATCTAGAAACTAGAACAGGCATAGGCAAATTTGACCCTCCAGATGTTTTCGGACTACAGCTCCCATGATCCCTAGCTGTGGTCAGGGATTATGGGAATTGTAGTCCCAAAACATCTGGAGGGCTGAGTTTGCCTATGCCTGAACTAGAAGGCTAAAATCGTAAGAGCAAACCACTGAACTTTTCTCTCTAATACTGGTAGATCCTGATTGGGTCACAGGTTACATAGGCATCTTAAGAAACTGAATGGGCTGTGGTTCTAATAGAGAAAGTTCCATTAAGTCTCAGTTTCCATGTGTCATTGAAATTCATTCTCCAGGCCCATTTCCCTGGTCTAGGTGAAAAACAGTTGGAACCAATGGATCATTGATGCCACAAAAAATTCATTCATCCATATTACAATTTGATATTTTAATGTAGAGTTTTGGAAGCACCATCCCTCCTACATTAAGGTAGTTGATTAAATGGGCACTAACTATGTCAATAAGGGACGCGGGTGGCGCTGTGGGTAAAACCTCAGCGCCTAGGACTTGCCGATCGCATGGTCAGCGGTTCGAATCCCCACGGCGGGGTGAGCTCCCGTCGTTCGGTCCCAGCTCCTGCTCACCTAGCAGTTCGAAAGCATCCTTAAGTGCAAGTAAATAAATAGGTACCGCTTTATAGCGGGAAGGTAAACGGCATTTCCGTGTGCTGCTCTGGTGCCGGTTCGTCAGAGCAGCTTCGTCACGCTGGCCACGTGACCCGGAAGTGTCTGTGGACAGCGCTGGCTCCCGGCCTCTAGAGTGAGATGAGCGCACAACCCTAGAGTCTGTCAAGACTGGCCCGTATGGGCAGGGGTACCTTTACCTTTTAACTATGTCAATAGTGTGCTTACTGGCAAGTGTCTTCTCATATAAGTACGTATACTTTTCATATTTTATTTTGCGTGTAAAACAATCACTTCCAAGCCGGTTGAGTAACTTTTTCATTTGTTCAAAACATAATAGCTTTTTGTAGCACCTGTAAGGAATTTCTAAGAAGTTGAATGTTGGTTGGCCTACATATAAGAAGTTATGAGAAATTTGGGCTCAAACAGTAATTTAGCAGAAATGCAGTAATTATGACTGGCATGATCAGGAACACCATGTGGGTATCCAACTTCTTCAGCGTAGGGCCTATATTCTATTCTCCTTTTGCACTGTTAGCTGTCTCTGCAACAGCCAAACTTAGAACTTCACTAGTGTATAGCTTATGGCCTAAAACAGTTCACTAATGGATGTGGAGCTGCGATTGAGTCACCTGTTCATCCCTTCAGTTGTAGCAGAGAAAATACAAACACGGACTGGTCATGTCTGTGTCATTAGATGTTTGGGAAGGTTTCTGACCTAGATCTCTTCTGTAGGGAGAAAGTTATAAAATAAATTGGGTTAACTACTGGGATAGGACTTGAAAGTTCCTGTCTGAGTTCTTTAAACATTACCTCCTCTGACAGGGTGGAGTCTCCAGCATCTGCCTGTCTACTTTCAATACCTTGACCACCTTTCATTTTGTCACTAGCCGCCTTACTTGTTTTCCCTCATTTCTTTTATTTTTTCCACAGTAGAAGGCTTTATCATTAAAATATAGGTATGTGAATGCTAGGTAAAAGATGTATAATTCCCATCTTTTAGGTGCTTGGCCTGTGATGTATATGCAGTACATAATAACTTCTTAAAAAAATTATCAAGAATCAGCAACATCATTGTCATCTAGTATCTCACTCTGCAAGAGGCTTATAATTCCCATGGTTTTGTCCGGCCTTAAGACTGTTTCTGTAGACATATTGAATGCTAGTGGCTTTGAGATGTGTACATATATAATAATTTGAATGTGTTCATTTATCCTTTTGCATATCACTGTGACACCTGGACAACATTGCTCTAGTCTCATGGAACAAAAAGGCTCCATATCATGTTCTTTGGATTCACCCATAAGCTCAAGTTTCTATCCTTAGCTCGTTCAGGAAATATCAACTTCTGTTGTATTCTCTGTAGATACACGGCAGATTATTGTCTTCCTAGCTTTGGTGTGTGTTTGCATTGCCTAATTCTGCTGTTCAGAATACACTGACAGTACCTCCCTGCCTCTAGCTACCAGCCCACCATTAATGATTCACAGGCCTGATGCCAGTAGGCAGGGTTTGTTGAGTCGGTTTTTAGCTGCTGCTTCAGCCTCTTTTTGGCCTGTATTGTAGATTAAGCCTGTGTTCTCACTGACCCACAAATGAAAAGAGTTGAACTGGCATTTGCCTTATAGATATTTTGATAATGAGGGGGAGGAGAGGAAGACTATATTGGGAGGGATGCCTCACCCTTCCCTGCTAATCTAATATATGCCCCTTAGATACCCTTAGTGGGCTCTGAGCATTCTGTCAATTGGTTTACTCCATATGTCATTTTTTAGACGTAGCCTTGCATTTCCCTTCCCTGCTCTTTGCTCCTGCTGCCTAAATCCATCTGTTTATCACAGACTGCTCTGATTGGAGAAAGAAGGACAGATGCTGCCCTAAATCTATGGGATTAAACTCCCAGCAGCAAAGCAGATTAGGGTATTACACAGGCGTCTTCAAGGGGGAAGCCCGCTGGGTCCTGAGCCCAGGCTTTTCTGTGGAAAGGATTCTTCAGTATAGTACTTTTGTCAGTGGGTACCATCTTAACATTTTCCAACCTCCAAGATTGTGCCTGTGTGTTTGCTTGTGGATTAGTCATATGAATGAGTACCTTGTCCTGGAAGAATTGACCTGCATTGTCCCTCTAAGGAATGGAATTATATGACATAGGTCTGGCTTCTGTCCTAAGACACAGTTGCATGTGAGATATGTATAGTGTTTCTGGCATATTAACTTGTGGTGTTACTAATATTTCCAGAGTTGTAATTAACACCTATTCTGAGCAGCACATAGATACTGTGGCCAGCTGAAATACCTGGCTACACAGATGCAAAGGTAACCCCCCCACCATTCCCATCACTGAATATGGCCACACACCCTGCATTGAACAAGCCCAGAGAGGCACAAGTTATGATCACACTGTTGCTCTCAATTTTCCTATGTCTCCCAGTACCACATACTGATTCAAGGTGGATATTCTCTTCCTTAACTCCCCCCCCCCCCACATTCACAGAACCTTCATCTTACTATAGGACATGCAGGAGGCCAAGTGAACACAGTGGTGGGTTCACAGTTATTTGGGAAATTAGTGTGGCTATCCAGGGTGGCTAATGGGGTGTGAAGTAACAAGTTGCTAAATGTTGATGGTGCATGGTAATGTGCCATTATTTGGCACATTGGATTTAGAAAAAAAATCCTCTGCCCTTCCATTGTAGTCTAATGTTCAGGGCAGGTTACAGCAGCTTAAAAATATCTGCAAAACATAAAAAATATTAAGGATCGCAATAAGGACCAGCAAATTCTTGGACTAGATGAACCTCGGGTTCCTTCTAACTCTATAATTCTAATCTGATACAGGTGGATAGTGACCTGCATCAGATTATGAGTCCACTTCAGAATTCACGGCCTTGCAGATCACTTTACAAGGTAGTCCAAGGGCTGAAGCACTTCCTCTTAAAGCAATTTCTGTTGTTTAGCATTTTAAAAATGGGTAATCCAGCTGCCCACAGCCTGGAGTGACTAGAGTGCAATACGCCTTGCTGCCATGCACTTTGAATGCAATATAGCAAGTCCCCCTAGGAGTGATGGGATGAGGTTCTGTCATTGTCAGGGGAGATTATGTAGACAAACTGTGATTAGCTCTAGTGCTTGAATTAAGTTTGACTAAATTGGCTTATATTTGCAAAGGGGAAAAGGCTGATTTAAATATTTTTTTTGTATTGATTTCCTCTTCATATATTTCCTACACAATGGTGCATATTTGACGATTAAATCATGTTAATTTACAACTAAATGGAATTTATACAGTTTATTTCTTAAAACAAAGGATTGCATCTTGCACTTGTCAAAAAAGTAACAAAAAAAGGGGGGGGGGAATACCCATGACATCAAAGTATGTCCAGATAATTAGTGGGCAGAGTAGAGCTGGTTATTTTCATTCAAGTGAAAATGAAAAGCTAATGTTTGGTGGATGAGTGTAAATAATGAAATTTGAGAAATTGTCAAATTGATTCTTAGTTTATATAGGAAAGTGTCACTTAACTCAATGTATCGGGTAGAGGCATTGCTATAGTTAAGAGACTAACTGTAGAGCTAATATCCATTTCTTCAGATTAATATCCTAAACTTTCCTGAAAAGAAACTTGGCATTTATCTTTTTAAATAAAATAAAATCTTGATTTAAATGTTTATAATTTTTAAATTGGTTTTTATTTACGCTTCTCAGTCAGGACTGAGCATACACTGCAGCTACTAGATGTGATGAGGAGTGGAATGAAGTGTCCTTCTAGGAGAATACATTGCTGGCTGGCACGCTGAACATGAACGCTCCAAACTGCAATATTTTGTTGCACATCCCACTTATTTCTATGTAGTGCTCAAACAAGTAATGTAATGAAAGGAGCAGCCCTAGCTACTTGGTGGGTGGCATGTGCAGCATTATGCAGCAGTTACCATTCTGTATGAAAAGGCCAGTTGCCGATGAAGAGGGCATAGGCACACCCATATCCCACATGGTGTTGCAGGTGTGCCAAGGTTTTCTTTCTGCCAGTCTTAGTTGTCAGGAGCAATTGTTCTCTTCCCACTGGTGACCAGGCAACTCCTGGATTACAGCACTGGGTGAATACCAAATTAAAAACAGCTTTTAAGAGTGATGACCTCAAGTTTGTGCATTAAGTTGCATTTTGCACAGCAACATAGCTTTAATATACATCAGGGGTGGCCAACTCCAAAGAGACTGTGATCTACTCACAGAGTTAAAAACTGGCAGTGATCTACCCACTTTTGGGGGGTTCAGGTTGAAGTTGATAAGCTTTTTTTAGGGAGGAGGAAACCCCCGTTTTTTAGGGGTTCAGGTCAAAGTTGTTGAGATTTTTTTTAGGAAGGAGGAAGGCCCATTTTTCAGGGGTTCAGGTCAGAGTTGTTAAGCTTTTCTGAGGCAGGAGGAAAGCCCTGTTTTGTGGGGTGTGAAGGGCTAAAATGTTGATCATTTTTTAGGGGAGCCAAAGTTGTTGAGCTTCTTTGGGGGGAGCCAGTGATCTACCGGTAGATCATGATCTGCCTGTTGGATGTGCCTGATATACATGGTCTCTTGAAAATAAATGCATCTTATTTTCATGCACAGTCTGCTTAGTGGGAAATAAGTCCTCGAGAAAAATACTTGATGATTTAACTAGAGATGGTATGACAGCATATGCCATAACCTGAAGAGTAAAATAGCAAACTCACTGAATCTTCACTGCACCAAGAAAGTGTTTAGGGTGGGTCAGATTGGGTATTGAATGCTGAACAAGCAGAGTTCTGTTAGTGCAATGGAACTACAATTTCCTTTCATCCCCATATACGCCCCCAATTTAAAAATACAATATTTTAAGGGTGTTCTGTGGGCTGGAGAGGACAAGAGAGGAAGATGTTTTGTATTCCGAACAGAGCTTCAGTGTTGGATACAGCCAATTGGCTGGTACAGAAGCATAATTAAAGTACATTTGACCAGCATCTTAATGTTTTTTTGGAGTAATCCCTAATACAATTGGGTGAGGTTGTGCTGCTAAAAGAAGCATTGTGGTAGGTATATCTTACACACCTTACTTTTCAGGTTATGTCCTATGGTTGAGACAAGACAAGACGAGGTGAGGGAGTTGCCTGGCTTTCATTCTAAAGATGTCTCAGGTTAGAGCAAATGTAAACCCAGTGTGTCTAGTATATAGTAGGACAGTTGCCAGGACTGACATGCCATATCAACACCTTTCCCGCCCACCCCATGGGAAGCCCTGCAATAGAACCAGTGCAGACTGCTCTGTGCAATCCCTGTGGTGAACTGCAATATCTTATTCAGAGTAGCGGTAGCCTCTAAATCTCATCAATTTACCTTTGCAAACCAAAAATAATAAAAAAAGGTGTGGCAGTTTTTAAAATGGCTATTTACAATTCTAATATCACCTATAATTACATTCTTGCATAATAAAAGAATTAAAGACTCCAATAAAACCTTAGATTTCTAAATTATTCTTGTACCACTATGTGGACTTAGGGATAAGGCTGTTATGTACAGAACCAGTTGCAGTTATCTGCCTGCCTATGTAATTTTTTTAGCCTGCTATACATATTTCTCTCATCCAGGCCCTAATCTAAGCCTTATCAGTTTTATGGTGTTTATTGCAAACCACTTCAAAAACCTTGTTGCCCAAAGCAGTATAAATAATGTTTGTTAGGGGGTTTTTAAGTTGAAAGCTTTAAAAGTTTCAGAGCTTATTTTGACATCAAATTTACAAAACCACATCCTTTTCTTTCACTGGCAGCACCTATCTCCAGGCTCTTGATTTATATTTACTAACATAGACTAGAATCCCAATTCGTTCATAACCATGTGTTTAAAAGGATGAAAAAGTGCAGTCTTTCACAAATGTGTAAATGAAAATAATATGTTATGGGGCAACTGATCTGAAATGAATTGACTCATTTGTCTTAAGATACAAATGGAGGTGTAATTCCTTTCCCTATTGGGCTGGGAACATTATTGGGTGGTATCCAGTGTTTGCCAAGTAAATCCACTGAAATCAGTAGACCAAAGCAATTTAAGTTCATTGATCTCAATGCATCTACTTTTGATCATCCTTGATCAAACTTTATAGTTTAGTTACATTTACATTCAGATAACTTAAGGCTACTCCTAGCTTTTTTGTCTACCTAATTAAAAATAAATATGAGCTTGCTCTGATACTCTTCTGGCTGTGCTCCATTAAAGTTTTGACTCTAGTGGGCAAATATTTTAGGTTTATCTAACTTAGTTCTAAGCAGACTTTTGTTGCGCCTTCCCTCCTTAACCTGTAGCCTTACTGTAGGTTTTATGTGGGATGTTCTTCTGCATATGGATCTTCTAGTCAAACAAGTTAAACTTGTTTTTCTTTCTTGCTGTGTTCTGTTCGTTGACAAATTTGGTTACAGCTGATTATAGTGTCTCCAAAATGCCAAACCTCATAGAGCTCATACGCATACTCAAGTAGTGTCTGGGAAAGCAAATGTTACTAATGGTACTTTCTTATTTATGTAAACATTTTCAGCAGTATTAACTTAACGCTCCATGCTGTGTACATTGAATAGAGAGCAATAACCATTTTAAACTGGTAACTGCTATATATATGTACCAATGATGAAAGTTGCTATTTCACAAAAATGTGTTTTATTGTACTTTTCCTAAGTGTTGAAAGTACTTTATGCACATTATCTCCATAATCCTTGCAATAGCTCTGCAAGGTGGTTAATAATGGTATCATATTGCATACTGGTAAATGAAGCTCAGAATATTGACTTGCTTTAAAACCATCTAATGAATTCATAGCTGAGGTAAAATTGGAACCTGGGCCATTCCAACTTGCACTTTACTATACTAACTGCTTTCTTAAACTTCCCAGCACTTCGAGTGCACAAATTGAGCTCACATAAATGTTAGAGGTACACATTGGCATCTTATAGGAACACTGGTAGCATTATATCATTAAGAATTTCAGCTATGTATGTTAATGGGTTCTTCATCACTGGAGTGAGTAGAAACTAAAAATATTTACAGTACTTAGGCCTCAGCAGAGCTGACATTTGCTATAAACGGGAAAATGCCACTTAAATACAACTATTAAAAGCACAGAAGACCAGTACTACACAGAGTTGGGTGATCTCAATGCTACACGATCATGATGGCAGTGGTACATAAGCAGTGGTTCACCTTGAAGAACTTTACACATTTTGGAGTTATCCAAATATTACAGCCAATCAGGTTTGTGCTGGAAAATGTTGTTCAGTGAATAATTTTGAAGAACTTTATCCACCTCTTTGGGAACCAAAGTGGGTGGTGTGGGGCCATGTGTTGAAATGCATATTTATATTGTTTTGTTAATTCTTAAGTGATTTGACAGAGTGATGCTTCCACACTGCTAATGGGTTCCTATGCATATTTGGATTAACGCTGGCCATTTGCCATGAAGTGAGCGGAGTATAGGCTTTGTAGGATCCCAAACTACCTACATACTCCTTTAGAGGGGGTGTGATCCTATCCATAACAGGCAACTGTTCTATCTTTGGGACATGGGACCTCTTCCAAGAATTCCAAGAATTCAAACTCAACCCTCATCCAGTCCATCACCACATTCAGGTACTGGTCCAGGGCTTGCACAACTACTACTGATTCAGATGTTATAGCGAAATAGAACTGTGTGCCCTCAGCTTACAGATGACACTTTACTCCAAAACTCCTGATGAGTTTTCTCTTTCATTTGCTGGTTATCCAGGTTTATTTAGGTGGAATGACCTCAGTGCTTTTACTTAAGGTTGAATAAATTTATAGTTAATCTTAAAATGTTACTAGATCTGTTTTAACTTACTTTTTCTTTGTGTAGGTGCCCAGGGCTGAGCTTGCATATCTCCCCAATCATCCCCATTTACAATGCTGTGGTCTTCCTCTTTGTGCTGGCCAACTTTAGTATGGCCACCTTCATGGATCCAGGCATATTTCCTCGAGGTGAGAACTGAAAATTGCCTGTGAAGCAATTTCCAAGGCACTGATTGATCTAAAAATGTTTTGATTAGGGATGGCTACTTCCACTCTCCAGATCCAGAGCATAAATTATTGTAATCTGGATAGGTAGGAATCTTCCAGCTCAACAGTGTTTATAGTGTGAATTATGCTGGATTCATTATTGGAAGCTATTGCTATATTTGGGAGGAGGGAGGTTCTACAAATTTTGGCTGGTCTTGATAGCTAGCCAAATGTGTTCTTTCCACCAAACCTGGTCTAAGGTGGTGGTGGGGGCGGAGAGTATTGATTGTGGTGTCACACTACAAATTTTTGAAGGCCCTAGCTGTGGGGACAAACCTTGTTCTTCTGCCTAGCATCAAGCTGAGTGGGAGTTTATCCATGTCCTGGGATCACTCAGAAGACCCAGGCATCTCACTGCTTTCAGAGCTTCTCCATGACTTATTACAGGACAGCCTAGTATGTAGCAGCTCACTGGTAACCGTAGGTGGCAAGGCTCATTCCATGCAGGCAGCTGAGTGAGCTAGTAGAGGAGAGATGGATTTTTCCACTCCTGGTCTGTTTTATGTACTGGCTGAGGAGGAAGGGAAGCCAATCCTTTAGCTCTGCCGAGCCTATGGGAGCATTCTTGACAAAACAGGTTTTTACAAGCCTGAAAAGAATCTGGTGTCCTGGGTTTCCATATCAGACACCAATTAGGGGACTTCCTCTCCTCCTCTGACCAGCATGGAAATGCAGAATACTAGACTCCTAGACTTTTTTTAAAAAACAGCAACCCTTCAACTGTTGTGGGCTTATTTACAAAATGGATCAAGGGTCAGCATAATCCATCCCCTTTTCTCTAAACTTGTGAGAGGGGATAGGGTGTCTCACCAGAAGCACAAAAACAAAAAGTCAGTGCCAGGGTGAATGGGTTTGTGAAACTGGGGGCAAGGACATGTTGGACATGCTGTGTACTTCATTGGATTTTATAATTTTTTCTTGCTGCTTCAGCTGAAGAAGATGAGGACAAGGAGGATGATTTCCGAGCTCCATTATACAAGACTGTGGAGATAAAGGGTATTCAAGTGCGCATGAAATGGTGTGCAACGTGTCGCTTCTACCGGCCCCCACGCTGCTCTCATTGCAGTGTCTGCGACAACTGTGTGGAGGTGAGAGACTGGGAAGAGAAGGGCTGTGTTGGAGCGACTGGCATTGCTTGTTGGATTGTTGATAATGAACTTGGGACATTCTGTAATCTTTGAGATTCAGTTCAGGAACTGTTTGGGCTGCAAGATTCAGTTTTGTGTGTTATAGGTTGGGATAGACACCTCAGACTTGCATGCTTTCCTTTTTTACCAGTGCCCCAGGGTCCACACTCCGGCACTTGATACAAAATGGTGGTTTGAGAGGGAGGGGCAGAATCAATTGCATAATTGTGGATAAGGTAATCCATAGCAAATACGTTCATCTAGTATTCGTGTTTGTTTGTTTATTTTATATTTATTTTTCACCTTCCATAATGAAATTCAAGGTGATGTGTGTACAGGTGTTTTCAACACATATTGAAAGGCAGGAGAGGTGATGGGGCACCATTCAACTATAATTCACAATCTGCTGGTTGACCACAGCCATTCTACTTACCCTTGTTATAGGAGTTGCATCTTCTGTTGTGGAAATGAAAATCTGGGTGGGATTCAGGTTTCCTGGAGTTTCAAGGGGTTCTACAGGTGTAGTATTGTTTTACAGAGGTGATGTCCTTCTTACTCTGTTCTTTATCCTTTCACTGATAGGAATTTGACCATCACTGTCCCTGGGTAAACAACTGTATTGGGCGGCGCAATTATCGCTATTTCTTCCTGTTCCTGCTCTCACTTACAGCACATATCATGGGTGTATTTGGTTTTGGATTGCTGTTTGTCCTGTGTCAAGTTGAAGAGCTCTCTGGGATCCGTATGGCTGTCACGTATCCTCTTTTTCTAGAGTGCAAAGAATTCCTTAATCAAATTCTGGTGAACAGTTGGGCTGTTCACCTGAGATACTGCCAACTGATGGGTGGTGGGAGGGAAAGGAACCCCAAAAACAAAGTTGTATGCTGGTCCTTCATGAATTGCTTCCTTGACTTTGTTGACAGTATGGCTGTGATGTGTGTGGCTGGCTTGTTTTTCATACCTGTTGTAGGCCTTACAGGATTTCATGTGGTCTTGGTAGCCAGAGGTCGTACTACAAATGAGCAGGTAGATATTATTTTACGGTTAGTTTTTGACTTCACTACATGGTATCTCTATTTTCCTGATATATCTTTTCTCCTTGCAGGTTACAGGCAAATTCCGGGGTGGAGTAAACCCATTCACCAATGGCTGTTGTAACAACGTCAGTCGTGTTCTCTGCAGCTCCCCAGCCCCCAGGTAAATTCTGCCTCACCTAAGAAATTTGTAGAGGCCCTATTCTTTCTTGGAGAGAGAAGAGCTAGATTGTCTTGATTGCTAATGGAGACAAGCAGAGAAGCAGAGGAAGATTCTCTGGGATCAGTCATATGAATGGTTCCAGCAGTGAGGTGGTGGGATGTGGGAAGTCATTGCTCACAGCCAGATCACACCTTGAAGTACAGTTGTCTAACACAGCAGCTATAAGCTTCTTCCTCTTGTAGACTGAAGTAAAGAAAGGGGTTGCTGGCAACTATCTAAAGATGTGGCAGAAAGATTAATTAATTTTTATAGTGGCTGTTTTTCCTGGGATCTGTATGTCAAGGTGCGTCTATACCACTGAGTATAATCAGTCTTTGGGAGTGGGTTGTGAGCTTACTTGAACTATCCACAGAACAAAAATATGTGGTATTCCTGCTTGAGGTTATATGCAAGGCTCATTAACAATAGATCATTCTGTTATGTTTCCTTGATACCTCCAATTCCAGCAGCTCTAGTGTTCCTCACACATATGTATGTAACGTTAGAGAGAACAGAACTCTGTATGACTTTATATCACTACATGTCTATACTCATGTAAATCATAATCCAGTAGCTCTTTGCTGCGCATTTATTAGTGTTTCTTGTATAAACTATTTCAGCATGCTCTGTGTTTTGCACTCATCACAGCTGCCTGTAAGTGTGAACAGACTACAGGTGTGAAAAAGCTGTTTACTTTTATTACATCAATGAATGTAACTTGTGAAGAAGGAATGCATTACTTACTCCATGATTTGACACTTTTTGTAATTATTCATCTGTTTTGTTCTGGTGACTGTTATCTCTTGGCCTCTAATTTTCTCCAGTTTTCCTAGATAGAAGGTGTATCTTGTTCCCCAATGCCTTATATCCTTGAAGGATGGCTGTGTTCAGTTTTTAATCCTAGGTTCCTATCCAGAGAAACAAAGGGATAAAAAATGCACCTTGGCTTGTTTCTGTTCTCAGCTAGTGAGACCTGTTATACATCAGTTTGTTAAGTATTTTGTTAAAAATAATAATTGTTTTGACAGCACACTTACATCAGGGAAATGTACATTCTCTCAGATATTGTCACATCACTGCTTGACTTTCTTCCTTCACTCTGGCAATATGGCCTGTAATGTAACAGAAACTCAAAGGGTGTAAAGACACTACTTTGAGTGCATTCTGTACAGCAGGGAAGCGCATAAGGGAATGTACAGTGAAGCCACAGGTGATACCAGGACTCGATTTTAGAGAATGAGAGAACTGTGACCTGCAGTATTGCCTTTGCAGTTCTTTGGATACAAATAACTTCATGCCTCCAACATTCCTCAGACTTTCTTGCCAGAGCATGTAAACATCATCATTGGTTCACATGTTTGCAGGAGGCACTGTCTCATCTTTGCTGACTTCCCATGATTCGCTAGGTATCTTGGACGGCCAAAGGCAGAGCAGACTGTTACAGTGAAGCCACCATTCCTGCGACCAGAAATATCAGATGGACAGATAGCTGTAAAGATAATGGACAATGGTATCCAGGCTGAGCTAAAGAGAACAAAGGTAAGGAGGAGATGAAGGTGCTACCGAGGCACTGGCTTTCTCCAGACCTTGATGGTGCCACTGCATTCGTGAGTAGGAACCAAATGAGCCTCTTGGACATCCTTCCCCCATGTTATCACAACTTGTACTTAGTTTTCCCTGACAAGTGAAGGTCTGTTTTCCTCCCATGTGACTATTGCTGCATGAGAGTTGTCCCCTTTTATATCCTATATAATTTTTACTTGCCCTTTCCCTTCTCATCCAGCAACTGAGACATGCACAGTCTACAACTACACTTGCAGAAATGCTAGATGGCTGCAGGTCCTTCTAATAACACTTTCAACCTTTTAGAGCTGGGGACAATGCTCAGGACTTTGGGTCCTGTCTCATTCTTCTGCACTTTGTCTCTGCAGTCCAAAGGAAGCCTTGAGGTGACGGAGAGCCAGTCTGCTGATGCTGAGCCACCGCCACCACCCAAGCCAGACCTCAGCCGCTACACAGGTCTGAGGACGCATTTAACCCTGGCCACCAATGAGGGTAAGAGGAGCATTCCAGAGAGATAAGGGATCCAATCAGCTGTGCACTTCTACAGTGATCTGCCATCAGAGAAGTAGTCTCTGACTGCAGTGCCAAGTAGTGAAGCTGGTCAGTACTGTACTGTTTACAAAAGCCAGTGGCAGCTCTGTGCTGGTATTCACAGCACTGCTGACCATACAGCCACCTGCTTGCCTCAGTGCTCAGGCAGGTTATTAGAGCAAGTGCTGAGTTGGTAGCTAGGTTATGACCTTTTAGATGTTATGATCATGTAAATCTCCAGCTTTAGCTCTTGTCCACATGTGAAGGCTGCTGTCAGGATTTGGGGATTTATTGACTGTTCCTCCCTCTGTTGACTGTTCCACACTCAGGTGGAAACAGGGGTTACTTGGAAGGACAGGTCGGTGCTTTGTTTTGCTGTCATAGAGCTTATATAGAACAATAACAGAAGGCTAGAGTTATTTCCCAGTTCATGTAGTTGTGAAACATCCTGCTTTTGCTGTTGCTGTAGTGTTTCCAGAGGGTGTAGCACCTTGAAAGAAAATGTGATCATGGAGAAATGCTTGGAGCTTTCTTTTCTAGTCAGTGCTACTGTTTCCCATCTAGCAGTGCTCAAAATTGAACACCCCAAGGGTCAGGACTACCAAGGTGTGCATGTACAGATTGGAAGCTTCTTGTGTGATGTCTTTATTGAGGAAATGTTCCTCTTGCTCCATTTCACCTCCACTCCTGCAATACACCCCTTACCTCCTGACTGATTCCTTGACCTCCATGGTGTGTCCACCTGCCTGAGGCTCTTAACTGGTTCTCACGGATCAGTCACTTGTGATATGTGGAATTTCTGCAAAAGCGTTCAAACCAGGATTGCTGGGAACTCCCCAGGAAAAGCTGTAAGTAATTATATTCTATTGCTTGTAAGTATGTGTGTGATTCCCATTTATCTCCACAGACAGCAGTTTGCTAAGCAAGGACAGCCCTCCAACTCCAACAATGTACAAGTACCGACCTGGCTATAGCAGCAGCAGTACTTCAGCTGCATTGCCTCACTCCACCAGCGCCAAGGTAATGAAGAACTAAGGGGGTTAAACATGAAGAGTGGGGTTTTCAGGAGACCATGCAGGGTGTGGAGTTGGAAAGGGAATTCTCTTTGAGACTGTGCAGTGGTTTAGCGCCTTAATTTGACAATTTCTCTCTAAGAAATTTCTCTAGTGTATTGTACAGCTGCTATTATGCCATAAATGGAGAATTCTAGCATGGTACAATGTTGGGAATCGTGGGGCTGAGAGGGGTCTTTCATTGGCCAGAATAACCATTTCACCAATTTCAGTTCTCTGTCTCTTCCCATGAACTCCAGTTCCTATTTCCATGCTCCTTACTGCTGTCCAATAGTGTGTGAGTCTCATTACCATTTTCCTATTTCTTGATTGCACTGTTTTGTGGTCAGACCTTACCTGCCCAAATTGGTGTACATCTAATAAGCAGTTCCTGAGGAGCAGCTGATTTAGTCTTGTCACAGGAAAAACAACAAAAAGTATTGTGGTAAGGGCTGAGAGTCTTACAGTGCAATAGTGTGTGGTTTTTTTCAAAAGCAGGTCCTGTTTGCTAAGTGTGTATATGATTGTAACCTAATTGCAGCATAAGTATTCATAGACTAGAGTTCACTTCATCAAATATATGAAGCATTGTCTTCAGTTAGCAGACAGAGACAAGTGGTACATACAGCAAAATATTAGTGCCCCCCCAGGGCTGCCCTTGTTCTGAGTTCAAATCTCGCTAAAAAAAAAATACAGAGAAGGAAATTTGGTAGCAGTGCATGTGAGGAAGGGCAAGACATTTTGAGCAGTTGAAGATAATCCTGGCCAGACAGCACTGGATCCAATTAATTTCTGGGCCCAATTCAAAATACTGATTTTGAACTATAAGGCCTTAAATGGTTCAGGACCACAATACCTCAAAGACTGCCTCTCCCCATATGAACCAACTGGCACCCTGTGCTCATCATCTGAAGCCCTCATTTGTGTGCTATTTCCATGAAGGGTCCAGAGGCGATAGCGCGAGAACAGGCCTTTTCTGCAGTGGCTCGCCATTGTGGAATGCTCTCCCCAGGGAGGCTCGTCTGGCACCTTTGTTACATATCCTTAGGGACCAGACAGAAGCATTCCTCCTCTCCCAGGCCTTTGACCAATTAAACTATGGTCTTTTAAAGTGTGTGGGGCGGGGTTATTGTTGTTATTGTCTGTTACTATGTTCGAAAGCATGCCAGTGCGAGTAAATAAATAGGTACCGCTGTGGCGGGAAGGTAAAAGGCATTTCCATGCTCTCTGGTTTCCATCATGGTGTTCCGTTGTGCCAGAAGCGGGCTGCATGATCTGGAAAGCTGTCTATTGGACAAACACCAGCTCCCTCGGCCTGAAAGCAAGATGAGTTCCATACCCCATAGTTGCCTTTGGCTGGACTTAATCGTCCAGGGATCCTTTACCTTACTATGTTAGGTATTTTTGTGTTTCTATATTGTAAACTGCCCTGTGGTTACCCAGATGAAGGGCAGCATAGAAATTTAAATAAATACATAAGTTCTCAAGCATAAACTAGTTAGAATCATTATGAGTGCCCAACTTGTGGTTCATTTTAGACCAAGAGTAGCTAATCTTGTTTAGGCCAAGGGCTGCATTGACCCATTAGCAACTCTTCGGACCACATTTCAAAGTGGGTGTGGCCAATTTGTAAAAGTAGTTGTGGTGAGAATTGTAGTTCTCGAGACTGCCTTCCAAAAGGATTTCCTTTCAGTTATTGTATGATATTCTAAATACTTTTTATTATTCCTTTTTTTTTTAATGGACAAATCTTTGAACGGGGGCTCAAAAACTTTATGGTATAATGGCAGCACGAAGGAGGGAACAAGGGTGATCAGTCAAAAAAATTTTTGTCAGGTTTTGAGGGTAGTCTTGAGGGAGCACAAAAATCCTTTTGTGGGTTAGATATAAGCCACAGGTTATCCACCCTGATTTAGTCCCTTCTTGTAAATGTGGAAGCTAAGATCCTTTCAGGCTCTGTAAGCATTGCCTTTTCTTTTATTGCATGTATTCCTTCCTACCTAGGGAGTCCCATTAGTATGTAGAAACCATTACCTTATCTTGGGTTGGCTCTATTTCGCTTCCAAATTACTGGCACTCAGCCACTTCAGCTTGATGTTAGATGCAATGGTGAATAAGTGTAAATGCTCCCCTATTAAACTCTTAATTCATCTTCCATGGCTGGCTAGAATTTGATCAGTGAAGTAATGATTTATTAAATAAGACCCCCCCCCCCAAAAAAATGAATTTCTTTTTACATTTGTAAATACCCTTAGTGGAGCTCTGAGTGAAGTAAATGAGGTTCTTCTACTTTATATAAGGAATGGTCTGTATACCTCAGTGGTAGAATATATGCTTGGAAGCAGAAGATCCCAGGTTCAATCCTTATGTATAAAGCAATCCTGTGAAATAGGTTAGATGAAGAAATGCGACTGAGCCAATGGCACACAGTGAAATTTACAGCTTTGAGGAGGATTTAAACCAAGGTCCAAGTCTAACAGTCTGTTACACCACATTGACTCTTAATAAGTAATAACTTGATTATCTAGCTTACATAATTGTGTTTACAATGTTTTTTGAAAAAATGAGGTTTCTGCATCAAGAAATGTGGGAACTTCATTTACATTAAGCAGAGGTCCTTGCTTATGGGAGCTTTGAGAAAGCAAACTCTGCACCCAATAGTTATGAATTAATATCCACAGCCCAGGAGGCTTGCTAATGACTATTACATATGTTCCTCTTCCCTCCTTCTCTCCTGCTGCAGCTAAGCCGAGGAGACAGCTTGAAGGAGGCAACCTCCATTGCTGAGGGCAGTCGAAACCCCAGCTACCGTTCTGAGCCAAGTCTGGAGCCAGAGAGTTTTCGGTCTCCTACTTTTGGCAAAAGTTTCCATTTTGATCCGCTATCCAGTGGCTCCCGTTCGTCCAGCCTCAAGTCTGCCCAAGGCATGGGCTTTGAATTGGGCCATCTTCAGTCGATCCGCTCCGAGGGCACCACATCCACATCTTACAAGAGCTTGGTGAACCATACACGCAATGGGAGCTTGTCCTACGACAGTCTTCTCACACCCTCTGACAGCCCTGACTTTGAGTCAGTGCAGGCAGGCCCAGAGCCAGAGGCCCCCATGGGCTACACATCTCCTTTCCTCTCGGCACGTATTGCCCAGCAGCGGGAGGCTGACCTGCACAGTCGTTTCCCAAGTTCTGGCTCACCCAAGCACCAGCCACCCCGTGACCCTTCACCTGTCCGTTATGACAATCTTTCACGCCACATTGTGGCCTCCATGCAGGAGCGGGAGAAGCTGCTACAGCAGTCACCCACGCCACCACCCCTGGCCAAAGAGGAGGATACAGCACTGGGGGACTCAGGCATCCAGTCCACCCCAGGCTCCAGTAATGCTCCACGTACCAGCTCCTCCTCGGACGATTCAAAACGCTCACCTCTGGGCAAGAACCCACTCACCCGCCCAGTGCCACCTCGCTTTGGCAAGCCAGAACCATCACATGCACTCAGAGTGCGCTCTCTGGGCTCACCAGACCAGCCTGCAGCCCCACACTTGGGCAAATCTGTGTCTTACAGCAGCCAAAAACAGTCCTCGCAGGCCATTGTCCCAGAGACTGAGGAGGTGGCCTTGCAGCCTTTACTGGCACCAAAGTAAGTACAAGTGACACCTGCCTCGCGCTTTAAGTGTTCCTTGACTTGGTGGAGGCTGAGCCGCATTCAACCCTGTCCTGTCTCTGATCTGACCAGAGACCCCAAGATAATTTTTGTTCCTTTCAGCATCATTTGGAGGGAGTAGCCGGGGGAGATCTACAAATAATGCCTGCACTCGTCTGCCTTTTCCTTCCTTCCTTCCTCCCTCCCTCCTTTCCTTCCTTCCCTCCAGTGTGTGAACCAGCCCATTTCCTCCACTATACAATGCAGTGCATATCTCCAGAGTGCCACATTCCTTTTTGTGAAGTGTGTGTGGCTTTGAACACCCCTACTTTCCTTGGGTGTGTGTGATTGCCATTGGCTTTCCTAGAAGATACCTGGATCTGTGTGAAAGCTGCTTGGTTTCTACCTCATATATAAAACTTTTATATATGAGTCTGCCTTTCAACCTTTCCCAAGTGTGTTCCTTTTCCCTGTCTTGTTGGCATGCATGAAAGAGACACTTGGGTCCACCAGGGAAAGGACAGATTGTAAGAAATCACCTGCTCCTCTCATGATGGTGGAAGCATGAGCCCTTCTGTCAGTTTCCTGAAAAGCTTTCTTCCCACTGCACCTCCTTTTTTTCCCCCTTCTAGAGACTGTTGTATTGGGTACATGTAGCATCGTTTCTTAGTACAGTGGTGCCTCGCAAGACGAAATTAATCCGTTCCGCGAGTGTCTTCGTCTAGCGGTTTTTTCGCCTTGTGAAGCAACCCTATTAGCGGATTAGCGCTATTAGCGGTTTAGCGGCTATTAAAGGCTTAGCGGCTTAGCTGCTAAAAGGCTATTAGCGGCTTAGAAAAAGGGGGGGGAAAGCGGAAAAAAATCTCAAGACTCGCAAGACATTTTCGTCTTGCGAAGCAAGCCCATAGGGAAATTCGTCCTGCGAAGCAACTCAAAAACAGAAAACCCTTTCGTCTAGCGGGTTTTCCGTCTTGCGAGGCATTCGTCTTGCGGGGCACCACTGTAATTATCTGTGTGTAGTATCTTATCCTCTTCTAGATTAGTGTGTTTACCTGGGTGGTAAAAGTATTTAGAATAAGTTCTCTGTAGATACAAAAAGTGCGCTGTTCCTTAAGCAGTGTAAGATGTATCCCAAGCTTTCCTTTCCTTACCGAGTGTGAGGCATCCTCCATTTCCATTGCCATTGAATGAGTGGTCACTTCCTGACATCCTTGTATCCTTCCTTTTCCCCAGAGACGAGATGCAGATGAGACCCTCCTACAGCAAGTCCAATGGACAGCCCAAAAGCCTGAGCTCAACCTCGCCCACCCCTGGTCAGCCACCTCTCAGCAGCCCCACTCGTGGAGGAGTCAAGAAGGTCTCTGGAGTGGGTGGGACTACGTATGAGATCTCTGTATGAGGAGGTGATATCCCCACTGTTGACTCCTCCCTGGCTGATTCCAAAATGCTCTATCCCTGATGAGCAGGAGATTGGGACTTGCTCACCAAATGGTTGCCCCATCAGATGCATGGACCTTTTTTTACAAATACAGTTTTGTGGGGGGGTGGGGGGGAGAGCTGAAGGGACAGCTACCTTTTTAAACTAAAGTATCTGGGATTGGGAGAGTCCCTAAACACTACAGCAGGATTCTAGCCTTGCTCATCTCCACAGCCTGCACTCTTCCTCTCAACCAACAAAGAGACTGCAATTTGTAGCGCACACTGCCCAGAGAGAAGGGGAGGGAGTTGCTCTCAGCACCCTCTGTGAGAGAAGGTACAGGCTGCAGGCTGCCCCACTACCAACAGGACAGTCAGTTGTGGACCTTGTGCAATCGCTCGCCTAGTGCGGTAGGAGTGGATCATTTTTAATTTTTTTTTATTGTTAACGGATGCTATTTTTTCCTGTTCTGAGTTACTGGGTGTGTGTATATATAAATATCTATAAATATATAAATATAAATATTAAAATATATATATATATCCATATGGAGCGTGGGGTGGCCCTGGCAGACCCCATTAGCTGGGCCTGAGGAAGCCATGTGTGGAGCATTTTAATTTTTGAGGAGTCCAAAGGGCTGTATCAGATTAATCATTTTGTTTACTTTTGAATGGGTCAGGCAAAATACAAAAACTGCTGTTAAATCACTATCCTTGGACAAGTATGGCTGAGGAAATGCTAATATGTTACCTAATTGGTACCACTGACCTGGTCATCCCAGTGCCTGTGGCCAGGCTTGAGTTTGGCTTGTTCTGCCCCACTCTGGATTCCAGGAAATGAAGGGAATAGACAAAGGCTTCCTAATCCCTGCTCTATCCTTCTGGAAGATTTTCCCCATGAATAAATCCTTCTTTTCTGGGGGGCTTGGGGGGTTTAAGAAGACTATGGGAGTGTTTGGCTTCCCATGTTTTCAGCTCCAGACAGGCTTTGACTTCTCAGTAAAATGACTCCCAGTGAAAGGATGCCATACCCTACAAACCAGGCCAATCAGCATGCACAGGTGCCAGTTGCATACTATTAGGATACAGGAACGTGCTTTGGGTGCTGAGCAGGAGGAGGGTGGCAGTGGCATTGGAGCTGTGTCGCCTATGTGGATATATTACTTGTATTTAGTAAATCCCTCCCCCAGGTGGTTTCCCCTGCTTTTTTACATTGCTTTTATGATTTGTTCCATATTGATTTATTGTGGTATCATGGTTCTTTATTCACAAACTGGGCAAGAGAAAGAAGAGGGAAAACAAACAAACCAAAAAGCAATATTTTTCCATATGCCAAAAATCTTTTAACCCCTAAAAGCCCATGAGTAAAAATCAGAGCAACCCAGGAATCCAACAATCTCCAGTCGCTACTGACTCTTTCTCTATGGCAATATCTTTACTGTGGCCTGCAATGGGCCACACTTTTATTTTTATTATGACTAGCCATTTTAAAATGAGGAATAAAAAATTATATAATGAGCCACTCCCTCCATGCTTGTGTAGTTTTGTTTTGTTTTGTTAACCTGGGGAGGAGAGAAGTCCTGGTGGTTGTCCTTCAGTATTGCTTGCCGTGCCACCCAAAATGGTTCCGTAGGAAGGACATTACTAGCCTTGGTAATCCTTGGTAATTCAAACTGCAGGCATTGGGCTGATTCCCAGAGCTGGTGCAAAAGGTTTCCCAAGAAGGTAAGTGAGGAATGCTCATTCAGTCGTCTACATTCCAAACCTCGTTACAGAGGAGGCTTACAATGGAGGACTGGTTCAGAAAGTAGTTGCATCTAGAATGAACATCTTCAGGCAGTGGAAAAGAAGCAACCGTCATTTATTACACATCTCCTGTACGAAACAAAGGCCATCCTTCACCAACTGTATTATGCTTTGGAACCCAAACCATAAGCATAGCTCATATGCCCCACACAAGGTCATTGCAGAGCAAATACATCCCAGCAAATTCAAGCAAGAAAACCAAGCCATCAACCACGGGGGAGGGCAAAATTCCCTCCTGGAAGAAGTAGCAATTCCTCCAATCAGTCTGACCTGTGAATAATTTCCTCTTAAACCCAAATAATTATATATCAGAATCTAAGTGATATGTTTCTGTTGAGTAACTGAAAGAAAACTATTGAACATAGTTCCATCCCACCTATGTGACATTGTATTGAAGGAGTAAACATGCACCGGGGTGGGGAGAGTGAAGCAAGATCAGAATGATGATTTCCCTGCCCCTCTCAGCCACATTTCTGCCAGAAAGCCCTCCCTGTAAGTGCTCTTCATTTGAGGAAGGAAGTTCTGTTAGCACTTCCCTTCTGATGCAAATAGCAGGCTTCAGCAGGGAAAGTGTTAAACTTCCCCTCCCGGCCCAACACAGTCCAAATCCTGCTGCAGTTGTTAGAGAAGGATGTACATTAATTCCTTCTGTGTAAGTAGTGGTCCATGTAGCTTGCCTCTTAATCTTGAACCTCTGGAGATTTCTTTGATCATACAAGTGCTCTAAGGTGACTGCACCTCATACAGAAAAAAATAGTTTCCCCCCACTAACTTCATTTTCAGGGCTTGAAAATAATATTTTTCTGAATTTAAAATACTGTTTGTTAACCTTGATATACGGCACAGTTTTTGATAGCAAGTGTTATAGCTTGGTAATATTGACAGCAAGACTTTTTGAAGGTAGCTTGCAAGATGATGTTGTGAGTCAGAGAAGAGTCCTAAAAGGAGTGTACTAATAGAAGGTGTAACCGTGCTTACATAGTCTGGCAGATGGTTTCAAAAGCCAGGAGGAGGAGGAATAAAAATTGTACTTCAATGTTGTTATGACTTTAAAGCAGATAGAAAGTGGAAGTACAACAGTTCTCTCCTGAACCAAAGCAAATATTTCCAGTCAGCATCCTTTGAGTGGACTATAGTACTATATTGGGGGCTCGTAAAATTATCTGTTATGAAAGAAGATGTGCTACTGTGAAAAAAATACGAAGCAGTTAAGATTGCCAGCAAATAAAGTAAGGGAGGGGAACGTCCATCCTTAAGTGTGGAAGTTAGGATTAAATCCAGTTTTTTGAATGGGGTGAGTTTTAATGTTCAGCAGCCTTTCCAGTTCAGCATTTCTAATTACAGTTCTTTCTCATGTCAGAAAGCAAGGGGGAGATTTTTGTCAGCCACTACCTGAAACAATTAAGAGTGATTACAACTTACCTTATTTCATTATATTAATTGATAAGCTTGAAATTCATGTAGCTCTTTTCTAACAAGTAACGTTCTAATCACAAAGCTGAATTTATTGCTGAACCATTTTGTGCTAATGTTTTTCTTTATCCTTAATGTATTATGCATTTAAAGTACAAGTGTATTTTTGCCATCTTTTTGTGGGGCTAAAAAGCCTAATCTCAGAACCTAAGCTTTCTTGTTCTAATATTTTTTCATATTATATGCTAGCTTGAGGGCTAGGCCTCAAAGTGGCTTGCAATATAAAAGGGGGAAAAAACAAATTAAAAACGCCATTAAAACAAAAATAATGTAAATAACCCTCAACTGCACTTGCTACATTCTAAACTGTGTTCCATCTCAGTTGATAAAACTGCACAGCATTCCAAATGAGGCTTGGGAATTGAAGTTCTGTGTTATTAGTGAAATTTCCATCTTTACTACATTCAAATATAGGACATCAAGCATATATAGATCCTCCTTACCCTGCAGTTGTGATACAGATGGTTGGAAAACCACTTCTTGTGAGGAGCATGTGGCTCAACTGCAGCCGGTAATTTTTATATTCAAATAATAGAATTTTACAGAAAAGGAATCTAAAGGACTTTGGAGAAAGCTATGAGCAAGTGATACAGCTATCTATATGGCAACAGTTGCCAGGTGAGATGTCTTAATCCAGCCAAAACAAGGCACAACAAAATCCCCTTGATTTCAGTATTAAACCCATGCTTCTCATTGATTCCAGTGTGGGAAAGTTATTGACATGCCAATATTACTTAAATAGTACCGTTTATATAGAAGGTAAAAGAGCCCTGAGTGATGCTTTATAGAACAAGGGTGGAGTATAAAAGTGCATTAAATAAATAAACACGCACAATTGCTGTTTGTATACATCCACATAATATGATTTCTAATTTCTGGTAGATAAACATTTAAAATATATATATGTCATAAGTGCTAATAACAACCATGATGTTCATTCAGAAAGTCAGTGCTTTATTTCATTCATTCTTTTATTAACTATGGAAACAGATTCTCCTTAATTCTTCTACTTTAGAGACTAAGGAAGGGGCTTGGCTCAGAACCGGCTACAGCAGTAATGGCTTTAGGCCTGCTTGGTCCTTCTAGAGTGATTCAGTTTCCATAGATGTTTCCACCTCGGTGAGTTAGTTTAAATTATCCCAGAATGTGTGCTTAAGCTCTTCAGCGGCTCTTTTAAGTGTTCTGCGTCTTGTTGATGACAGCAAGAGTCATCACTTCTGAACCAGAGCCTTGATGTTGCTTACTTTGCCTCAAGGAGAAGCCTTTGAACCTAGTTTGTATCTCCCAATACCTGCTCATCATCTGGAAGAGCTGAGTAAGGCTGTGGTAGTACAGTAATGGCGACTAAGCATCTGACAGACACCTTCATGAAAGCAGGCTATAATCCTATAGCAGGCAGTCTTCAAGAAAAGGGAGTTCCTGGTGAAGACTAGTAGGATTGTAGAAAGGCTTACCGGTAATTCTAATAGCCTGTGGGTGGGACTCATTAGACTGCTCTGTAATAAATTCTAATTCAAGTGATCTTGGGAACCCTGGCTTCTCACTAGCTGCTGTTCATTTGCCTTTTTGCTAGGAGACAAGTCTAACTTGACTTCCACAACAGTGCGCATTGCCATGGTACGCTTCCATACCGGCAAATCTGCATGCAGTGTAAGTTGGAAGGGACAGCCTCAACCAGTTTCTGCTACAACTTGCACAGAAATTATGAAAATTGTCCCTGTTGAATTTCTGCTCAACATATAGCAGCTAGACACAGCCTCATACTGGGATTGGGGGTGGGGGAGGAACACATGGTGTATTTTGTCAGGGATAGAGAGGGTGGGGGCTTCCCCTATGGGATGCTCCTTTAGTTGTTTGGAACTATGGGCTCTGCTGGCAGTTTGATTTGGAGATTTTATTAGGTCCCCCTCCCACCTGAAGTACATATAATTGTGATAACTGCATATTCTTCCCTCATCTGTCCCTGCCTCTGTTCTTGGCCTTTTTTTAGATTGAAGGCTGCTTGGGATAAGGGCATGTCAGACCTGTACTTTATAACATGCCATACACATAGATGGTGCTGTGTGAAAAACAACTGCAGTATTGTAAGTGATTGTGCGGAGGGTCCTTACTTGAAACTGATGACCTTCTAAGCTTCCGTTCCCAGCATTTCCTTGGTGATCTTTTAAGGAAGAAGATTCTACAACTTGCCTAAGCAGCTGGTTCCATTGCTGATCAGCCCTTTCCTCTTGGCAGTTTTCCTATAATTTTAAATCTGGTCGTCCCCCCCCCTTTTTTTTTTTGTTTTATAACCCCTTTTGTGTCTGCTATTTTTGAGAGGGTCAACAGCATCCCTTAATCTTCTGTGAGCTGAACACACTCAGCTCCTTTAGCTTCTCCTTGTATTCATAAGTCTCATATTCTTTTGAACTGTGGTACTCTGTTTTAAAAACCTCTTTCTGACACTGCTGCACAGAATAGTATTATGGGTTCTGCTAATACAGGTTGGATTGGCCTAGCTGTACAGCTTTGCACAGGCTTGTCGGACTGAACCCTCCCCCTCTCACACAGTGACGCATTAAGAATCTGCAAGTCTTGTCATACCACATTTCAAGAGACCCCCTTGGAGAGTAATGATGTAACTTTGTTATGAAATTAACTTAAAATTATGTTTGAGTCACACCGTTGCAGAGGGAAACCAATGAACAGGGAGTGACTTGTTGAGCTTCAGTCAACAATTTGGGCTTTTGGCTGCAAGAAGCTAATGGTTAGCATTGAAGAAGGCTGCCATGTTTCCAGGCTTGTAAGTCTGCCACCCCCACCCCCAAAAAGCAGATGTGGTCATGAGTAAAGAATAGGGCTAAACACTAGGCAGGAGATCTGGATCCATCGTCTGCTTCTGCCATAGTTTCTCACTGAGCAAATCATTTTTGATCCCAGTTCCAATTTTTTAAAATGGAGTACAGCAGTGACCTACCTCACAGGGTTGTTGTGAGGGCGCAAATAAAGATTGTAACACACTTTGCTAATTAAAAGTGCCACAGACGTGATTGGTGATGGTGTCTACTTGGGTAATAGTCCAGTTAATGGTTAGTAGTCCAGTTGCGTAACATTAATTTGTCTGTTCTACAGATTTTTTAACTATTGGCTGTGTTGCATGTTAAACAGCTGCCCACAAAATGAAATATAATACTTGATCAAAAATAGAAATCAAAGTAATGTACATTTGACAAAGATAAGAGCATGGGTAGCATTCCCATCACTCAAAAAGGTGTTATTTACGCCTCAAAAACATTTGACAGAAGCACAGATATCTCTGTGACTTGCAAAACTAAAACTAAAACTAAAAACATAGCTAGCTGTGTGTATGGTATGGTTATATCCACAAAGACGGCTGTATTTGCATAGAATACATTGGTCTGCGAAGCAGCTATGCCCTATGGACCACTCAAGTTCTTTTGCAGCCTTCACAAAAAAAGAAAGAAACCCCACCAAAGCAGACCTTTCAGGGCCATAATTTTTCCCAAATTACAAAAGAATACTCCTTAACCTTGCCTACCTTGATACCTGCCACTTGTAATCCATCTAAGCTTACTTGTGCCTAAATCTTAGAAGGAGGAATGGAATGTGATTTTGTTGTTGTGACTTATGTTTCGAAGGGAAAGCCACAATTTTTGTTGAATTTAATCATTGTTTCAAACCATTTGAGCTCTGCAATTTACTTCAGTGCTAGTATCTGCTGTCAATATAGGTAAACCAAAATGTTCAATACAGTGGATGTTTTATGTTGAGGCATATTTATGTATGTAAATAATAGTTCCATGCACCACTGGTCTTCAGCTGGTGCATCAGGGCCTGATCCAAGGTGGGTCGCAACAGGAGCTGTGCCACCATGCAAATATTAAGGTAAGAGAGTAAGAAATGAATCCCTAAATGCATGTTTGAGTTAAAAGTGGGCCCTGGGTCTGCAAAAGTTGAATGTCTGCCATACAGCATGACCTGGTAGCAGATTTCAGACCGCTTACTATTTCCTTGGCAGAAGGACAAAACCTCATTGTTTGTGACCCATTTCTTCTCCTTTGTGGGAATATGTAGGACCCAGACAAAAAAGAGGGGGATTGTCTACACATCATTACACCAGCAGGTGTCTGCATTCAAAGGTTGCTAGTGGATCTGGGACCAGCTACCAGCTGTCAGCGGATAAGGCAGCCAAGGACTGGGCCTCTTACAGTGTGTAAACTTTTTAGATTGGTGGGGGAGGGTAAGAAAATATGGCAGAAGCTTGTAATGTTATGCATAATGTTGGATGAGCTTTACTGCCTTTCTGTCAACACCAGAAATTGGGATTCCCAAGTGAACTTTGCTGGGGAGTAGATTGAAGATTTTTTTAAAAAGGAGCACTTCATCCAGTGCATACTTAAAAGGTATGGCATTCACTGCTCCAAGGCAGTGATGGTTGCTACATTAGATGGCTGGAGAATAGGTTTGACAGTGGTGCCTTGGTCTTCACAAAACATTATGCCACTAAATGCTGTTAGGTTAACAGCAGCAAAGGGCTGTCACTCTCCTGTCCTCAGTCTTGCTTAGAGGCAGGTGGTTTAATATGGTGTGAAGCAGAATGTTCGATGAGATGGGTGATTGGTCTGATTCAATTGGGCTATTGCATTGTTAAAGAGATTGTGGTGCAGATTTACCTGTGGGCTGAAGGAGGTGGTCAGGGTGCCCTGTGGCTGTATAGCAGGAGGAGAGGTGCTGTGGGATGCAGAGAGAAAAAGGCTAACATAAAAGTTTAAAAGAAACCAGTAAAAAGGGAGAGAGGCATATTTTTCTGCAATTAGCACACCACTTGAACCCTCATCCCAAAGCCCTCTTGTAAATATGCAAATCTCCACACAAAATTTAGCAGTTTAATTGTACCTTTAAAAAAATTATTGCAGAAAAAAACTGTCATGAGCTACAACTCACTTCGTCAGATAGTACCAAGTGTTATCTTAAATGGGTGGAGATGTACCTCTGTGCAGAAACACACAACAGTCAGAGGGCTCAGTAATACAAGAGAAAGTTGTGCTACATTATGCTGCAGAGCACAAATAATCAGGCAAAAGGATGAAAGATATAATCAGCTAGGGCGTGGCGCATTCCCAACTGCTAATAAAGTATGGCAGCTTTCATGTTACAGGAGTCTGTCTGGCCGTTGTGTAAGAGACTTTATAAAGTTACCATACTTTGGAACAAAAAAGATTTCAAAGGGAGGCTCCAGAATGATGTTGCCGAGTTGGAATTCATTTTCAGATCTGACACCCTAACTTACGTCTCAGTATAGTTAGGGAGTGCCTCTCTCACAGCTGTCCCACTTTCGGTGTTCCTGTTCACCATCTTGTTTTTGGCAGTTAATATTTGGGAAAGTTTGCACCTACTCTGCTAGGATTGCATTGCATTATAATGCTTCCTCCTCTTTTACATGTGAACCAAGGAAGCAGTTTTGTGCATTCTACAAAGTGGGCTCTGGCCCATGAAACTTTATGACACAATAACTATTAAGTCTTTTAAAGTGCCACTATCCTTTTTTGTTAATGTATGATTTACGCATTATTGGTGTGATGCATTTCTATGTACAAAGAAATATTGCACACCTTCCTGGTGCTACTAGTAGTTGATGGGTGTTGTCTCATTTCAAAACTGTTCCCGTGCAATGCTTTGGGGGTTGGTAGGATTGCCATACGTCCAGAATTTCCCAGACATACCGGAATACCGCATTTTCCAGCAGCAAATGGCCAAATGTCCAGGAAAATCCAAACATATGGCAGCCCATGTTGGCAGTGCACATTTTCCCTTAAAACTAAAAAAAGCTCAACAATTTTTCAATCTGGATTTTCACTGTTTGAAATAGTGGCAACCCTATGGTTAGTCCTACTTGTATCGTCTTGCGGCTGACATGACTTTGTTCCTCTCAGGTGTGTACTCCTGTGCTGCCTATTTACGTTGTTCTGAAGAATATAGAAGCAGATTGTTCACACCCGTTTCTGTTACCTTCCACGATTCCCATTGATGCTGCCCAGTTCAGCCTGGATTTTTTTCTCAATACTAAAATGCTGCCTGTGGAGCTACTTGCATGGGAACACCCACCTGACACATAGGATGATCTGGGGTGGGGAATCTTTGGTCCTCCAGATGTTCTTGAACTACAATGCCCATCAACTCCAGCGAAAATGGCCAATGGGTGTTGAAGTTCTGTAACATTCCGGGGGGGGGGGTAGGCTGAAGGCATGTTTCTCTTCCCTGAAACATATCCCCAGGGCTGCAGAGGAGATGACAGTATTTTTCTGATGGTTCTGGGTTGGGAACAGAAAGTATTCCTTACTTGTTCTTCAGGATGCAGAAATCACCAGTTACTTAGAGGAACAGGACTAGCCAGTTTTGCCCCACCTTTCCTACTAGCAATGGCTTTTAATTTAGATGCATGGGATAATTGGGGGTAGAGAGGAGTTGGGAGTGGAGTAGACTTTCATCCTTTCCCTTTATTATCATCAGCTTTCTTTTGTAAGCACATGGAAGAGCAGCAAGCAAAGCATTATTATATGATCCCCATTTACTGCCTCAGCTCAGTTTTGCTCTCTGTAGCAAAAGTGAGAAGAGGATGGTGATGGAATAAACAGCTCATACTGTTCTTCTGAAAGTACTGAGAGCAAAGGAAATGGCAGTCAGATTGTTCAGGGGCAGCAACAGTGTACTGAAAATAGATCCAGGACCTAATAATTTTGGTTACAAATGTCTTCAAGATGTAAGGGGAAGAGAATAAAAGAAACAATTTAACTGTCTGTCCAACCACCCTTCTCTCTTTTAATATTTATTAGCCTGGTATATCAGGAGGAGGATATACAGGTGGAGAACCCAACTCTCCTTCCTTTGGTACCCAGGCAGTGTAGCGTAATGATTATGGTGTCATAGTAGGGGAACCAAAAACTCACTGGGCGTTCTTAGGCCAGTCACACTCAGCCCTAGCCTACAGGATAAAGTGGAGTAGGGAGGGCAGAAAGTATGTATGCTGTCTTGAGCTTCTTAGAGGGAAGGTAGGACACAACAAATAAATGAGACGAGTAGATTTTTATGATTTCCGCTTTCCACCTTATCAACTGAATCACTGCATCTTGCTGTAATCGGCGAAAGACCTATGTATCTGAATGCATAACCAGGCCTACTTTACCAAAAAATCTATACTTTTCCACAAAAAAGCACTGGTAAAGCAAGCTCCCCCATGGAGCAACATGAAGTCTGCACAAACTCCTACTTCATAGGAGTCCTTGGACATTAAGCAAGCCTTCCTGTGCAAGTAGACCAGCATAAGAGACAAGCAGTATGGAGCATATCACTAGAAAGCAATTTATTAATACTGTCAGCCAGAGCACCTGCATTTCATTTCCAAGTGGCATCTATCATCTCTGTGAAAGGACTGATAAGGCGATCTATGCAGGGATCTCTCAACTTTTTTTTTTTATTTCATTAAAATTGGCAGGTGGGAGGTTTGGATTGGATCCACAGCACTGAGGGTGTTAGCTGTTTCCATGATAAAAACAGTCTCTCTGGAGCAGCTTATTCACTGGGGGTGGGACCCACATTTACCCCTTGAGGCAGAAAATTTATATTGGGGGAATCTGATTTTAAGAAGTTTCAGGAACTCCAATCAGGGTCCTGACATTCTCATGTCCAGTTTGTCCCTAAGAGGCACTCTTGATCAAAGTGCAGTTCCACCCTCATTCTGATCCTTAAGCTCAGGAAAGAGATGTTTTTACTGTGGATGAAATTCCCCTTCCTATAGGAAAGAAGAAGCAGTTAAGATGGCAGGCTATTTCCAAGCATGTTCCTCTTGTCACTCCAAGGAATTTTGGTGCAGTAGATAGGGGCAGATTCATCACCATCTTTGTCTTTAAACGTGGGACAGACTAGCCAGCAAGATGACCAGCTGACAGTTTAAGGAACCATTTCTGCCAGGGTGCTCTGCTGAGGTAGTAATTCAGAAAAAATCAGAAGAATAGGATAGAAGAAAACAATGGTTTCTATTTGTCCAGGTTCCTGAAAGAGGCTTCCATCTGTTCACAGCTGAAGTCTGTTGCTGAAGATTCCACTTTCTCCCTTCTGCTGGCAAATATTTAAATGATGTCAGCTTTTTTTGTTTTCAAGTTTTATTTTTAAAGGGATTACATGTAGAGAAGCCTTTACCTGGTAAGTGAGCCCTTAGGGGAAAATATCACCATATACACAGTTCTGTCCTTGGATTCACAGTATAGCTTCTTGACTTACATGCTTCCACAGTTAAAAGAAATTTGGTCAATGCTTTCGACTTAACTCTCTAGCTGATGATACTAAAGCAGGCCTACTTATCAGCATGGATCAACTCCAGGAAGGTAAAACCAACCTTGTCTTCTCTTTACTCCCACCTCACAGTTCTGCAGTTTCTCCCATTTTCCTATTTAGAAAAAGCCTGATCACATTAGCTCTTTCTACTTAGGCAACTAACTCACCCACTAGCCTTGGGCCACACTTTACAAAAGAAAGCACTTCTAGAGTTTCTCCCTATCTATTCACAGTGCAGTTTCCAAGCCCATGATATGAGAGGAGGTTCCAGACCCTCCCAAGTGCTCCAACAAAGGTTTAACTAAATCACGAGGCAGACACATCCCAACTTAGTCAGGAACATTCTGTAAAAAGGAAAGGAAGAAGAAAAAAAACCCTCCCCGAGTAGGCAGGGCTCCCATATAAAGACACCAGTCTGCATTGTGTCGCAGGCAAAGTCTATGTTCCTTATAGAGAGATCAATGGAGTCCCAGAAGTTCCACTCAGTAGGGGCGAAGGGGAAGCAGGGGAAGTATATGAGTCTGTGGTGACTCCCCCATTATTGCTGTTCCTCCTTTTCTTGTCAAAGCTGTAGCACCTTCCAAGATAACTCCATGGCAGGACTTTACCGGAGGCTGCTGCTGCTGCTGGCCTGAGAGCTGCCCACACCAGGGTGTTCAGGGCTATGCCGATTCTAAGGAAAAATAAAATGGACACACATGCAAGAATGAGAATGAAAGTTCTCAACAATAATGAAAGGCCAGGAGAAAAGACCCCACATCTCAGTCAGTTCTCTGGCACCTGAGGGTACAATTACTTGAGCTGGTAGAAGCATTCTTCCCAACTTACTTTCTTTTTCTTCTTCTCCTTCTTCTTCCTTTTCCGCTCAGGGTCATCCTCTTTCTTCTTCTTTTTCTTCTTGTGGTCAGAATCTGAAGGAGTTTCTACCAAAAAGAGAAAAGGAACTGAAGCAGGAACTTTGGACAAAGCAGGAATTGCGGTAGCTTAGGCCGCTAGACTGTGGAATGCTAAATTGGAAAGGAAGGGCAGGGGTTGGTGAGGGTAAATGCAACCACAGGACCCAAGGAGGAAGCTTCTTACCTGGAGGGACAGGATCCTGCGTACGACTCTGCTTGTGTTTGTGCTTGTTTTTTTTCTTAGGTGGTTGGATGTGCATTAAGCGACACTGCTCTGGCAGCTGAAGCAGCGCAAAAGAAACAAAAGAGCATGTTAGTCCACTGAATACCACATCTGTTGTTCCAGTAAATAACCACAGGTGCAATCATTTGCAGGGAGGGGGTTGCTTGTCTCTTTGGTAACCTGGTCCCACCGTTATCCCCCATCAAAACTTGCAAGAAAAGTTTCTACTATGTTCACTAAGCTTAGTACTTGGGTCTGTTATGAGCTCGGAGCTCCCTAGACTCCTTGGCAATCTCCACTTCACAGAATATGGCTAAAGCATTACTCTGGAATTCACATATGAGTCAACCTTCCTCTTCATACCTGCTCTGCAAAAGAGAGCACTAAATTTGGCAGTACAGTGGTACCTCCGTTTACGAACTTAATTCGTTCCGGAGGTCCGTTCTTAACCCAAAACCATTCTTAACCCAAGGTGCGCTTTTGCTAATGGAGTCTCCCGCTGCTAACGCACCATTGCCGCCACGCAACTTCCACTCGCATCCCAGGGCAAAGTTCGCTACCCAGAACACCTACTTCTGGGTTAGCGGAGCTCGTAATCCGAAGCGTTCATAAGGAGGGCGGTACATAACCCGAGGTTCCACTGTACTTTTCTTTGTGACTCCTCCTGCCTGGGATCCCTCCCTAACTTCAGCCTACCTACTACTGCCTATTCCATCAAGGGAGATGGATCCCATTCTGCTGGACTCTTAGAAGTTTCTCCCAGTACTCATATTCTCCAGTGCACCCTAACATCCATTTCCAACTCTGGCATATTTTTTTTGTCATTCAGGTCATTTTCCCACCGACAGTCAATATTTCCTTCTTCCCTTGCAGCCCCCATCTCTAACTTACCGGGCCTGCATGGAGACGAAAGCCTGTTAGCATGGTGCCGGTGATAGGGTTGAACGAACTGCTGCAGATGGGAGGCTTCTCAATGAGAGAACGCAGGCTGCTGTTGTCATGTGAACCTGGCAAATCTATCATCCCTGGTAGGTCTGGCAGGAAGTTGCTGAGCTTCTCCTTCACCTTTTTACCACAAAATTTGTTGTAGGCATGCTCCAGGTTGTAGTGGGTGATCAGGTTTGTGCTCCCTGTTAGTTCTGTAGTACCTGGCAAAGAACAAAGGACATAACAATGCTGCCTATGTTTGGCTTGTTGGGATTAACAGGACAAAGGCAGATAGAATCTGGCAAGCAAATCCTTCAAATACGACACTACTTGCACCTGCAAGTGACTTCTTTGTTGAGATGACAAGAGGACATGTCCAGCCTCATACACCCAAAATGCTTTTGGTGAAGCCAGATCAAGAAAAAGCTTTGCTCTGCTTTCTGAAAATGTACTTCTCTTCTTGATAGGCTGAGGCATCCTGGGAAGAAAATCCCCAAAGTCCCATTCATGTATACTTGAAATTAAGTCCCACTTATGCCATGGGAGGTTGCTTCAAGGTAATGGTTTGTAGGACCCTCACCTAATAACAAAGCAATAGTTTGCACGCAACACTAAGCCAAATCACGGCTTCACACAAATCATGGTTGCTGTGCTTCTTCCTGAGTCCTGCTGATGCATACTCAAGGTCAAGTTTGGCTATGCATGACATCCAAACTGGGCTCATGTTCTGTCTCTCCCGACAAGCCATGAGCTGTTTGTTGTTGATCACTCATAGTTTGGGGGAGACAACCATGACCCCCGAGTTGGCATGCAGTGCTGAGCCAAACCATGATAGTGCAACAGCCACAGCCTTTGCTCTGGGAATGCTTGCTCTCGTGTGCTAAGCCAGGTTTTGGCATAGTGTTGTTACATGTTCACTGGGCCCTATTTGCTTATGGTGTTTAGACAGTGCTTTTCAGACGGACCTTCCATATAGATTATTACAGCAAGCATCTATTGAAGCAGAAAAGGCAAACGGGGGCTTGCCATGAAGTTAATAATGAACTTCAGCGGCTTCCGCCTCGGCAGCGCCAAATGCGGATGCACCGCATGACTCCGCCTCCCTGTTTTGATCCGGCACCTCATTGGCCCCCAGTAGCTGCCAATCGAAATCTCACCACTACCTGCGCTTCCGCGAAGTCGTCAGCTTCGCCTGTTGGGTCTAAGTTCCCACAGGAACAGGGAGGAGTGCCCATCAAGACGCAGCCGCGTATCTCTATTGGGCCATTCCGCCGCGGCGCCTCGGTGGCATTGGCCAAGGATGCAAGGCCCGCCTCTGCATTCCGGTAGGCTGAGTCGCCCCCGAAGCCCGCCCCCTCCAACAGCCACTTACCTGGTAACTCGCGCATTAGGTAGAAGGGGCCGCTGGCGGCCGCCGCTTTCTCTCCGACGGGGGTCACGGCAGGGACGGGAGGTGCCCCAGTCCCCGGTCCTCCGGGTTTCCCTGGTCCAAAGCCCAGCGCGGCGGCTGTGGAAGGCGGAGGCGGTTCCGTCCCTCCGAAGAGAGCGGAGAAATTCTCCATCATCCCGGCGTGCCCCGCGCAATCTCCTCCCATTGGCTTCGCATCTTGGCAGTCCCCCTCGGCTCGCCTTATTTTCATTGGAGGGCGGTGAACCCTCCTCTTACGTATGATTGGCTAACTAACCTGGAAACTGGGCCGCGTTCCGATTGGACGGCCCTCTGCTTTCTCGTGACGTATTTTTAGATGGCGGCATGACGTCGACAGCATGCGTCGAGAGGGCCCTAGTTTGTATTCCGAATCCATCCCAGCGATTCTGAAGTCGGCCAATGATAGTGCGCGGTGTTGCTCTAAGCTCCGCCTTTCCGTTGATTGGCGTAGGCATTGGCCAGCGAGCCCGAGCGGAGGAACGACGAGCGTGCGCCGCCGGCAGGCGCTAGAAGCTGTCGGCGCGGGGGCTCGGTCAGGGTGAGGTGAAGATGGCGGTGCTTGCTCCGCTGCTGGCCCTGATCTACTCCGTGCCTGGGATCTGCCGGTGGCTGGCGCAGCCCTACTACCCGCTGTCGCTTCTGCTCTCGGCTGCCTTCCTGCTGGTGCGGAAGGTGCCGCCGTTATGCCACGGGCTGCCCACCCAGCGCGAGGACGGCAACCCCTGTGACTTCGACTGGGTGAGGCCTTGCCCGGAGCCCCCCTCACGCCCTCTTGCCTCTATGGGGCTCATCCGGCCAACTGCTGGGAAGGGAACGTTTCTCCCCGTTGCCCAAAGAAGTCGAGATCTGTCGTTTGGCATCCTCGTCCCGGAGACTCTCGACTCTGCGACTGGAAGGAAAAAGACTTTCTTTCTCTTTCTTTCTTTCTTTCTTTCTTTCTTTTTTACTTTCTTTCTTGTTCTTTTGATGGCTGGTTCGCCATGTACTAGTGAAGGGTGACTAACTTGCGGCCCTCCAGATATTGTTTCTTTATTTATTGAATTTATATACCGCCCTGTACTCGGAGGTCTCAGGGCGGTTCACAGAACAAAATCAAAATAGAAAACCACAAAATATATAATAAAAAAACCAACCCAATACCCCCCCAATTGTTGGGCCTCAGTTCCCACCCTCTTTGGTTACTGGGCATGCTATTTGGGGTTGGTGGAAGTTAAGAGTCCAACCCGATCTGAAGGGCTGCAGACTAGCTGCTGTTTAGTATTTTATTAATCACCCATCCTACACTCGTAAGGTCCCAGTTGTTTTAATTGTTGTCAGAATGACATGCACAAAGGCAAGACGTGATAATAGTTTGTGTTTAATGTAATAAGCTCCTCCACCTCAGGAGAGGACCCCAATAGAGGTGAATTTCTTTCCAACCTCTGATGGGAGTGACCTCCAGGAATATCTGCCGACTTTCACACTTAACCTCCCTTTAAAGTAGTGGAGGCCTGCTCTGTTCTCTGCTTCCCAATATGCTGGTATTTGTCTGGCTGTACTGTTCAAATCTCAATGCTTATAATACCACCAGAGTGTTTGTTTGCATTACAAACAGCCCCTGGTTAGATAGTAAATTCAAAGTGGTTCCCACTCGCATTCTTCCTCTGCTTCTTCCTCTTACTATTGCTTACCATTTTCTGCCCTTTCCTCGAATGGCTCCTGTGCTTGCACTGAACTGCACACAAAAGTTCAAAAGAGCTCATAAAGGTGTCTCTGAATTCTCAACATCTTATGATAGTTTTTTCATGCCTGGCAACTCTGCCAGAAACCTTCCATTTCATTTTGTGCTCCCCTTCTGTTGTAAGGCACATGTGTGCATAGCAACTCAGCAAATCAATAAGTCAAAATTCCTTTCCTGTTGCATCTTCTTTCATATCTCTAGTCCAAACCTCAAAAGAAGCTGCTTTGAGTGTGGTAACCCATAGCACTTGTTCTCATGTCACACTGTGGGGTTTCCTGCCCATAAGAATTGATCACGTAGGAGAATGTAGTGATCACAAAACTAGTTTAGTTGTGGGATCTGGTGCATGGGCAGTCTTAAAAAGACATTTAGACAGACAGCTTTTGAATTCTTTAGATGTGATACATGTTTTAATCATATGGGTTGGAGTAAAGTATTAATTGGGTCATCTCTGGTTGTGTAATTCTGTGGGCATGACCGTAGGTTGTTCTGTAACAGGTAAGCAACAGGCTGAGAGGATTAGGGAAGTTTAGGCAAGATTAGGGAAGTTTTTAATGTTTGATTCTATTTTTAATATTCTGTGGGAGCTGCCCAAAGTGGCTGAGGAAACCCAGCTAGATGGGCATTGTATAACTAAATTATTATTATTATTATTATTATTATTATTAACACCTCGCCATGTGTATGTTGCAGTTGTACTTGAGACCAATTCCTATATTAATGAATTGGCCCTAAAGTTTGTATGTACCACTTAATGTAAATTGCCCTGCACATAAAGCAAAAACAATTTTTTATTGTGGTATCTTAAGTCTACAACAGTGATATATTGTGCTAGACACTAGTTTTTCAGATGTACCACACTGTATTTTGTTGTGTAAAGGGCCACAAAAATTGTTTGGTTTTGCTGCAACAAGATATCATGGCTATTCTTTTTGTATTTGCCTCATAAAACACTTTAACATTTGAGCAGGATGTTTATGCAAGATTGCACTAGCTGTTTTAGTGAAAAAATATTTTCATTGCAAATCATCCTTTACGTGGAGGTAGTTAACTGCATAATTTGTTTTTCATGTAACAAGAAAAAAGTAACATAGAGCACTTGCACAATTTACTAAATGTACAAAATAAGGGTGATCCTTGCATATGCCGTCACATAAAAGTCAGCTCTAGTTTTATTTCATTGTGCACCTGCTTGGTTTGTGGTCCTGAAACTTCCAAGCAACTACAGTGGTGCCCCGCAAGACGAATGCCTCGCAAGACGGAAAACCCGCTAGACGAAAGGGTTTTCCGTTTTTGAGTTGCTTCGCAGGACGAATTTCCCTATGGGCTTGCTTCGCAAGACGAAAATGTCTTGCAAGTCTTGAGATTTTTTTTGCTTTCGCCCCTTTATCTAATCTGCTAAGCCTTTAATAGCCTTTTAGCAGCTAATCCGCTAAGCCTTTAAGCCTTTAATAGCCGCTAAACCGCTAATAGCGCTAATCCGTTAAGCCGCTAATAGGGTTGCTTCGCAAGACGAAAAAACCGCTAGACGAAGACTCTCGCGGAACGGATTAATTTCGTCTTGCGAGGCACCACTGTATAAGCTTCCTTTGGAACTGGCAGTATGGCTAGCTAGATGATGGATAAATGTGACATCTGCTCTAAGGACAGGCCAGCTGGTCCCTTTTCCCCACTGCTTGTACAACCACTTACTGCCATCTTTCTTTTTAGCGCGAGGTGGAGATTCTTATGTTCCTCAGTGCCATTGTGATGATGAAGAACCGCAGATCCAGTAAGTAATGCTTGTTCTTTATCTCTCTCTTTTTGGAGTAAAGCTTACAAAGATTTCACAGCTGGCTTTAACCTTTATCGAAATCTTATTTTCTTTAAAATCAGTATGGTCCAGTCAGTATATTTTGAACAAATAGCTGGTACAGAATGGGATGTAAGTGGGATGAGGTTGTGTCAAAAATTCACACAGAAACAGAAAGCACCTAAATGATTTGAAAAGTTTTAAGATGAATGGCTGCTGCTAGGCCCTTGTTCCTCTGCCACAATCGGTGCATTGTCCCTGTGCATTCCTGCTGTAGGAGTGGCTTCAGAAGGTGACCTGTCTATTTCTTTTGTTTTCTGTTCCATAATACAAAGATATGGAGGCCAGCGGGGCAAAGCTTCCATGTGCCAAGACTTGGTGTATTATGGGTGAGATTAAGTGAAGGTCAACATGGAGGTGATAAGAATATAGCAGAGAACAGTGACTGCCTAAGATGAAAGGATATGCAGAATGTGGGGTTTAGCTTGAAATGATATGGGAAGCAGGAATGACCTCTAGGCAAGTGCTGTAAAATACAAAACTGTACAATGTTAGCCTAGGACAGCACTCGTTTGACGAGAAACTCCCACATACCTTGAAAACTACACCGTGTGTGTGTATCTATCAATAGGCATTCTAAATATGTAATCTGTCTTGCACAGAAAGCTTCCACAAATTTTTTAAAAGTTAAGCTTCAGTCAAAATTCCAGCTTGTTACTGGGCCTAGCAGTGATACAGATAATATCAGCCATAAGAATGTGCCTCTTTCTCTCTCTCAAGTTACTGTGGACCAGCATGTGGGAAACATCTTCATGTTCAGCAAAGTAGCCAACGTCATCCTTTTTTTCCGCCTTGACATCAGAATGGGACTGCTCTACCTCACCCTCTGTATAGGTGAGTCATCCTAGTTATATCCTAGTTCTAGTTCTATCAATTGAGGAGGACTTGGACAACATAAATAATAGGACTTTAGATGCAAAATCCACCAGTTCTGCATAATTCCTCTATTTTGGGGCATTATTTTTGTTTATAGGGCAATGCCAGCTTGCATTAAGTGGAAGTAAAGACTACCCCATGATTGCCATATCTAACACTGCAGCTGGAACCTGCTGTCTGAATTCCATTTTCTTGAGCTATTGGAGGAGGGCTGTGGGCTGGAGGAATCTTCATTCCTGGCAAGAGGAGAATATAATCCAGGGAAGCTTTTGAGAATTCTGCCAATCTCAAAAGCAGGGAGGAGCCACAGCTTTTGTAGAGTACCTACCTTGGAGAGCAACTGCTAGTCATTTTAATAGACAGTACTGTAGGAGGTGGACAAACACTCTGGTCCCATATAAAGCAGCTTCCTAATCCCATCCCAGCATAGTGCTAAACCAGGGGTCAGCAAACTTTTTCAGCAGGGTGGGGCGGTCCACTGTCCCTCAGACCTTGTGGGGGGCCGGACTATATTTTGGGGTGGGGGGGAATGAACGAATTCCTATGCCCCACAAATAACCCAGAGATGCATTTTAAATAAAAGGACACATTCTACTCATGTAAAAACACGCTGATTCCCGGACTGTCCACGAGCCGGATTTAGAAGGCGATTGGACCGGATCCGGCCCCCAGGCCTTAGGTTGCCTACCCATTTGGTAGCTAAGCTGTGCTTGGTATGTGCCTTTTCAGTGTTCCTGATGACCTGCAAGCCACCTCTGTACCTGGGTCCTGAATACATCAAATATTTCAGTGATAAAACAATAGATGTGAGTATTTTATTCTCTGCACTCTCATTTGTTCTTGTGGACTTGGATAAGCTGGGTATAACTTATTATTTTGGGTATAGCGTATTATATTATACTGACTTAGTTTCGTTACAGTAAGAAAATGAACACAATAAAAACCCTTGTTAAAACAGAAATGGGCAGTGCTGGCTGAAAAGGAGACACTGCTTCAACAAGGTTCCACAGTGACCACCTTGGAAAATATGCTCCCCTCCCACTTTTGTCCCTGGATCTGGAACATTTATTTTCGGGCAACTGGATAGTCTGCAGCTCCTGGCTTTTTCTGGCAGCAGCAGTGACGGAACCAGCAGAGAGATGATGATGATAACTGTCCACTTCCCAGGCCGTAGATGGTCACTGTTGCTGCTCCAACTGTATGTTCTACCTTTTCTTTCTTGGAGCTCAAGGAGGCATATATTCTATACATTCACACACACACTTTGTTCTCATAACTACCTTCTGAGGTAGATTGGTCAGAGAGAAAGTGTCTGGCCCAAGGTCCCTCACTGAGCTTCACTACTGAGTGCAGATTTGACCCTGATCTTCCAGGTTCTACTTTGACACTTTATCTAACCATTGCACTGCATTAGTTCTGCTTAAGGAGGCCCCAAGTTTATTATTCTGTACCGCTGTTTCCTCTTGCTGATTGTTTTTTTTTTAAAGTTACATGCAGTCTTACCGCCCTGTGAACATTGTGGAAATTTTGTTTATAGATATGGAATATTAAATATTTTAAATATTTTATAGAAATGGTACATATTCACACGAGAACTGAGAGTATTGAGACCTAAGAAGATCTGAACAAAGAGTGTCATTGGCAGTCTAAATTGATGTTGGTTAGTGGTGGTGGAATGGGACTGGTTCAGCCCAACTGAAAAAGCATTGCCCTGAGCTCTGAAGTTCAGACAAAGGGAGCACTTTCCAGATAGTCTTAAACACAGAGAGAAGTGCAAGCATGAATGTTGGATGTAGCCTAGTACAGGCATGTCCAACAGGTAGATCGTGATCTACCGGTAGATCACTGGACGTCTGCGGTAGATCACTGGTAGATCATTGGCTCCCCCCAAAGAAGCTCAACAACTGTGGCTCCCCTAAAAAAAGTTCAACAATTTACCTCCTCCCTGAAAAAACTCAACAACTTTGACCTGAACCCCAAAAAAGGGGGTCAATCACTGCCAGTTTTTAACTCTGTGAGTAGATTGCAGTCTCTTGGGAGTTGGCCACCCCTGGCCTAGTATATGAACTATTTGGACCTACTCCATGATGGTTGTGTACTGCCTCCAATATTGGAGGTGGTTTGCATCTGAATCCTAGTTCCTAGGAAGCACAAGTAAGGAAAGTGCTGTTACACTCTGCCCTTGTGGGCTTCCCATAGGCATCTGGTTGGGCACCGTAAGAGAGGGTGCTGGACTGGCTGCTCGGATCCAGCAGGCTTCTACTGATAACCTCCTGTTCTTTGCCAGTGCCTCTCAACTCCTGGAACTCTGTGGGTTTGGATTGTGATTGCTGGTCCTCCTGTGCAGCACCTTTCCCCAACCTGGTGCCCTCCAGGTATTATTAAGCTGTAACTCTTGTCATCCATTCCCACTGGCCATGCTGGCTGGGGCTGATGGGAACTGGAATACAAACCATGTTGGAGGGCACCAGGTTAGAGAAGAGTTGATGGTTGTGTGATCCTGCCTCAGGATAGGGATTGTCCTTCTGTATCCTTTCAACTCTATTGGAGTGTTGTATGTGGACATTTGAAGGATGTGCATTGTGTCAGCCTTGATCCTTCTTTTGCAGGAGGAACTAGAACGGGACAAGCGGGTAACCTGGATTGTAGAATTTTTTGCTAATTGGTCCAATGAGTGCCAGTCATTTGCTCCCATCTATGCAGACTTGTCTCTCAAGTGAGTGGTTTACTCTTTAATAAAGTATGGTGTCTTAGCGCAGGGGCAGGCAGACTTCAGGCACGTGTGATGCCTAAAGTGTGATGCATACTTTACCTCCAGGACTCAGCATTTTTGTTGTGCTGAAGGGTACAGAAAGGCATTGAGTCCAGTATGTTCCAGTGTGATAACTATTGGGCTAAGGTGAGTGTGTATTTTTATGCTGTGAACTGCCCTGAAATCTATGGATGAAAAGTGGCTTATTCTTATTCTTCTTATTATATTTCTAAGATACAATAGTTCATTTGTTGGGTGAACAAAGATAAACTCACCAGGTTATTCTGATTGCAGCCCCTGATGTACTGCTGGCTTTTAAGAAAGAGTTTTACTATAGCCATGCAAGTTATGGTTTAAAAGGAAAATTTAGTATCCTCTAAAGCAAACTTTAATGGGAAGGAACCTTAACAAATAGGGAATGTCCATGAATCCAGGCCCTTGTGGTTGCAGAAGGTTAGTGCTAATCCTTTCTACAGAATGTCAATTTAAAATTGATGAAAATTAGTTCCCAAGAGAGTTTATTTGTGGTTCCCGTTCTGAGGTTTATGAGACCTAGTAGTTGAACTAATGGGAAATGGATGGTGGCAATAGCTCATTAGCTACTGGCAGTTTCTGGATAAAACTCCATAGGAGATTCTGGTGACCCCACCATACATTCAACTGAGGCAAAGGCCTCCCCCCACCCCCTTGTACTGAGGTACCAAAGTGAAGGATTACTCTTTAAGTGGCTCTTGGCAAGGGCCTGGCTGCCGATGGCTTTTTTTGAAGCAACCCATTGCTTCCAGCAATGACCAGTAGATGGCCTTAGTGTAGAAAGTGTTTTCATTTTTAGTCCCTGTAGAGTTGAGTTATACATCAACGTCGTGGTTGCATAAGCAGGAAAAGGGTGGCTGTATAACTCAACACAGTAAAATCTAAAGCTTCCCAGTGCTTAATCAGAGGAGTAGTTCAAACTTGAGAGAAGGGAGAAAGCCCTTGGAATCAGCTTAAGGCTGTGCCTTCCGTGTTCTTTAATATTCTGTGTTATTGTCTGAAAGCACATGATGCCACAACCTTGGTTGAAGCTGAGATCATCTAGGTTTGGTTAGTGTCTGGATAGGAAGGTGTCTGGGACACATATGTATGCTGCCTTGAGTTCCATGCAGGAAGAAAACAGGATGTGGCCATTAATGAAATAATAAGCATCTACTTTGTTTCATGGTGTTTCTGCCTGCATACTAACCATTGCTGTGCCTCCCCAGATACAACTGCACCGGATTGAACTTTGGGAAGGTGGATGTGGGCCGCTACCCTGATGTGAGCACCAGGTGAGCTATTTGCTGTAGGAACCTTGGGAGAATGAGGAAGACCACAAGGCTAGGTGTGTGATATGCAGCACCATGAAAACTTGTTTTGCACTAGCAGGGCAGTGTGGGAAGAGGAGATGCAGTGTTGTGAGTAATTCATATTAGCATGTTTATTTTACTTGAATCTAATAAACAAGGCTAAAAACTTAGAATTAGCTATGGTGACCTAATAATTATTTGTAGTTGGCATTCATTATGACTAATGAACCTGTGGAACAATATTTCCTGAAGGAAAAACAAAACACTAGAAAATTTCCTGGCCCACATCAGTCTCTGGCTAGATGTTCCTTTTCTTGTTCTCCCTGGACTCAAGCCCTTTGTCTCTTCACAGGTACAAAGTCAGTACATCTCCTCTCACTAAGCAGTTGCCTACACTAATCCTTTTCCAAGGTGGGAAGGAGGTGATGCGCCGGCCACAGATTGATAAAAAGGGACGAGCAGTCTCATGGAATTTTTCGGAGGTACGCTCTATCTGAAGTTTCATTTGTATGCTGTCAATATCAGATGTGCGCCTTGTATTAAGCTGGGGATCAGTACACGGTAACACAAAACAATGCTGATCTTTCTTTTTGTCACAGGAGAATGTGATTCGGGAATTCAACTTGAATGAGCTGTACCAGAGAGCCAAGAAAGTGTCTAAGCAGCCTGAGGTCCCAGAGGAGTCTCCAGAACAGCCTGCTATCCCTGAGGTCCCCAATGGAGAGAGCAAGAAGGACAAATAGAGCCCGGAGGACTGGACTGTGTTCCTTTACTGTTTAGCTCCCCATTCCTCTTCCATTGCCATTCTGATCTCTCTCCTGGGACATCAGCCACAAGCTGCTTTCGCCCACAACGCTGGTGCTGGGAGATGATTGTACATGCCAGGGAGCTTCTATCTTCTGAGTGTAGTTGCCAGGGAGCTTTTATCCTCCTGGGCTCAGTGCCTCTCTGCTGGCAGCTACACGTTTCTTCCCCCATCCCCTGATCCTCCTTCCAGGAGTTGCTAGGTGCAGTTTCAGCAAGATAAGATGTGGCCCAACTCTATAGAAGCTAGAACCTGTTTCTGCATCTAGATGTGGGGCTGCAGGCTTCTCTGGCAATGAATAAGAGCTACAGGGGGACGGGGAGCAAGAACTCAGTGGACACTGGAAATGGGCAGGATGGGAGGAATCACCACTTTCGGTGGAATTGACTCCCTCCTGTCAAAGCTGTGACACCTCACTCCTGTTTGAATTGGTTTTATGCAGGGTCGTATCTGTGGCTGAGAAGCTACAGGTATCATTGACCAGTTTTGACTACTTGCTACCCACTGCCCTCTACTGTACTGACAACAGAGCTTACGTGGTCTCTTCCCATAAGTTTTGGGCTTTAAAAGCCGATGGGTGGACGTACAACGTTTCTTTGCTGAACTTGAAAGTGCTGCTGTGCCAGAGAGTAAGCAGCAGCCATGCAGTCCTTATGGATTTCCTGTTCTCTGCATCATCATCATCAGCTGCTTGCGTGGTGTAATATGCTGAGGGTGTGCAGTAAGAAGGGGGTCCCTCCTGCCCCCAAACTGGAGGAGTAGCTGCTTCTGCCGTCCAGAGTCATAATTGACAGGGTTCTTATAGCTGCTAACTCCATTTCCAACCCAGGGAGCTTGTTCGTGGATAGGAACAAGCTCCACTTCACTGTACTCATCCACCTTCACACTTCTGTTAATTGTCTTATACGGCTATCTCTAATAAACAAACTTGGGAATGTCTTCTTCTGGGGCCTTCTTTTTGTTTCTGAGTTGGACTATGACCACAGTCTGCATTTGCTTATTATTATTATCATTATTATTTATTAAATTTCTATACTGTCCCTTCATCCATAGGTCTCAGGGCATTCTGTACTTTTTTTTTTTTTTAAAGGATGTTTTGTAGTGTCCAAGTAAATTTTCTTCACTGTTTAGGGCTCGACTCTTCTGTATGGGATGGGGGCTTTGCTACGCTATCCTTCTTGGTGCTCTCTATCAGGCTGTAAGCATGCTGGCTGAGTTGCTGGGAAGATCTTGGAAAACTCCAACTATGGTCTCCACCAGTTTTTAGATGAAGGAGGCATCAGTTTGAAGCTGGACTACAATGGAGCGGGGCGGGGAGAGACTGAAGTCTTCGTCTTCTATTTTCCTTATTAAAATTTCCCCTCCTAAATAGTCAGCTGAGGCCAATCATATAGATAGGTGTATGTTTTCACCCTGGGGAAAACTGTCTGTGAGGCTGAATTAGGGGAAGGGTTAACACCTTGCACCATAGTACCAATCCAGACTCCCCCCACACCTGCTTTTAAACCTTTAAAGAAAAAAGAAACTGTTTGAAGAATAACTGCCCTCAGCTTCCTCTGATCATCTGATGTACTGCTGTTCCTCACACATGCAAAGGCATTGCTTTTGTCTTCCCCAGACATGCAACTGTTCATTGGCTGGGCCAAAAAAGACACCACTGCCAAGCCAGATGTGAAAGGACAGTGTAGGCCACAGAGTGGCAGCACTATAACGGTAACCCTGTAAGAAAGGAATAAAAAGGAGCTTGCTTAGATCAGAATGCCAGCTTGTGCTTCTGATGCCTATATTGTTTCCTCCTAATTAAAGGCAGATGCAATCAGAGACAAAGATTTGAGAAATGGGAACAATTTGGAAAGCATGATGTAGAAGGACAAGTGAGGATAGGGATGCCATGCCATGCTGATCATCATTGGAATGACTTCTATTAACAGAGAAAGGAAAATAGCACAAACTTCGGGAACTATAAGCAGGCAGCTAAGTTTACAATGGAACTGCAGTGGTTCTGCTAGGGTAGATAATGAAAAAAGTTCCCTAAAAGTAGTTGGGGGCTCCTAACTTAGGAGGTGGATGTGTCTTACTAAGGAAAGGTAGGAGCTGTTCACCCACAGATATTTTATTAATCAAATGTGTATACTGCCCTTCATCCAAAGATTACAGAGTGGTCACAACATAAAAATACCAAAGGTTCTGTGTTTGCTACAGTGCCATATGATGACTTGACAGTGCGAAATCACTTCCCATGGCTGCTTTCAACCAGATACTCCCATGTGATCAGTTGTGAGGGAGTACTGTGAATGTGTGGATCTGCCCTTTGCCTGCTGCCATGCCACAAGAGAGTACTGCATTAGAAGATAGGGAGAGTTTGGGGAATTTGGTTTTACGAAACCCATTTTCTTTAAGGCAAAAGAGAGAGAGCTAAACAGCAAACCTCGGACTGAAGTTCTTACAATGCCTAGCTCAGGGGTCTGCAACCTTTAAGACAAAAAGAGCCACTTGGACCCGTTTCCGAAGGAAAAAAAACTGGGAGCCGCAAAACCATTGCGACATTTAAAACAAATATATCTCCAGAGCCGCGATCTGACAGCGGGCGGGAAGGTGACGTCGGGACGGTGCTTGACTAACACACGCACCGCCCCCATGCGACGTCACAGCCAGTACAGTGCCCACCACAGTGGGGAGTGTCGGGGCACACAATGCGCCTCCTCCCCTCGCTAGTATCCGCCCCGGAGCCACGGCAAAGGTGTAAAAGAGCCACATGCGGCTCCGGAGCCGCGGGTTGCAGACCCCTGACCTAGCTGATGCCTATTTACTAGAATATACAGCCAGCTTTATATGGTAATAGCGATGTGACTTCGAAACAGTGCAAAACAGTAGCGTTTATGTCTCAACTCTAATACTTCCTGCGCCCTGCCACACTCTTTTTTATACCTTCAATTAGCATAACGGAATAGATGGGGCGGGGGAACCCTCTATATTTAAAACTCATGCATAGGGATCATCCGCATTAAGTGATCTTTTGTAGAAGGACCAACCCAGCATGGTGCAGCGGATGTTTCCACTGCTTCATCGCAAGAAAACGAATCTGGTTGCCCGCGATCAGTACTAAGCGGGGAATTGCAGCGAAATCCTAAACCAGCGACGCTACCTTAGAAGCCACGATCGGGAGCGAGCCGGGATTCGCTGCTGCAGAACTTCATCGCGATTTGCAGAGGGGCTTGTGTAAGTGGTAGCAACCACCTTGCAAAACCTCTTTGAACGGGGGGGGGGGCGGTTAAAAGTCCTGCGATTGCTATTCTTTCATCAAAACAAAACGTTTTGATAGCTAAGGCTGGCATCCTCAGAAGGCGCCCCATTTGCTGAACTGGCCAGCTAGCAGACTGCTGCTTTGTGACTTTCCCGACTTTAGCGTTATTATTCCCAGGTCTCCCCTCCCATCATCGGCGCACGTGGTTGGTGCCGCAGTGTAATTTCCTTTGTCGTCCTCTTGCTGCGCTTGGGCTGGAGCGCTGTTTGCAAGAAAGAAGAAAGGCCAGGGGAGATTGCCCGCTTGTGCAACGGGTAGGAGTCTCTGTCCAGAATTTTTGCAATCTGGCTCTATTATCACTTTTGTTTCGGCTCTCTCCAACGATGGGATACGCTTCGTGCTGTTTTCTTTCTGTCCTTCGTAGGCGCTTCTCTCCTACGGTAATTGGCTTCTACGCTGTGCTGGCTTCATCCTGCCTGCCGCTCTGGTTAACTGCTGTTGCTTTTTCCTCCTCTAGTTGGATTTTTTTGGCGCCCTTTTTTGGGGGGGCGGCTTATTTCTGCCGTTATCTTCGCTTCTTCGGGGTAACCAGCTCTCCTAATTCTTTTCCTTTAAATTTCAATTGATTTATATGTCGCCCATTAACAGAAAAGTTCTCTGGGCGGTTTGCAAGTAAAGACTACTTTTCACGTTCTCCCCACCCCGCCCTGTGTAACTAATTAATTTAAAAGGTTTTTTAAGAATATTAGTTTACAGGCTCGCATTCTCTTTGCTTGAAAGTGTGTACACGTGAATCAACCTCCATAGATTTTCTTGTGTTTTGCAAGAGGTTTGATAACCCAATTTCTAAATGCTTAACACTTAAGCCTTTCTGGTGTCCTCCTTATGGCATTAGGATATTTTACTTTGTCAGGATTGATACTATAATGTTCTTTGCAGAAAGGCTCAGTTTGCTTGCTTGCTTGCTTGCTTACTTACTTACTTGCATGCATGCAGTATTTTGCATGCAGAAGATCTATCCTTCCCTTTAGACAATACTGAGCTAGATGCATCATGATCTGATTTGGTATAAGGCAGCAAAAGCAAACCGAAGGAGCTTCATCTTCTTGGCTGTTCCCCTTAGGAAGGCCGGCCACATGCATTGAGATGTGCAGCCCAGTGGGGTGAGTGGGGCATTATTTTTCCTACCCTCCTGTGTTTGCTTTTGTAGTAGAATGGCCCCCAAAGGGAGAAAGAGGAAGGCAGAGGCAACTCGGGCCAAGACTGCAACATCTGAAGGAGTGGAGATGAATGTTGCTGAGGAATCACCCAAGAAACCAAAGAAGGATGAAGAATTGGGCTTTCGTGTGATCATTGAGCATTGGTGTGTACCTGCCCGTTATTTGCATCATCTGACTAAGGATGGGACCCTCATGGGTTGTTTCATGCATTTTGCTTTCTAGAAGGGATTCCTGGGTAGAGCTGGCTGCTGCCTGGGAGAAAAAATCTTGGGGTTGCACCCAGCACAATCCTAAAGTGAGCCAGTGTTGAATTTGCTCTGATAGTGGGTCCTTTTGCACAAGAAGTACCATAAGTGAACGACTTGCATCTGCAGATACAATTCCTAAGGACAGAAATAGTAATGGTAGTTTTGTGACATTTCATTCATGAGAGGCAGTTCTACCAGCAGACCTGTTGCCCAGCATTGAAAGAGAGAGAAAACTGCTAGCACACTGATGGTATTGGATGCGACCCTTAAGTATATTAATTATTTTAGTTTTAATTGATTAAATCTACATACATTTGCATCTGAGGGGGAAAATGGTTTCAAAAGAAAGAGCACACCTTTTTTGCTTTTGTTTTAAATAATGTATGTGTAGAAGTATTATTTCCTCCTTTTTCTTCATCTGGGAGGAAATAACTCTCTTTAGGTGTTGTTTGCCATCTGTGGCTGATTGCTTATTTCTTTATAAGTAATTATTATATCACCCTTGAATCCAATTCCCTGGATGGTTTTAAAAAAAGAGTAAAACCATTCAAATGTTCATACAAAAATAAACGCCCTAAAATTATAAATGTGGTATGACTAAAATTGCATCTACAGATGCAAGTGACAATACAGTAGGCACCAAGCAAACTGGTATCAGAACTAGTATTAAAAGTTTAATTGGTCAGCAGATTTAATCACAGGTGGTGTGTGTGTGTGTGTGTGTGTGTGTGTGTGTATATATATATATACACACACACACACACATACATATACCAAATTTATAATTGATAATTTTTTAACTGAGTATTGCCACAGCTCTAGTAAGAACACATTTTTGAACAGGAAATCTCATCCCTAAATACTGCATCTCTCCTATGAAGTAGAAAACGGAATGGGAAGTTTGGGCTGAACTCTCTGAACACTGGTGGGGTTGTGCTTTCTTCCATGTAGTCAAACCATTCATTGCTTTGTGCCTGTATGGGTTCAACAGAGACTTTCAAATCACAGTTCAGGTGGTTCTCTGAAAGCTTTTCTTCATTCCACAGTAAAAGCTGACGAGTCTATGGGCGCAGTGCCGATGCAGTCAGCGAGGCACTGCACCAGACCTTTCCTGACATCGTGGTGATGGTGAACCCTGAGAAACCGCGCAGGAATAGCTTTGAGGTTGCTTTGTGGAAAGAAGATGGCACCAGTAAGTGCTTTCAAGGGAGGCTTCTCAGTGAGAGACAGTAGGGACCTCCCTGGAGTTGCCATATCTCTTTGGGGTTAGTGATACCCCAAATATAGCTTGGTAGAGAAACCTTCGGCAGTGAGTTCTTGGTGTAGTTTTCATCTGCCTAGAATATGTGTGACCAGATGTTCACAAATCCACTCACCAAGCCATAAGGGTGCCCAAGTACAAAAAGCAATTAGGCTGCCTTGTGCTCGTCTCCATATCCCACTGCAAATCAGAAAACACTCTGTATCTCTCCCCAGCTGTGGTTTGTGCCATAGAATTTGGGGGTGGGGGGTGGCTGTGTGACCATAAATAGTAGCTGTGGTTCCCTGTATGTACGCATCAGAATGTACATAACTAGAAATTTGAGGCTGAAAGATCAGCACCTGAACATCTTATTGCTGGGATCCCTAGTGTGACATCTGAGGGCACCACTTAGCACCAACCAAAATCCTCTGCTTCTCCTAATTTTTAATTAGTTTTAAATTTGAGGGTTGTGTGTTTTTTGTTAGGATGGGTTGCCTGTTTCGGGAGTGGGGTGAGGTGGTCAGATGTTTTATCTGTAGTCTTTGTCTGCTTCGGAATGTGTCTGATAATGTTGTAACTGTTTGGTGGCAGGATCTAATAATTGCCAGACCCCCCACCCCAGGTGAAATGGTTATTTTGTGGTGCCTGTAACAGTTTATTAGATTTGATGGATTCAGTAAATACTCCTCCAACCTTCAACAGTGACACAGTACAGAGAGTGGGTGTGCTGGCATAAAAAGGAAACCAGATGTGGACAATCCATGCCCAACAGATGTTGCTGGGCTAAAATCCCATAATCCCAGACCATGGGCCAGAGTGGCTGAAGTCTTAACAACATCTGGAATGCCACAGTTCCCCACCCCTGACTTACCTACTTCCAGGTCATTCTCTCTAGCGTATCAAAAAGCTGGGCTAGCTGAGGTTTCAACCAGATACCATAGCCGTATTCTGAGGTTCCCCTTCCAGTTTTGTGCTTTCTACCTGCTTATTTATCCCTTACTCCCCTTTGCTGCTGCAAGTCCAAGAAGCTAGTTGCTGCTGGAAGATGAGTGGGCAGGCAGTGCCAAGAGAGACTGGGAGTTCTCCAGAGGTGGCTTGCACAACTTCCAGCACTATTAGCTGCTCCAGTTATCACCTGGAGCCTTGCTCACAGGGTTTCTCTGAACTGGAGCAGGATACTGGGCTAAATGTTTGGCAAGACCTACATAGCAGCTCTTTGATCAAGCTTTAGCTCAGTGGTCCGGTTAGATTCGGTTTCTCTTTCCACCACTCCACACACAAGCTCAGCTGTAGAACTGGCTCAACGTGTGAGATCTTGGGCAACTGGAGATGTAACTTGCTCAGCTACTGCTATGTCCAGTTATTTGTGAGAGCAACCAATAGTTTAATGAATGCACACAACCCTACCTACAAGCCAGCAGAGGGACATGGCGTCTTGGCTGCGTGCTTGTGGCTGACTGGAAGTAACACAATAGAAATGCTGCTGGTGAGTTGTCTTCTATCTTTATTGATTTTGTCTTTATTGGGTTTTTTAGAGGTGGAGTTATGGAGCGGCCTCAAGAAAGGGCCACCACGGAAGCTCAAGTTTCCCGAACCAAACAAGGTGGTTGAAATGCTGAAGGGCAACCTAGAATAAAGCAAACAACTGGGCAGGATTACCAATGGTAGGTTTGTACAATGTAGCAGCCATATTTTCCGAGATCTGCTGGACATCAGTGCCTTATTGGACTGGCCTCACCACCACCACCACTCCAATTCCTATGTAGTTTTAAATGATTACTGCCTGGAGCAAGCAATAGGACTAAAAGCTAGTCATTCTTTTGTGGTCTCTCTGTTGTTGTTGTTGTCTCCCCCCCCCCTCCCCCGGGCTGGGTAGAGGATGAATTGGGAAGAAAGGCAAATTAACTGCTCCCATCATTAAGTCACATATTTCGAGGACTGCTCATCCATCCGTCTGTCTTGTACACTATCACCTACAGCACAGGTTGGCAGTATGCAGCCACTGGCCTAATTACATATGGGTGTAGAGGTGGCAGCAAGGGAGGGGGAAAGGGTGCCCCCTCCCTTTCAGCTCTGGGAATCTTGGATCATAGCTGTGCTATCCATCTGTGCTGGCATCTCCTAAGGGAAGGGGGTGAAATCAAGAGCATACCCCCCACAGCTACTCAGCATAGTATATGAATGGTGCATTAGCTTGCTTTCTACTGAGCAAGATCTGTGGCTAATGGCTGTCTGTCCTTGCATCTAGCACAGCCGATGAACACTTCGTCCTGTGTGAGAGGTGGAGCATCCATGATGGGATATGATTAAGTGGGGTAAATAATGAAACTCCAGTCGCATCTCTGAAGCTGCTGCCCCTCCTCCACGAAAGGAAGAACGTACCAGCTGCTTGTTTCCTGACCCCTTTACCGTTTTGCTTTGTTAGTCATTTGGGGATGGGCAAATAGTGTTTTTCAATAAAGCTTTAACTGTTGTCATGCCTTATACTTTCTTAATTCTGTTCAGTTAGGACAGCATCTGGCTAGACAAACCTTAGTGCAGCATGTGCTACAGCTGCACTAAGGCAAGACTTCCACTTGTCCTGCTGTTTCCCCTGGAAAAAACCTGTCATCAATTGAGTTTTCTGCAGATTGATGTTTGTTCCAATTTGGCACTAAACAGGTTTTCCTGGGGAAAGCGGTGGGGCAGACAGAACAGTGTTTAGAAAGTATGGGGTAAGCAATAAATGTGGACAAGCCCCTAAATAAAAGTGGTTCTTCTGGATCCTGTGCAGTTGCCCTTCAGTAGTGAAGCCCTTATCTTTCCTTAAGCAGCATAAAAATCAGTGTGGCATGTCTTAGGTGTTGGAAGCTAGAAGGACTTGCCACTGCTATCACAATCCTGTGCAACTGCACAGGGTTTTCGCAAACCTACCTTAACATTCAGCATGCTTTATTATCTCGTTCATTAACTGCAAAAAGGATGTCATTTGTAAATCTCTGGAGCCCTTTCTTTCCATTTTGTTCTAGCTAAATCTGGTGCCATGATCTGCCTATATATCCTGCAGTAACTTCCTTTCTAGATGATGATTCTTCCGTAATATCAGCTTTTCCCTTATCCTGTTTCTAACAAGCTTCTTGTGTGCAATTTGTTTCTTTTCTACCAGTGCTGCAACTAAACCATAAGCTGCCATAAGTTTAAACAAAATAAAGACAACTCGGGGGGGAAATATAGGAACTTTAATTGAACAAAGTCACAACTCAACATTTCTTATGGCCTTTGTGCCATCTACTCTTCAGATTGTTTTCTGTACAATGAGAGCTTTGGGCTATCAAAAGGAAGTAGTTGGCACAGTGTCGTGGACGCATGGGTCACTGCACTTGAATACACCTCTCCTTGAATAAGCTGTAAACAAGGGAAATGGTTTGAATGTAAAACAAGTGATTTAACCTGTTATTAGACTTTGGAAAGCCATCTCTGTACAAAATAAAATAAAATCAGCAGGGCATGTAACTGTTTACTAAATCAGCTTCCACAGACGGTTAGCCAGCATTAATAGCCAGTGAAAGTGGTCGGTCCTACCGGAAGTAGAGAAAAGACAGCCTTGAAGGGGCTTTTAACATTTCCAGGCAGCTGCTCCAATAAATGCCCCGAGCTTTTGCAGTGCAGCCCAAAGAGCATCCACTCAAAAGTACAGCAGATGCAGTGAGAGGCATCAGCAAAAGTCATGCTGCTGTTTCTAGCTCCAGTGTGACCTTTGTGATAAAGTGTTTGATGTGTGCACACAGCTGGTGGGAACAGTAGGCCACCACCCATGTCTTCTCCAGTGTTGTAAAGTCCCTTCTACTCCCAAGTTGTGCTGCTGGTGTAACTGTTCACCAGATTGGGTTTTAAGAGGGTGGGGCAGGGAGCAAGGCCTAAAAGTTGCTTTAGCTGCCTACCATTAAAAATTAAAATTAAAGCCACAAACAAACTATAAGTTTGAGTCACTGAGAACACAGTCACTCTCTGGTTACCCTAGAATGCACAACTGACTTTGTTCACTGAATTGTGAGTGCCACACTTCCTGTGTATTTAGAAAGCCCTTTTTGTTCACCTTGGGGCAGCTATACCCTCCTTCATTATTGGGGGTGGTGGTGGGGGAAACTGGTGGCCCTCCTGCTATAAATAGAACTGAAACAGACCGTGCTCATGTGCAGTTTTAGTGCATGAGAAAGACTTTCCCCACCATTAACATTTCCTTACTTTTTGACAGAACCACTGCTAGATGTTTCAGTTTTTTAGTTTCTAGCTTCTACCTATCCTATAAAGCAGACCAGGAATCCTGCCAGCCTGCACTGTATAGAAAACAGTTACAAACGTAACAGTCATGATTAGATAAGGCCGAGGGGGTGATGATAGTAAAATAACCCCGCGTACCATTTGGAATTCCGGGGGGGGGGGGCACTTTTCCCTTGGCACTCCAAAAGCACTGTAAGATACTACTAATGTATTTATTTACCGCAGCCCCATCAAGGATTTTAAGTGTGGCACCGAAGTCTATCCCACACAGGGCCAGACTTTTATGAGACCTTGACATGGTGATGCTGCCCCTACTTTGAGGCACCCTCCTCTCCTCTCATGGCAGTGCGTGTTAGTTTTTTATTCTCCACCTTTTCAAGCAGGGCAGCCTGGCAATGGGGAGGCTCAGTTCAGCAGCTGAGTTCTCTGTCCTGGCAGGCGTCACAGGAAGGCTGACATCGTCACCTGTGTCCATGAGGGAGGGGGTGGTCATGTGTGGGAGAGAGGCCATGGCAGGCTGAAATCAGAAGTGCACTGCACTGGGCAAGCGAGAAAGCAAAACCAGGGGAGAGAGCTAAGTTAAAGGGTGCACTGCAGCTCACCATTACCACCACACCAAGGAAGTCCAACAGTCCAGATGGTCCCAAGAGAGAGGTGACGGGGATGAGGCGTGGCGTTGCTGCTTACTGTGTCACACACTCATCCCCAAGCAGGCTTCCCGCTTTCAGTTGGGAAGACATCTCAGCCAAGTCTCAGTTCAGTTTTGGCCTGCAGCAGGCAGCCATGACGCTGAATGTCCCCCAAGGTCCCCACATACTTTGTATTTTGGGAGACTTGGCATAGCGGCTGCCCACCAGAGGCTTGAGGCTCCCCTTTAACCACAAGTGCTGTTGCCTCCAGGATAAATACACCCAGGGAGAGGGATAATGAGCCAATGGCAATGGTAGCAAGTAGCAGCAGCAATGCCCGATGGGATCCTATTGGCACCGAGGTGAGCAGGGTAGCAGTGGGCCCTTCTTAGCCTGACCAGCAGACCTTTTGACATCAGACCTGACCCCTCACAGCCCCTGGGTAGTCAAGGCAACTCCTTCCCATGGTCTGCATTCACTAGTTCACAACATCCACCTCGGTTTCAGACACCGGAGAGGGGTCTGGCCTGACGCATTCGATGCTAACCAAGAGTTCGTCTACCCCACCAACATCTATCTCTTCCTCTTCCAAGCATGGAGGCACCTTATAGCCCAAGTGGTGTTGCAAAGGGCTCTTCTGCAATGTCTGAGCATGGAGCTGTGTTTCGACACCACAGATACCCACTTCATAGGACAAAAAACCCCGGTCTTCATTGTCTGCCAAAGTGATGGGCAAAGGATCACCAAGGTTTGCAGGCATATTCTCTGACAGGGACAGTTGATGCTGAGCTGTCCAATCATCCAGTTGGGGAGAAGCTGGTTTGTACCAGGTAAAACAGTCACTGCTGGTTTCAGACTTCACAAATGGAAAGTAGCTGGGAACAGGGTCTAGCAAGGGTCTCCCATTTGCTGAGCCATGAGCTTCTCTGCTGATCTTCATGTCAACAGCCTCCAGTTCCCCTTTTAGGAGACTGTTTTGGGTCTTGACCCACAGAGGACAGTCAGAGGCTTCTGGAGAGCACATAGCTTTTCTTTCAACTTCAGCACATTCTAGTGGACACTCATTTGCTCCTGGTGCAGGCCATAAAATATTCATGCCTTCAGGAATAGTGGCCTCTTGAGGCTCCTCAACAGCATCACCATCATCTGCCAGAAACATATCAAGCATGTGTTCCAACTCACCAGCTGAAACCAGCTTGTCATACTGCACATCCTCAGTCAGATGGTCTAGCAGAAACAGATCCAATTTATAAGGGTCTCCATCTTCCAAGGATACCTTGTTCTCAGCTTGTTCTCCCAGGTTCTTCTCATTAAGAGGTGGACTTTGTATTTTTGTTGGCAGACATCTAGTTGAGGTGACTGACTGTTGTGCATCTACTCCTTCCGGCTCAGGATACCTGGGCGGAGACCGAGAGCCCTCCTCTTTCACAGCACACATAGAGTTTGCTGGCCGGGTGGCCTGAGCTGAGGGAGATTCCTGCACCACCTCCCAGCAGCTGCCATTGATAACTTTTCTGAGCCTTACCCGGCCAATCTGCCCTGCATTTTGGGGACAGCTAACACAAGGTTCACTGGCGTTGCGCTTTCTGCTCTTAGCAGCCTCTGGAGGGAGAGGCGGGCTCCAGAAACCATACAAATGGCTATCTTCTGCTTCTTTCTGCTCATCTTTGATCGGAAGACTTTTCTGCCTCCAGTGACGTCTGCTGGACCTTGAGGGTTTGCTGGATTCCACAGTGTCTTTGATAGCACATGGTACAGGCAAAGGTGATGAGGGGAGCTTTGAGCGACTGAGCTTAATCTTTTTTGACTCTTGCAAGCTGGTTGTAGCTTGGCTATCACCAGTCCCATCCTGTGTCCGCAAACTGTCATGCTCATTATTGCCTAATATATTCTTTCCCATGCCTGTAAGACGTTTTTTAACTTTAGTTCTAAGGGGCTCGGCGGTAACTGCTGGATCTTTAGGCATCTGGTCTTCATTCCCACTCGTCAATGCTTCTGGTTTTTCCTTCTTGACAGCTTTCTGGACAATGCTGCTATTGTTATCCATTTCCTTGGTGCATGGAACTTTCACTACAGTGTGCTGCATATTTGAAGACAGCCATGACGTCAAGGAACTACCACTGCAGGCAGGGGGAGACTGCAACAGCGTTAACTCTGGGATGGATAATGGACTAGATAGCTGTAGGCAGTCCCGATTTAATCTAGGGCCCAGGGATTTTTTGACCAACTTTCCTCCCTCTAGATGAAGTGACTCCAACTCTGACACCTGAAGCTGCCGTGCAGCTGCAAGAACATCCTGGGCTTCTTCCCGGGACACCTCCATCTCAGAGGTGTAGAGGAAATCCACCAGCTTACGTAAAGTCCCAATTTTCAGCCCCCGGATCTCTAGCACCACCTTGTGTCCTTTGGGGGGCATTTCTCGCTCCAAACGCTCTGTGAAGAAAGGGCTGCAGGCTGACAGAATGCAACAGTGAGCTGGAACAGCTTCCCCTGGAAACAACACAATTGTTAGCAGGTACTGTATCAACAAAGAAAACCAGATATTTGCCCCCTCTGGACAGAAGTTGGTCCCAAAGTGTTCCAGCCCCTAAATAAACATTTTTCTTGAGATTCCCCAAGTGTTATCTCACGACTAATTATAGAGCTGTACTGTTTAATCCTTCTTACGTACTGAGGCATATTATAGCATAAAACCATTTAGTTTTACGATCAGTCTGCTTATGAGTCTGTCTCAGCAGCTCATTTAAAACTGTTAAACTTATTTTTACAATTCCTTCTGGACATGATACAATTAAAATAAAGAACAGAATGGTTGGAAAAAATAAGTTATTTTAGCTCACCCTGTTCTCTGCCCTCTCAGCTTTGAGGGCACTTAAGCACTAGCAAAAAGCAATTCACAGCATAAGATGTACTATACATTATTATAAGCATACACAGACTTTTCCCAGTACACATATACTCTTGTTTGTTTCAACTGGGTTTGCTTAGGAGAAGTTCTCAGTGGATTTGTACTCACATTTGTTTGTGAGCAGGCATTTTACAAACAAAGAACAATTTGCTATCATAAAAACACCACTACACTGGAGAGGCACATGGTTAAGAACTCTAGGCATAATCCAGCCAAAGTTCAGCACTGCAAAGCCTTGATTTCAATGGGAGAGTTAAGCTGTCCTGGAACTGCAGAACAGAAGGGAAGCACACCTATCCAGTGACCAGCAGACCAAGTTTAATTGATGTCAACTGCTTTGGGAGAGAAAACCAGTGGTGGCTCAGGTTTGCATGCAAAAAGTCCCTTCAATCCATGGCTGCTGTTAGTTAAATTTAGACACTATTGAGTTAGATGGACCAATGGGTTCTACTCATTGCAAGAAAGCTGCCTACGTTTCTAAGGAACCTATGACACTGAGAACAGGCTCTGGGAAATCCATCTATCACATCCAATAGGCCATAAACATCATTAATTAATTGTTGCGGATGTTTCCTTTTTGTTAACCATGCAGTCTAAGCTTGAAAAATACTTGAAATTTCTAGGAGTCACTGTCAAAATTTTAGGTGCTGGATCCTTAAAGCAGAAGTGCTGGCCAGGAATTTCCAGGCACCTGGGAATTTCCAACTCTGTTAGGAAGCAAAGCACCCTTAACTTAAACCCTCCCAGCTTTAAGTATTACCTTCTGCTTGTAGGACAACATCACAAAATAAGTCAGCTCTCTGTTGCCGGTGGAGCTGCAGGAACACCATACGGAGAAGGCGGGAATTCCGATACAGAATCTTGGGATTCGCAGCTGGAGGGCTCATGGCAGCAGAATTTCCACTTTGTCAGGCACCAGATTCTGTGGGGTAGACACAGTTCTGAGGATGCAGCTATCAAGGTCTATGAACCTAAAGTCATCTTGGAAGAAAGACCCAATGAATTCAGTGGGATGTACTCCTAAGAAAGCATGCACAAAATTAAAAATACTAGTGGTAATGCTTGAAAATAAGGCTGCAGCCTGAGGCAGAAGATAAGGCTATGCAATACAAATAAAGGGAATGTGCAATGAAGAGGTAAATATGGAAGATTATCAGAGAAGCTGAAGGAAGTCCAAAAAGAGATAATTTGTGAAATTTGGATACAACTGTTTAAGTGTACTGAAATTTAATAAAAAATTATGAAAAAAAGAAGAAAAAATAAAATCTGTGCGCAGAACAAGCAAACAAACAAAAAAAGATATAGCTATGCAAGTTTTCCTTCATGTAATTTTGCTGAAGAATATTCTTAAACTGCAGCACTTTCCCCCATCATACTGTCAGCAATCCCCAAGACTTATTTTAGCTTTACTTCAATGAATAAATACATTGTGCTTAAGATTTTCCAATATGCCCAAATGGCCAGGAATGAAGTAGAAGAACTTGTGAACTGTTAATACCTGTGTTCTTCCTCTCTTGCAACACTGATCATGTCAGTTGCTCAAGCAATACTGCAAACCTTTTCACACCCCATTCTGAGGCACATGACTTCGGACACACAGGTTGTCAATTTCAATTTTTAAAATACACAGTAAACAAGTCAGTTCAAAAATTAAAATATTAATAGATTTTAAGCAGAATTCTATCATTCCATAGCAGTCTACAGGGTTAGGTGTGTTGCACCTTACTATGGAAAAAATTCCAACACTGTCTGAAATCTACATTTGGGTGGGGGGAGAGTGCTGATCTCCCAAAAATTCAGGGACCATTTAAAACTCCGGAAGCCAAATTCACACAACCTTAGCCACAATCTATATCAATCCTGTTGTTCCTTGAAAAATACTGCTGTTGAACGTGTTTTTACTCAGACTAGCTGCCATCCAATTAGAAAACTGGATGCAGAGTAAACTGCAATGTGAAAAGACACTAGTAGTCATCACACAAGTGCAGATGAGCATGGAAGAGAAGGTGAAAGTGTAATGCACAGGAGTTCCATAGGAGTTGCAGGGAAAGGAAACCATAAGGTCGCATGAAGGCATCTCCATGCAAATGACCTCACTGAGTTTCAAGCTACTAATGTGAACATACATTAGTACTTGTTGGCCAAATACAAGCTCAGACAAACCACTGCTAAATGCTAAAATGAACTTTACCGTGAATATTAAAAATATTAATACTCCATTGTATTTAATACTACTTGTGTAACCATATGTTTCTAGAATAACATTTTATAGCTTATAAAGCAATATTGTACAATCAGATGGCTGGTGTTCTTAACATTCCCATAAACAATACTGTGAATAACTTTGGAAGTTTTATAAATATTGCAACAAATTCCACATAATAGCAGCATTAAGTAAACGTTTACTTGGGTGTCCCAAGTAGCAGTTATAATTAGGCAAACTTGAAATAAAAATGCATGAAACCAACGGCTGACAAAGACATGGCATCCAAAATTCATTTGATAATAAAACAATGGGTCACTATACCAAGTAAATTTGGACTTGTGGATCGCCTAACCCCTTATTTAAAAATATATTATTCCTTGCTGTTTCGGTATAGCATACATTTTACACTGGAACAAGAGCAAAAAAACCACACCTGAGAATTTAATTAACAAAACAATAAACCTGTTTTGCCAGATTACAGTAAACAAGGTATATATAATATAGTAATAATAATTTATTATTTATACCCCGCCCATCTGGCTGGGTTTCCCCAGCCACTCTGGGCAGCTTCCAACAAACCATTAAAATACAATAATTCATCATATATTAAAAGCTTCCCTAAACAGGGCTGCCTTCAGATGTCTTCTAAAAGTTGTTGATTTCTTTGACATCTGATGGGAGGGTGTTCCAGAGGGTGGGCCCCACTACCAAGAAGGCCCTCTGCCTGGTTCCCTGTAACTTTGCTTCTCACAGTGAGGGAACTGCCAGAAGGCCCTCGGAGCTGGACCTCAGTGTCCGGGCTGAACGATGGGAGTGAAGACGCTCCTTCAGGTATACAGGACCAAGGCCGTTTAGGGCTTTAAAGGTCAGCACAAACTGAATTGTGCTCAGAAACTTACTGGGAGCCAATGTAGGTCTTTCAAGACCAGTGTTATGTGGTCTTGTGGCTAAGAATTCACCATTTCCACAAAGGACAGGAATTTATAAAAAATGGTAAATAAGGGAGGGAAATCACTCTTTAAACTGTATAAAAGCATAATATTTCAACTGGAAATCAGAAAAAAGTTTGCAAAAAACAAAACACATCAAATTTTGTTACAGTCTCCATATGACATCAAATTATGCCAAAAACAAACCATTTTTCAAACTGATGAGTATCTTAATCTGAAGCGTTAGTCATCAGAAATTCTCTGTTCCTTTAAGTCATCAGAAGTTGCCCCAGTTGTAAATGGATCACCTTTCACAGAAAATGTCTCTTTTAATATGCCTTACTATGTTACTCCCAGCTGTATACCAGCACTGATCCTCCTGCAGCAACCTCAACTGGTAACCCATTATTTAGTTTGCATGCAAAAGAACATCAGCTGGTGGATGTTGGTCCTACATCCAAGATTTAAAAGACCAGTATGATACAAATATGCCTTCTTGAAGTATTTCTTTCTTCAACAGTGGCCAACTAGATGCCTCTGGAAACTCAAGCAGGACACGATGACAGTATCTCTTTCTTCTTGCTGCTACCCAGCAACAGCGTTCAGTAGCATAATACTTACTTCTGAACCACAGGGTGTGTGTGGGTGTGCACGCGCGCGCACGCGCGCACACACACACAGAGCTATCATTACTAGTAGCCAAAGGAAATCTCATCCAGTTTTCTAACCCCCTTTTAAAGCCATCTAAACTAGTCGCTACCTCATTTTATAGCAATAAATTCTATACACTAATTGTGCACCACGTGAAACAAGTCTCTCTTTTGCCAATCCTGCATTATATGCCAGTTTCATCCGCTGCTAACAGTCATGGTATACTGCTGATGTTATGAGCTGATACTCTATGATTCTACAATGCTCTGTTATGTAAAAGGAATAAAAACTTCTAAATCCGCTTTCTCTCCCTTAGCAATAATGTTATAGACCTGTCACAGCCGACTACATCATTTCTTACTTCAAAACTAAAATCCCCAAATATTGCAACTTTTCTTCATAAGGAAGGTGCTTCACTCCCATGGTCGTTTGGGCTGTGCTTTCATGCAACTTCTCCATAGAATCAGAGTTGGGAGGGACCATGAAAGTCATCAAACCCAACCTGCAATGCAGGAAACTTTTGCCCAACATGGGGCACAAACCACGACCCTGAGATTAAGAGTCTCATGTTCTACCAGCTGAGCTATCCAGTGCCACAATATCCTTTCTCAGTTGGGGAAACCAGAACTTTGCCATCTCCTATCTTTTCATAAGCCATTATGTAGATCTAGGACAGAGGTCAGCACACTTTTTCAGCAGGGGGCCAGTCCACTGCCCCTCAGACCTTGTGGAGGGCTGGACTATATGGGGGGGGGGGGAATGAATTAATTTCTGTGCCCCACGAATAACAGGACACATTCTGCTCATGTAAAAACACACTGATTCCTGGAGCGTCTGCAGGCTGGATTTAGAAGGCTATTGGGCCGGATCTGGCCCCTGGGCCTTAGTTTGCCTACCCATGATCTAAGTGCTAGTTTTACACTTACACAGGTCAAGTCACACATTCTCTGGTGTCTCCTTCAGAAGAAGTCCAGAGGGTGGTAGCAAGAGAACTAGCTGTTTTTGGTGGCAATCTTGTGGAATCATATCTCCAACCAAGGAAAGCTTTCCTAGTGCAACACTGATAACTTTTTGGTGCCAGATGAAAACATTTTTACTCTTGTAGACATGTAGGTGGATCTTACTGTTGTGGATCTTACAGCTATTTTAGCTGGAATCTTGCTGGTTATCATTGTGTTTTAAAGTGAAAGGGTATTTACCATATGTTCTTTAATCTTATTGTGGATTATGTATATAATTTAAGGCAGACAGGAAAGCAGCAACCCAGCCCCAGCTGAGAAACTTTCACATGGAGGGGTTTGAGTACATATTAGTATGCCTAATACTCAACTCCTAACAAGATCACACCCTTTGACTCTGCATTCATGCAAAACACCTGCTCTTTCTCCCCATGGCACCACACAAACACCAGCATGAAGAAGAATCCTCAGCTTTAAACAAATACACATCAAAGGGTAACCAAAATCTACCTTTGCTCCAATCCTGATTGTGAGAACAAGGGAACTGCTAAACTGTGTTTAGAATTTCAGCCTTAGTATAGATTGGTTACTACTTTACAAACGTACCTAGGAGTAAATCCCACTTCCCTCAATGCACGTTATTTCTGGGTAGACATGCATAGGATGATACTGCAAGCGATCTTGAGTATACACCCTAATTGTTGTTCTGGGTAGAGTTCCAATGTCTTTAACAGCTAACAGGCCAAAATTCAACAGGGCAAGTTTCTATCTGCACCTATGTGCCAAAATTAAGGCAAAAGCCCTCGTTCTGCATGTAAGCTTTTTACCCACTCACCAAAAACAACTGACCATCAGAAAAGGAACAGCAGCTAATTTTCTTCCCAAAAAGCTTCATTCAGCTTCTATTTAGGATACCAGTTTAATTCTAAACTACCCTAAACAGATAATTTTAAACTGCTTTACCCCCAGGCCAGTAGTATCTGGTTTTATTTCATTGTAATTCTACATGTCAAGTGGCGATATTTTTGTTACACTGCTGTGTATTAAAAATGCATTTCACCTTTCCACCGCCTTGGGCCTTCGAGGCAACGCGGGCTGCAGACGCCCCACACCTCTGAAACCCGTTTCCCCACCGCTCCAAGAATTATGGGGCCTGTAGTCCCAGCAACCCTTAATCTGCAGGGCCCAGAATTATTCAAGGGGAAGAACGCGCTTCGAAATGTGCCTTTTTAAAGGTATATCCCAAACCGGTAAAGAAGGCGCCACGAGGAACCAACTTCCATCCAGAGTGGCAGGTATGGGGCATACATATTACAACCAAACAGAAGAAGAAACCTACAAACCAACCGTTGAGAGCCTCCCGTCCCTGAGGAAACGTCGACTCGCTTCCCCCCTCGACGCCCCACCCCAGGCCCACGGAAAGAGGGAGAGAGCCCTCAGGGGCGCCTGCCCTGGACTCCCCGGGGAGCCGCCCGGCCCCTTCCTCCGCGGCAGGAGCTGCCACCGGCGGGTGCCCGTCCGCAGTCGGAGCCTCTCGGCGTGGCGCTGCAGCGGCCGGTGGGAGCCGCTTCCCGGCAGGAGCTGCCTTCCTCGCGCCACGCCGCCCGCGCGAGGCTCCCCGCAAAAAAGGGCGCCGAGTGGCAGAAACAGCCCTTTCATTGGCTGAGGGCCCCAGGGTGGGTGGGGCCGGCTTTCGGCAGGACGAAACGAGGTCCTTAAACATATAGACCCCTCTTAATAAAGAGGGAAGGGGGTGCGGAGGTTGCCAAGGCACTTTGGGCTGCGCCTGGTTATGGGGTTGTTGTGCTTCCAAAGTTGGGCAAGCATGGCAGGGAACGTGGGAAGGGGAGCAGAAGCGGGGTCACACACGCAGAGCTCCCTTCCAGTTTCTTTCAAGGGCCCGCCATTATTCTCTTACTCCCAATTATTGGCCACGACCCACCCGCTGGCTCCTGGCCTTTCTCTCGCTGCCTCTTTCTCTCCTTCACGGCTGCCAGAAATGCCTGCTTCTAGCCAAGGGTTGGGGGAGTTGCACTGATAACCGATGAGCTAAAGAGGCTGGATGAGGCCCCGGAGTTGCCAGTTGTTTGACTCCACCTGCTTTCATTCAAAATAGGTCAGAAGTTGCATCGTGAAGAGGCCGCCATGTGCTTGTCAGGCAGGACCACCGCCCCACCTGCCCAAAGCAACAGCAACCCTGGAGGGAAAAGAAAGGAATGTCCATCAGATTTACAAGGGCACTCTCCTTAATGTATTGCTGCATTCAGGCTGCCATCATAAACACACTTGCTAGCAAGCGAGCCCCATTGAACACAGTGGGATTTACTTATGAGTAGACATGCATAAGGTTGCATGGTGAAAACACGATGGAAGCTTATGACGAATCTTCGGAGTCTCACACACTCAGGGATGTGTTCTTAGGGATTTGAATTCCTTACATTTAATATACTCTGTTTTTTTACGGGAAGGGGCTTTCCTTTAGTTTATCCATAAACGAGAGATGTGATACAAAGGTGACATGATTTCTTCATACTTTTCTTCCTTTAAGCTAGTGGCAAATGCTTTCTACTGAGTATAAAAATCAGTAGGTATTCATTTCCTCCTAGCCTGTACTACCCAGGATATCATCCAGTTTAATGAGAGTTTATGACTGCCAGCTAAACACTTGTTGCACTGAGCTAATCTCTAGGTATGCATGCAGGACTCGAGTCCAGGAAGAAAGTAGTTGTAGAGAATGCCCAACAGACACTCAGTCCATCGCTTTGCAGATGCATGCATAAGGAGCCCACTGGAATACATGCAGAGAACAGGACTGCAACTTAGGCAGTAATAACTGGGTAGTTCAGGGCTGTTTCTCATATTGCAGATTAGTGAATACATTGGTGAACCGAGCATACCTCTTTGTTTCAGTGTGTGTACATGGGCATTGCCAGGGGGGCAGGGGGGCAGCTGCCCCCCAGTCAAGTAAAACAATAGAAATACTTAACTAACTGACTAATCACTTTGGTTTTGCTCCCCAACAAAAGTCCTGGCCCCCCAACAAAAATCCTGGCTGTGCCCATGTGTGTGTATCTGAAAAGCTAGCTTCAAATGTGTACTTACATCACATCTTATAGGAAACACTGAATGTACTCCTCATACATAATTTGTGATATGGTCCTAAACAGGGCCAGATCCAGCTTTGAGGTGCCTCTGGACAATATGTCCACTGTCGGTCCCCTTCTCCATTGTGGGCATAGCTGGTTGCTGTGACAGTGCACCAAGCAGCACCGATGGATGTGTCCGGCTACTCTCTAGTTTACCACAGTGCCCCAGAATGATGCTAGATCAGGTGCATTGTGGGAAATGAACAGGGTGGCTAGGTCCAGCCACTTGGGGCTGCTTGGAGCATCCCCCCCACCCCAATTAAGGGAGTTGCAACAGTGTAAACATCAGTAGTGGTATGACTGCTACCCAAGGATGCCAGGTACTGATGCCAGCCTAGGTCCTGAAGTTTTTTCTTCCTGTTCATTTTCACTTTTATCAAATATTGTGCCACACTAATTGATCAAATAATCTGAAGCAAGGGGACCACCTCTTGAATAAACACTAAAATAGAAAAGATTATTTTTTCACTTTTTGTGATTTCATTTAATTTATACCACATTGGGCAAAGATTCATCATTTGTAACTGTTCTGCTGTTGGTCTGTTTATAAAAATCGTTGATGTGTCAATATATTGCTTTTTAATGAGGATATCAAGATATTGTGAAAAGTCGTTACCTTCAGAAATGGCACTAACCAATGCACAAGCAAGATTTTATAAGGCAAATTTGTAAGGTAAATAGCTCTGCTGGAGAAGCTTGATTATTTCAAAGATTTTAATTTTAATGTATTCGTTACATTAAATAGTTACATTAAATACTAAACATGTAATAGTTACATATAAAAATTGTAATTGGTATAATGGAATTTTAAGCTTAGCTATGTAAAGTTATGGGCTGTACTTAGTCATTATTTTATTCATTGAGTCAACTGACAAGTTTTAATGAAATTGATTCTCACTGATTTATGCTTAATTAATTTTGCTTTACTTCTCATCTCATCTAATATATAATGTCCCTCTCTCCTGCTTTATATTATGACCTGAAAATGTGAAATAAAATGAATAAAAATCCAGACTCTTCTGTGTGTGGTATTCCAGAATAACCAATATGGTTTCATTCCCTAGTTATGCTTATGTCACTGTTTAGGTTTATGTCACATACTCAGTTATGTTTTGAGATGCTGGATATATTTATTGTATAATATTTTTTAATATTACTTATTTTAATTGATATTGTTCTTAGCCATCTTAAAGATATTTTGGAATGGCAGGTACAGGGTAAAAAACATGTTAATACATATTAATATGTTAATACATGCATGTTTACATCATTCAGTGATATTTACGTTCTGCTGCCTCACATTACAAAAATGGCAGTGAAATCAGAGCAGACAGAGTATAGGCTACACTTAGATCAGGCTTCCTCAACCTCGGCCCTCCAGATGTTTTGAGACTACAATTCCCATCATCCCTGACCACTGATCCTGCTAGCTAGGGAACATGGGAGTTGTAGGCCAGAAACATCTGGAGGGCCAAGGTTGAGGAAGCCTGACTTAGATTATCATACTGGGCTAGGAAACCTGTGGCCCTTTAAATGTTTTAAGGCTACAGCTCCCATCATCCCTGCCCATTAGCTATGCTGGCAGGGGCTGATAGGAGTTGCAATCCAAAACCATATTGGAGGGCTATGGGTTCCCCTTCCCTGTTTTCAAAAGGTCAGCCATCATAAAGGCCAGCTTGCAAATTACAAGGAAGGGTGATAGAGAAAGTAGAAGTGACTCACACATCTTTTCATGCATTACGGTATTATGCAAGGGTGTATGTGCTCAATATCGCATCCTGATTTAACCATATATTTGGAAAGTTTTGAAAGAAGGAAGGGGTGGCCTGCAATCTGGACATGTGTTAAAGTATTCATAACAGCAGCTCCATGAGTCAACAGCATGAGAGCCAAGCAACTCACACTATCACATCCCTTTTGTGGCTTCCCCGTGGGAATATACCAGAGGTGGTTATACTCAGAAATAGCCAGCAATACACAATCCGATTGCAGTGTTAACAAAGCTCAGACCTCAAAAGAAATAGGAAACATTTTAGTCCAAATGGAACAGGAAGAAGCTAGAAGATAGAAGACTTCAGATGTGATTTTTGAAAAAAATAATAAATAAATAAAGAGGTGCCAGCACCCAAAGTCTGATTCACGCGCTTAAAGCCTGCGGAAAACAGGACTGAGCAGTCTGCCCGTCAGCTGGCGAGTGAAAGGTTCAATTCTGCTCAGTTTGAGTGCATGAGGGAATCCCCTGCAGGGAACTCATTCACCCCAAAACTGCAGCAAATGACACTGACAGTGAACTCTCTACCCATCAGGTGATGCATGGAGAGTTCAATTCTGCTTGCTATCTTCCTCCACCACCCAAATGTCTATCACCTGTTGTCGGGATTTCATCAGATGATTTGATGGGTGGTCCACATCTCTGCTATAAAAAAAGAAACTGATACTCTGTACCAGCGTATACCATTGGCAAAAAACAAACAAACCACTGCATAGTGATGCCTAGAGCTTTCTGGTTTCTCATCTTCCTCTGCAACTGTGTTTAACTGCTGTTTGAAACGTAGGCATTAGCAAGTGGTTATATACTGGTATATACACATATATGAATCACTTGACTTAAAATACACTGAAGTGATTTAGCAATTTAAAGACAACAACATTTAAATTCAGATGCAGACTGGGTTAAAAAAAATCTCCACTTAAAAGGCTTGCTGGGAAAGGAAGGTCTTCAACAGCCATTGAGAAGTGCTATTTTTAATGCAAATAGAGGGAATTTTCAATTTCATGTACTGTGTCCGCCCCTTGGTGCTGATGTAGTATATATTGCTTTGTTGTTAATTTTGCTGTCTGGTCTTTGACAATCAATAAAGATTGATTGATGACGCGATACAACACCCATTGAAAAGACAGAAGACAGTAAAAATGGCACCTGTTTGATATATCATAGGAAGGCGTCCTATTGGCTGGCTATATAAGGGGTATATATCCTTTTCAGATATCCTAGTCCAAAGCTGTACAGGGCTTTGTAAACCAGGGCCACCTCAGGCCCTAGATATTTATGCTGCGAACAGCTTCACCTAGCGAAGATACAAGAGCAGATCATACGATTTTTCCTACTTAATTAGTAGTTTAAGCTACCTTGTGTGCTCATAACTAGAACAGTCTCATCAAATTTATGAGCACTCTTTTCTCACCAGGCGAATCACATACTTCTACCGTGCTTGTAGTAAGCGCTTGCAACAAATCTGGTTGCTCATCTGACCTTATATATCTGCACTGACGTGTACATTTTGTATGTACCTAAGAGTGTCTTTGATTCCGAAGGTTAAGTTTGGACAAAGTCGACACTCAAATGAGGAAAACTATGCGCTGAAGTGGCACAGATGATCCAAAAGGTGGAGCACTTCCTTACTCGTTACCCCCTGAGGCAAGGATTGCGGAACATTGTCCTCTAAATTCTTTATGGCCGTTAGTGGTTGC